GATAAATAGCTTAATGCAGAGATTCTATTAATTCTGTTTATGTTACCCACTTGAAAAATATCACAGTAAATTTAGGCTTATCTCAATTGGCTGCTTGATAGAATAAACGTTATATAGAACAATATCCTCTAGAAATCGCAAAATCTTTACTTGAAAAAAATACATAATATTTTAAAATATTTTTCAGTAAATCTTGAAATATACATACTTCTTTTGGCAGCTGCAGAATTTTATAAGTGTTGCTTAATGTATAATTTTATTAGAAAGCTTTTAAAGTTGGGTACCTTGGCCTGACTTTGCGGTGATAAAACATATATAGTACCTATCTGTAAGTTCTGGACTCTAAAACAAGCATAAAAGCAGACCTATCACATAGATGATTAAATAAGACATTTTACTTAAATACTAACAGTTTGGAGATACAGATGAAGGGCAAATGGATATTCATTGTATTACTCTCCTAACTCTTGTATAGATATGAATTTTTCCAAAGTAAAAAGTTGGTAGAAATTAACTACTTTTCTCTTAGAAAAGTAAATTTTTTTTAGTTTATGTATTTGTTTGTTTATTTATTTATTTATTTACTTTTAAAGATTTTATTTATTTATTTGAGAGAGAGAATGAGATAGAGCATGAGAGGGGGGAGGGTCAGAAGGAGAAGCAGACTCCCTGCCGAGCAGGGAGCCCGATGCGGGACTCGATCCCGGGACTCCAGGATCATGACCTGAGCCGAAGGCAGTCGCTTAACCAGCTTAGCCACCCAGGCGCCCCTATTTATTTTTTTATTTATTTTTAAGTAATCTCAGCGTCCAACATGGGGCTTGAACTCACGACCCCAAGATCAGGAGTCACATGCTCTTCCAATTGAACCAGCCAGGCACTGCTAGAAAAGTAATTTTAGAAATCTGCTGGGAGACTTTTTTTGCTAAATGATCTTGATGGGGGAAGGTGGGGAAAATGAGGAAGATAGCCAGAAGGTACCTGTATTTTTGGATCTTCATAATCAGAGCATATTTAGTACATTGGACAAATAGATCTATATATTAATTACTACTACATTCAAAGTAAAATCTTTATCAATAAAATAAATGATGTTACAAAGACTTTCTTTTATTCACATAGGGTTTTTTGTTTGTTTTGTTTTTAAAGATTTTATTTATTTATTTATTTGACTGAGAGATAGAGCCAGAGAATACAACCAGGGGGAGTGGCCGAGGGAGAGGGAGAAGCAGGCTTCCCACTGAGTAGGGCCCGAAGCGGGCCTCGATCCCAGGACCCTGGGATCATGACCTGAGCCGAAGGCAGATGGCTTAACCAACTGAGCCACCCAGGCACCCTGGTTTGTTTTGTTTTTAACTGACATAAATCTTTCACTTTATATAAAGGCATATGAGTAGAAATGGTTAACCTCATTTTATGGAAATTAAAGTTATGTGCATTAACTATGTAAGAATATATGGAATACAAAATTCAGTACTAGAAAAACACTATTTTAAATTTGTACCGTTGAAAGTTGCTTTTCAACACCATGCTTATTAAATAAAATACTAATAGACCATTTTTTTAAAAATAAGCCTTGTCATGTTTTAGATTTCTAATTAAGCTAACTTTTATTTTTTTATTTTTTTAAAGATTTTTTGTTTATTTATTTGACAGAGAGACACAGCGAGAGAGGGAACACAAGCAGGGGGAGTGGGAGAGGGAGAAGCAGGCTTCCCTCTGAGCAGGGAGCCCGATGCGGGGCTCGATCCCAGGACCCTGGGATCATGACCTGAGCCGAAGGCAGACGCTTAACGACTGAGCCACCCAGGCGCCCCTGAGCTAACTTTTAAAAGTATGTTTAAGAACAAGCAAAAACTATAGCTATAAAACTTTTCGAAGAAAGTGTGGAAGAATATCTTTGTGACATAGAATAGGCAATGATTTCTGAGGATACAGAAAGCAATAACCATAAAAAAAAAGACATGATAAATTAGATTTCAGCAAAATGAAAAGCATCTCCTCGTGAAAAGAAAATACTAAGAAAATGAATACGCAAACCACAGACTGGGAGAAAATATTTGCAATATGTATATATATGACACATATATATGATAGAGGACTTATATCCAAACTATAAAGGGTATCTGCAACTTAATGTTAAAAAGACAAACAACCCAATTAAAAGTTGGGCAAAAGACTTGATCAGATACTTGACAAAGATAAACAAATGACCAATAAGCACCCCAAAAAGTGCTCAACATCATCAGTCATCATGGAAATGTAAAGTAAGGCACAAGACATAATTACACACCTACTAGAATGACTGAAATTAAAACTGACAACACCAGATGTCTAGTGGGGCTGTGCAGCAACCAGTGCTTGCCTACACTGCTTACAGAACTGTAAAATGGAACATCCACTTTGGCGAAATATTTGGCAGATTTTTAAACAGCTTTATTGAGATACAATGTACAAATCATAACATTTATCTATTTTAAGTGTGCAGCTCAGTGAATTTTGGTAAATGGATGCAATCATGAGACTACCAACACAAGACGGATAGCAGTTCCATCACCCATGTGCCCCTTTACACTAGATAAGTCCTTTCCCCTTCACTCAGCCCCGGGCAGCTACTGATCTGCTCTCAGTCAGTATAGCTTTGCCTTTTCTAAAGTTTCATATAGATGAAATCAAGCATTATATAGTGTTTTGTGTCTGGCTTCTTAGCAGACTGTTTTTGAGATTACTGGTATATTTAGAAATGGGCAAAAGAACGGACCTTTCACAAAAAGAAGATAAATGAATGGCCAATACCCACACAAAATGATACTCCATATCATTAGTCATCAGAAGAATACTAATTAAAATGACAGTGAGATACACCTTTCATTCACCACAATAGCTGAAATGAAAGACTGACAACACGAGTGTTGGCAGCTGGAACGCAGATACATTGCTGGTGTGAATGGAAAATGGGATAGCTACTTTCAAAAACAGATTGGCAAATCTGTTCGTTTGTTTTTTAAGTTAAGCCAACACTTAAATAATTTATCCATTCTACTTGAAGATATTAAAACCATCAAGAATTTCACTGACATGGTGCTGAGCAAAAAAAGCCAGATTAAAAAAAATACATATGATTCCATTTTTTGAGTTCCAGAGTAAGCAAAACTAATTGTATTACTTTTTTTTTTTTGAAGATTTTATTTATTTATTTGACAGAGACAGACACAGTGAGAGAGGGAACACACACAGGGGGAGTGGGAGAAGGAGAAGCAGGCTTCCTGCCGAGCAGGGAGCCCCATGTGGGGCTCAATCCCAGGACCATGGGATCATGACCTGAGCTGAAGGCAGATGCTTAATGACTAAGCCACCCAGGCATCCTAATTGTATTACTTTTTTATTGCTGCCATAACAAATTACCACAGGCTTAGATTTTTAAACACAAATTTGTTATCTTACGGTTTTGTAGGTCAGAAGTCCAAGTCTTGGTCTCATTGGGCTAAAATCATTTTCTATAGGCTCTGAGTAGGATACATTTCCTTGCCTTTTTCAACTTCTAGAGAGAAGCTGTCCACATTCCTTGACTCTTAACCAAAAGTCATCTTCAAGCCAGCATTGCATCACACTGACCTCTTTTGCCTCCCTCTTCCACTGTTAAGGGCCCTTTTGATTACATTGTGTCCGTTCAGATAATTTACATTAATTTCGGATCAGCTGACTAGCAACCTTATTTTTACTTTCAGCCTTAATTCCCCTTTGCCATGTAAAGAAACATATTTATAGGTTCCAGGGATTAGATCTTAGACATCTTTGGGGACTGTTACTCTGCGTTTCATACTAATTTAAGGTGAAAAAATCAGAGTAGTGGTTATCTCTTAAGAGCACACTGTAACATGGTGAGGGGAATTGACTGGGAAAGGGATGTGTGGGAACTTTCAGGCAAAGTAGAAATGTCCTACAATCATGATAGAGGTGTATATTACAAAGATGGATTCATTTGTCAAGTGTATAGCTAAGGTGTATGCATTTCACTGTATATGAATTTTACCTTTAAAAGTACTATCAGGGGGCACTTGGGTGGCTCAGTCGTCAAGCGTCTGCCTTCTGCCTTCGGTTCAGGTCATGATCCCGGGGTCCTGGGATCAAGCCCTGCATTGGGCTCCCTGCTCCGTGGGAAACCTGCTTCTCCCTCTCCCACTACCCCTGCTTCTGTTCTTTCTCTCGCTCTCTGTCAAATAAATAAATAAAATCTTTAAAAAAAAAATGACTATTGGGGGTGCCTGGGTGGTTCAGTCAGTTAAGCATCTGACTCTTGATTTCAGCTCAGGTCACGATCTCAGGGTCATGAGATTGAGCCCTCTGTTGGGTTCCATGCTGGGTGTGGAGCCTGCTTAAGATTCTCTCTCTCCCTCTCCCCCTCCCCACTCTCTCTCTTAAAAAAAAAAAAATGAGGGGGCGCCTGGGTGGTCAGTCAGTTAAGGGTCCGACTTTTTTTTTAATGTTTTATTTATTTATTCATGAGAGTCAGAGAGAGGCAGAGGGAGAAGCAGTCTCCCCTGCCTAGCAGGGGAGCCCAGTGCAGCACTCGATCCCAGGACCCTGGGATCATGACCTGAGCCGAAGGCAGACGCTTAACCATCTGAGCCACCCAGGCGCCCCAAGGGACTGACTCTTGATTTCAGCTCAGGTCTCTATCTCGAGGCAGTGAGTTCAAGCCCTGTGTTGGGGGGCATGGGAAATGGGTTAGAAGCATAGGTGAAGCAAGAATGGCAGTGTTGACATTTTTGAAACTGGTGAGTGCTGTTATATTAGTATACTAGTATACATTATACTGTTTATTTTAGTTCAGAATTTTTCATATTAAAAAGTCAAAAGAATGCCCATTTAATTCTAAATAAGTTAAATCACTAAATGCCATGATAATGTTTATTAGTAAAATTGCATTTAATTTATTTTAAATGTTAATTTTTAAAACCTCGAACTACCCAGTAACAACTAGAGTCTCTCTTTGGCAGCCATGAAGAACTGTACTCAGGTCGCCCTTATGGAGCTCTTGATTCAGGTTTCAATAGTGTGGACAGTGGTGATAAGAGATGGTCAGGGAATGAAGTAAGTGTTTCTTCTATTCTGCATGTTATAACACCTGATTAAGAGACAACAAATGATGAAAATGGAAAGTATCTTAATTGGATTCAATTTCTCATTACATAAAATATGGAAAAGCCAAGGAAGAGGTACAAATCCCACAGAGTACTGCCATCCAGAAATGATATTCTGTTTCTTTGCCGTCTTTTTATCATGTGTTTTACATGTTTGTTACCTTATTGTCTTGTATAAATAGTTTAATATCCTAGAAAGCCAAATGGGAACTGAGCCAATTACAACTGAAGCCTAAAGTTTGCGGGGCTGGGTGACCTTAAGCAGAGGTTGCGGAAGGGGTGCTACGAGGTGAGAAAATAGGAGTATAGGTTGATGGGTAATAAGACAGGAACCTTAGTGAAGACTATTAACATGCTCAAGATAAATAATTTTCTTAACTAATTACATATTTTTCTCTTGTATTTAATTATTATTATGCTTTCTTAAGTTAGAAGGTAGAATATTTTAGCTCTCAATGGGTTAATTGATGAAATAAGCTGTTATTAGCAAGACTGATAACCTCCCATTTGTAGCATTACTTCATTCATTCCAAAGCAAATTAACTTTAGACCACAGTCCATTTGTAACTGGGAAAGCTTGTGTATGTATCAAGGGTTGTGTACATAATCGTATCTGTATCCATGCAGATACATTTATATAGATACTTTAAATTCCTGTTTATTTATAGAGTGTTATATAACCTTCCATCGCTTTTTTTTATTATAGTAAAATAAATATACATAACATAAAATGTACCATTTTAACCATTCTTAAGTGTACATTTCAGTGACATTAAGTACATTCAAATTGTTGAGAAACTGTCACTACTGTTCATCTCCAGAGCTTTTTTGCTATTTCTTCTTAAATGTAAATTTTAGTGAGTTTATATTATATCCTTGCTTTCAATACTATGTTGTCTAAAGTTTGAAATTATATTTTTAAATGTTACTGCTAATTTTTTTTTAGCCTACAGATGAATTTTCAGATCTGCCTCTTCGAGTAGCAGAAATCACTAAGGAACAAAGACTGCGAAGAGAAAGCCAGTACCAGGAGACTCGCAGCAGTTTAGTAGTAACAAATGGTGGAGGTGAGTGGGACTCCCAACCACAGCCAGAGTCTTTACAGTCACTCTGGTGTTTTTAAGTGGTCATTTTCACATTCGCTCCTTTTGTTTGTGTATCTGTAGCTTCTCCAGCTTTTCTTTTCTTTTTTCTCGTCTTGTCTTTTCTTTTTTCTTCTCTTCTCTTTTTTTTTTTTTTTAAAGATTTTATTTATTTATTTTGACAGAGAGAGGGAGACAGCGAGAGAGGGAATGCAAGCAGGGGGAGTGGGAGAGGGAGAAGCAGACCTCCTGTGGAGCAGGGAGCCCGACCTGGGGCTCGGTCCCAGAACCCTGGGATCATGACCTGAGCTGAAGGCAGACACTTAATGACTGAGCCACCCAGGCGCCCCTCTTTTCTTTATTTGAGAGAGATCACGAGCGATGGGGAGAGAGAGAGGGAGAAGCAGACTCCCTGCTGAGCAGGAAGCCCAATGCGGGGCTCAGTCGCAGGACCCTGAGATCGTGACCTGAGCCAAAGGCAGATGCTTAATGACTGAGCCACCCAGGCACCCCTCCAGCTCTTCTTTTAAAGACTTCATCTTCTCATATGATTGGAAAAAAGTTGTTCTCCATTGGGATTAAATTTTAATTTCTCTTAAGTTTTCAGGCTTGAAGTTAAAATACAGTGTTTTTTTATTTCTCTCATTTTTATTTTGGAAGGAAACTTCATTAAAGACTGTTTACCTGGTATAGATCTTTGTTAATCTTGATTTCATCATGATTCTCTTTTGAAGTACTATTCTCCTTTTTTAAGATTCTCTCTGTGGTCATTACTTGACCACTTCCTGGAATTCAGTGCATTTCTTGACATTCACTTTTTCATTCATCTTGGATTGTATTCTTCAAGGGCATCTGAATCTAAGTTTTCTTTATTTTGGTATTTAAAAATATGTAATTTAAATTCAAAAATTCTTTTAATTTGTAATTTTTTTAGGTTTCATTAACAGGCAGAGCTATTTCTGCTGCTTTGGTGTTCTGGGCAGACTCCTGATTGTAACATTCTATTCAATCTTGCTTTAGTTTGAATTCCCAAATCCTAATGTTTGTTTTATTTATTTAATTAATTTATATTATTTTATTTATTAAATTATTTTATTTTATTTATGTTTTAATGTTGAGTGTGGAGCCCAACATAGGGCTTGAGCTCACAACCCTGAGATCAAGACCTGAGCTGAGATCAAGAGTTGGATGCCTAAGCAACTGAGCCACCCAGGCGCCGCCCCCCACAAATCCTAACATTTAAATATTGAGGGCCAACTGTAAGGGAAATATTACTTTGATCTAGAAATCTGTCTGACAAGAGCTTTCATCTTTTTTTTAAAGTTTTTACTTTAATTCCAGTTAGTTAATATACAATATTATATTAGTTTCAAATGTACAGTATTAGTAATTCAACACTTCCATACATCACCCCATGCCATCACAAAGTGCACTCTTTAATCCCCATCACCTAAATAACCCACCCCCCCCATCCAACCTCCCCTCTGGTAACCATCAGTTTGTTCTCTATAGTTAACAGTCTTTTTCTCGGGGCACTTGGGTGGCTCAGTTGGTTAAGTGTCTGCCTTCAGCTCAGGTCATGATCTCAGGGTCCTGGGATCAAGGCCCACATTGGGCTCTCTGCTCATCGGGAAATCTGTATCTCCCTCTTACTCTTCCTCTGTGCTCTCCCTCTCTCTCTCTCTTAAATAAATAAAAATAGAATCTTTTTTAAAAAATAGTCTTTTTCGGGCGCCTGGGTGGCTCAGTTGGTTAAGCGACTGCCTTCGGCTCAGGTCATGATCCTGGAGTCCCTGGATTGAGTCCCGCATTGGGCTCCCTGCTCGGCAGGGAGTCTGCTTTGTCCTCTGACCCTATCCCCTCTCATTTGTTCTCTCTCTCTCATTCTCTCTCTCTCAAATAAAAAAAAAAAAAAGTCTTTTTCTTGATTTGTTTCTTTTTCCCTTTGCTTGTTTTATTTCTTAAATTCCACATGTGCATGAAATCATACGGTTTTGTCTTTCTCTGACTTATTTCACTTAACATTATACTCTGTAGCTTCATCCATATTGTTGCAAATGGCAAGATTTCATTCTTTTTAATGGCTGAGTAATATTCCTCTGTGTGTGTGTGTGTGTATACACACACACACATATATACTCCACATCTTTATCCATTCGTCTATTGATGGACATTTGGCTGCTTCCATAATTTGGCCATTCTAAATAATGCTGCTATAAACATAGGGGTGCATGTGTCCCTTTGACTTAGTGTTTTTGTGTTCTTTGGGTAAATACCTAGTAATGCAATTGTGGGATCATAAGGTAGTTCTATTCTTAACTTTTTGAGGAACCACCATACTGTTTTCCACAGTGACTGCACCAGTTTGCATTCCCACCAGTTGTGCATGAGTGTTCCTTTTCTCTACATCCTCGCCAACACCTGTTGCTTCTTGTGTTGTTGATTTTAGCCATTCTGACAGGTGTGAGGTGATATCTCATTGTAGTTTTGATATGCATTTCCCTGATGATGAGCGATGATGAGCATCTTTTCATGTGTCTCTTGGCCACCTGATGTCTTCTTAAGAGCTTTCATCCTTGAATGATGATTTCAATTAGGTGGCTTGCTCTCTTTTTTTTCTTACCATTTATATTCTTTTGTACTCCTGTTACTTACCATTCCATTCACATTTTAGTGGTTTTCTTTTTAATTTTGCTTTCATATGAGATATCTTTTCCTTTAGTTCATTTCAGACTTAAAATATTTTTGTCTTGATCTGTGCTGTCCAGTATGGTAGCCACTAGCCACGTGTGGTTATTGAGCATTTGAAATGAGGCCTTTCTGATGTTTTTTTTCTTTTAAGTTTTCTTAATTTAAGTAATCTTTACACCTGACATGGGGCTTGAACTCACAACCCTGAGATCAAGAGTTGCATGCTCTTCCTACTGAGCCAGCCAGGTGCCCCTGAAATGAGGCCTTTCTAAATTGAGATGTACTATAACTGTAAAATACACATTGGGTTTTGAAGCCTTTACATGGAGGGAAAAAAAAGAATGTAAAATATCAGTGATACTTTATATTAATTATATGCTATAATGAGACTATTTTAGATATATTAAACAAAATAAAATATATTATTAAAACTAATGTCACCTTTTCTTTTGACTTTTTTTTAATGTGCTACTAGATAATTTTTTAATACTTATGTGGTTCACTTTAATGGCTTGCATTCTATTTCTCTTGGACTGTACTGATCTAGGTAGTATGAAAAGGTGATATTGCTTTCTTGAGAAGTAGTCATAAAATGAACCATTTATTTAGTCACACAAATTGTAGCTCATTGAAAAAAATGCATTTATATACCTGGTTTCTAATGTGGGTATAGACGTTTCCATCCTTTTACCTGTTATTATAACTCTGGTAACTCAAAATTTGTTTTTATATTAATGGCCATTATGGAATTATTTAGAAATAAATGAATCAGAGGGACCTGGATACCTCTGTCGGTTAGGTGTCCAGCTCTTGATTTTGGCTTAGATCATGATCTCAATTCTCAACACGGAGTCTGCTTGAGACTCCCTCTGCCCCTCCCCCTGCTCTTTCTCTCTCTCTCTCAAATAAATAATTGAATCTGAAAACAGAGAAATAGACTTCTCTGAGTTCATTATTCCCAGCAACTGCAACTTTTAGGTAGTCTGTAGAACATCATACAATAATGATTGGGGTTTAGTCTCTGCAGAAACCTTAGAAAGCTTAGTAGCAAGGTTTTTCTTTCCCTAGTATGCCATTTTAACCAGCTTTTAAATATAGTTACTTTTGGGGACATGTGGCTGGCTCAGTTAATGGAGCATGCAACTCTTGATCTCGAGGTTGTGGGTTCAAGCCCCAGGTCAAGTGTAGAGATTGCTTAAAACTAAAACCTTAAAAAAAAGTTACTTTTTAAACTTAAAATAATGGGGCACTCCCAAACTTACTAGAATAAATAATGGTGGGGCTATATCTTATTCATATACCTCTCACCCCAAGCATTTTGAGAAGCAAAAATTCTCAAATGATTCCCTTCCATACCCAAACTGCTACAAAATATCTACACTGCTGACCTCTAGAAAATAAATTTCAAAATAAGAAAATCATTGTTCTAATTATGAACAACAGTTACAGGAAGAGAAACAGTGGTCAGCAGCTGTTTCTTTATCTCTGAGTCCACTTTCCTCCTATCCTTTCTCTTTCATTTTGACTTGGCCGTGTTAGGTTTTCTTACTCCCAGTTCCTTGAACAGATAGGATTAAGCCCTCAAGCTAAAACAGGGGAAAAAATGTAAAAGAAGATATACCCCCCAGTGTTTAAAAATTATTCTTCCTCTCTTTGTCTCACAGACTCAGACTGTCTTGTTTAAAACAGTAAAGAGCTATCCAAAGAAAAAAGCAATATTAGAGGTCTGTAATCCCATAATTACTATCAATTACTGCATTCTTTAGTCAATTAGGACTAAGATTTTTCTGGAACCTATTTTTGTGAGTGGCCATGGACTTAAAAAGAAAGGCTTACCTAATTTACACTTCTTCTCATTCCTTCCACTGTCAGAATAGAAAATGTTAGGGAAAAGGAAAGAATGCAACTGAATGTGTTTATTGGCTGTTGAATTTGACTATTCTTTCCTGGTGTGTGTGTGTGCGTATGTGTATGTGTGTGTATGGTGTGGACAGTGGAACATGATCTGGACCAGATCGACTACATTGACAGCTGCACTGCGGAGGAGGAAGAGGATGAGATGAGACAGCCCAAGGGGCTGGAACCAGACAGCCTCAGTTCCCAGTTTATGGCGTATATTGAACAACGGCGAATCTCTCATGAGGTAATACACACTTTTAAGCCTAAATATGTTGCTGTCCCCTAGTAAAAACAGTTCATGATGGTATAAATTTCTGTCATATTAGTGATTTATTGGTTTAGGCCTAATTATTTGTTTTATAATGTTCAGCCCCAATTTTATGATTGAATTTTTCAGATTTATTGTAGAAAGTCAGACAGTAGTCTCAAATAGGGTTTGGCTTTATTTTTCAAATAAAAAGACAGATTTCAGAATCTTGAAGAAGGAATAGGAAGAGTCCTAAGAGTATCTTATGCCTTTGAAGAAAATGCAAGCGACTGTAATGCTTTTTATTCATTATTGTTCTTACCATTTTTTTATTATTACTAACTGGTACATCATAGCTTCATTAGTAATTATAAGAGTCGAACCATACTGCAGACTTTGGAGCAATGTACAAACTTAACCATAGAATTTTTATAATGCGTTAATATATTGGAGCTTTTATGCTAAGTCACACAGAATATAAATTGTTTGCCATTATAGTTCTTGGGTGTCTCTTATAGTGGAGCATTGAGTTGCCTTAGAAAACAAATGAGCATTCAGCCCACTGTAGAATTGCTGCCAATCCCCCAAGGGGCTCCAGTGGAAATTGCATTCTTCAGCATATCTAGTCAGCATAATGAAATGGCTCCACTTCAGTGTGTGTGATGTTAATGTCTGGAGTTGGTCCCAGGCTCTGAGCAGGGGTTATTTGAGAAACACTTGGGGCCTTTTTGGAGAGTGATGTATTTAGCCTTTTAGAAATAGAGGATAATCACTCAAGTGGGATGTGTTGTGGAGTGATATTACCATTCTTAAAAAAAAAAAACCTCAGTTTTCCTGTCTGAAGACTTTTGACCACAGTATTTTTTGTTGGTTTTCAGAAGACACTCTTGTATTTAAAGTTGGGTAAAGATATTTAAATCAAAGTCCTGCAGCCCAGAAATAGCAGTGTACCAGGAGATTAATGAAACTACATATGACTCAGGATATGAACATTCTTACTAGAACAAAGGGCGACTACTTTGAAGAAAAAGTGAAAATTAACAATGCACATTGTAATCTTAAAGGGAGTCTTTTTCCTTGTGGTCTTTCTCTTTGATCATTTTATGTATAGATGAGGTATTTCTACTAAAAGTAAAGATGCCTGTTATACTACTACTGGAAATTGTATCATTTTTTAATCCATCATATTTGCTATTTTGTAATTTTTTTTTTAATTCCAGCTATACTTGTGTGGTAGTCTTCATGATTCTATGTTATAACGCTCTTTATGATTTCTGTATCATAAGGTCTTCTAAAATTTGGCATCTGTAAAAATGTGATGAAGTAGTATTATTTTAGATGGTTTAACAACCACCTAAAGTGTTATATTATTGAATACTATCTAAGAATGGGTTGATAAAAAAAAAGAACCTTTTTGAGATTTTAAACACTCTGCTATTGTTTAATTCTAATACTTCTCATACATAGAGATATTATGATAAAATAGCGTATAGCTTATATTTATAGGGTATTATATTTACTTTTAAAATTAAACCAACATCACATTCATCATGAAAATTTCATGTACCTCTTGCAATAATTTTAGATAATTGCCATATTGTAAAACCAATGTGTTAAGTCACTGATGTTAACATACTAGGACAGATTTTTGTTTATTTTAAAAAGTCATATTCACTTACATTAGAATAATTATTCTTTAATCAGGGTTCTACAATTATATCTCATTTTGTATGATCCTCATGCCCAGACTTTAAAAGAGTCTTCTGTAGTCCTTTGCAGTAACTCACCGAAGATTTTCAAGTTCTATGTGATTACCTGTTTCTTGGAGATAGACTGTAAATAGTTTTACATTTGATTTTTTTTTTTTTTAAGATTTTATTTATTTATTTGTCAGAGAGAGAGAGTGCGCAAGCAGGGGGAGCGGCAAGCAGAGGGAGAAGCCAGGCTCCCTGCTGAGCAAGGAGCCTGAGGCGGGACTCGATCCCAGGACCCTGAGATCATGACCTGAGCCGAAGGCAGATGCTTAACGGACTGAGCCACCCAGGCGTCCCTTACATTTGATTTTTTTTAGATACCCTTTTTGCATAAGTTGCTTTCTATCCCTTAAAGAATACCCATTTTAATGATTATTTTTGGTGTTGAAATCAGATTGTATTGCTTCTATAGATTCTCATTTGACAAAATAAATGCTGTAATAACCTATAAGCCTCTACCTTTGATTTATAATTTTATTTCTCAGTATGTGGTCCATATCACTGAGGCCAGTTGAATTTTCCTCAGTAATGTTTTTTTGAAATGACCCTTACCCTTTAGTTTATAAATAAATTAAATTGTCAATATTCTTCTTTTGGTTAACACCATATTTTTACCATAAATAGAAATTAATTTTTGCTTTATCTTAATATTCCACCAATATCCCCAGGACTGTTTGTATCACTAACATAAGTAACAATTTATGATGAAGAATGTCATCTGCCCGGGGCATCTGGGTGGCTCATTCGGTTAAGCGTCTGCCTTCGGCTCAGGTCATAATCTCAGGGTCCTGAGATAGAGCCCCATGTTGGGCTCCCTGCTCAGCGTGGAGTCTGCTCCTCCGTCTCCCTCTGCTACTCCCCCCCACCCCCACTTGTGCTCTCTCGCATGGTCTCTCTCTCTCAAATAAATAAATAGAATCTTTTTTAAAAAATGTAATCTCTCCAATGATCTCCTTATTACTTGAAATACACAAAAGAGACTGAGCACAAGTTAGGGTAGGGCAGGTGGGAATTCCTGTTCTGGATGGAAATTTGTACTAGATGGCCCCTAAGATCCTCCCAAGCTCTAACATCTTATCATTTAGTAAATATTACTGTATGGTCAGTGTAATTTATATAATACAGTGAGAAGGAAATCTACTTTTTTAAAGAGTGTCTTGGTATAGTGTTTGGAATAGTGTTTTGCTTATCAAAGCAGTAATATAGCCTATAATGAATACTTTTATTTATTTTATTTCTTCCTTTTTTAAAAAGATTTTATTTATTCATATGAGAGAAAGAGAATGAGAGAGAGCATGAGAGGGGGGAGGGTCAGAGGGAGAAGCAGACGCCCCACTGAGCAGGGAGCCCAACACGCGACTGATCCCCGCACTCCAGGATCAGGACCCGAGCAGAAGGCAGTCGCTCAACCAACTGAGCCACCCAGGTGCCCTAATGAATACTTTTAAAGATGAAAATTCACATTTGAAAAAAAAATTCACATTTGAAGATTTTGTTAAAATATTTTTTAGTGTGATCTACAGATCCTTAAATGCCAAATCGAATGTGGACTGTGCAGTCACAGTGTTATGGATACATCCATTAAATTGATTCATTTCTGTTTTTTGGCCTAGGGTTCACCCATAAAGCCAGTACCTCTGAGGGAGTTTCAAAAAACAGAGGACATGAGAAGATATTCACATCAAAACAGGTTTGAAAAAACCAATTCTCCTCATTTGTTTCTGTCTTTAAAAGTCATTAATAAGAGCATGAAATGGTTTTGGTTTTGTGCAGACCTATGTATGATGAAGGTGTTTAGACACTGTGTATTTTAGAGCTGAGTGACAGTGTGCTTTGTGCTCATGTAATAGAAAAAGGAGTAAAATTGATTTATTGATTCTAAATTCAGATTGCCTAAACCATTACCTGTATAATTATTTGATTTGAAGATACTTAATGGCAGTGAGATTTTATGGTGATATGTCTGGAGTTACGCATAAAGAATGCTAAATGAATTTCAGGAGTCCTGAAATTTTTTTTTGCTTAAACTTTTGACTAGAAACAGGGACTTAGAGACAGCAATATGTATCCTCCTTCCTATCTCAACTGATATGATCTTTTCAGTACACTTAGTACTTCACAGAATATTTCTAAAATTAACTTGACTACTTAGAATACTACTGCTTATTCTTAAATTCCAAAAGTTTCTTGCCACACACTATATCACAATAGTTGGAAAATTCACAGCCTTTGGGTCTCTGCTTCCTCTCTGTTTTTATGAAGTCTTAAAGCAGTAGACTTGATAAACTTGTTCTTAAGCAACAGTAAATTTCCTTTGTAAAAAGTGTTGTACATAGATCTTTACTTATACTTGACGGGATATTAAAATTGTTTAGGAAACGGAGATATAGATGGGTAAAGAAAATGTGGGGAGAACAGTGCAAGAAAAAAATCTCATAATTGGCCTTTTATAGTCTCATCAGTTAGTTCTTGGGGATTTAGTTAAATTTCGTATCTTTGAAATTTATCTCAGAATGGCTTTTTAGTTGCCATGAGTCCTTATATTGAGGGTGTGGTCTTTTGAGATTCCTGTTTTGCACAGGGGTTTGCTATTGTGTTTTTCCACTTTGGGTGGTTCCATGCTTTATCTCCTGTCCCTCTTACCTCCTGCATCCATCATCAGTAAAACTCAAGATCTCTAGAATTTAATAGAAACTCTCAAGATGAAAGCCAGCTTTTTTTTGTTTTTCTCAGTTACCTTATATATTAGTTTTCTAATACTCATGTAACAAATTACCACAAATTTAGTGGCTTAAAACATAATATCTAAGTTTATAATATCTCAGTTCTGTAGGATAGAAGTGTGGGCAAGCCTTCATTCTTGCCTTCATTTTCCCCTTAGGGTCTCGTAAGCCAAAGTCACGGCACTGGCTGGCCTAGATTCTTACCTGTAGACCTTGGGGGAGAACCCACTTCCAGGCCCATGCAGGTTGTAGGCAGAATTTAATTGCATAAAGTTATAGCACTGAGGTCCCTGTTACTTTGCTGGTTATCAGCTGGGACTCGTTTTTAGCTTCTGGAGTCTACCCACATTCCTTGGTTCATAGCTCCCTCCATCTTCAAGTCAGCAATGGCGAGCCATTTTGAATCTCTTCTCACATTTTCACTCTCTCTGATTTCCCTTTCTGTCACATCCCACAGACTCTCTTGCTTTCCTCTTCTGTTTTTTCCCCCAGTTTTACTGAGAAATAATTGACATAAGTCACTGCATAAGTTTAAGGCATACAGCGTGATGGTTTGATTTACATATATTATGAAATGATCACAATAGGTTTAGTTAATAGCCATCATCTCATATAAATACAATAAAAAATTCTTTTCCTCCTTGTGATAAGAACTTTTAGGGTTTACTCTCTTAACAACTTTCCTGTATATCACACAGCAATGCTAACTATAGTCATCATGTTATACATTACATCCCTAGTACTCATTTATCTTATAGCTGAAGTTTGTAGCTTTGACCACTTCCCTCCAATTGCCCCCCCCACCCTCTTCTGCTTTTAAGGGTTCCCATGATTACATTAGATCCACCTGGATAATTTTCCCATTTCAGGGTCAACCAGTTAGTAACCTTAATTTCATCTGCAAAGTCCTTTTTGACATGTAACATATTTACTGGAGTAACACCAGGGGGTGGAAGTCATAGGGGCCAAAAATCTGTCTACCTAACCTTAACCCAGCGTTCCTGTTTTTACCACTTTTTTAGAAATTCTTGCTCTGCCAGCACTGAGGGAATCTTCCCTTATTGGAGCCTGTGCTTTCAGACCTAGTAGTTTTCCATTTATATTCATAGTCACCCACTATTAAGTGAAAGACTGGTGGCGCCTGGGTGGCTCAGTCGGTTAAGCATCTGCCTTTGGCTCAGGTCATGATCCCACAGTCCAGGGATTGAGCCTCACGTCGGGCTCCCTGTTCAGCGAGGAGTCTGCTTCTCCCTGTCTTTCTGCCACTCTCCCCACTTGTGCTCTCTCTCTCTCTCTCAATAAATAAAATCATTAAAAAATTTAAAAAAAGGACAGACCTTGGATTCAAACTCCGTTACAACTAATTCTAATGTCCATGACTTTAACCACTATGGTACCATGTTGCTTCTCCCAGACTATTCACAGTACTGGACTCACTTGTGTCTCATTCTTTATTGGTTATATCTCAGCCAGAAATCTTACTCTATCAATCCACTCTTCTCTTTTCTTGAAAAATTTTGACTAAGAATGTACTGCCTAGGAGTGCTAATAAGATAAAGGTTGGGAAGGATTAGTAAAAAAATTAAGGAAGTTTTTTTTTCCAGCTTCAGTGTTATTTTAAACCTTGTCTAAGGGAGTTATTAAGTAATTTGTTCTATACCTTTAAAATAAATATAATTTATTCTGTCAAAACGTTTTAGGGGGTGGTATTTTAATTATTTTAGTAAAGATAAGGTATATGGCTGTATGTAGATCATATAAAACAGGTTTTTTTTTTAACTTTTTTTTGATGCCTGGAAATTAAAAAAAAAAAAATTTGTGAATACTTCAAAGATGTGGAACCAATATAAGAAAAGAAAAGATACAAGAAGAGAAAGACAACAAGAGTGTGGCTTAAGTTTTGCTTTTTTACATATTACCTTTTTTTCAGTTTAGGGAAGTATAAGGTAGGCCAGTGTTTCTCAATAGGTTCTAGCACCACTCTTCAGTGGATATTTGAAACATGTTTATTTTATTTGGGAATTGGCTGCCAAAATGATTATAGGTGTTACTGGCAGGCACCTATAATGTGCAGGACAATCTTGTGCAACAAAAAAATTATCTGCAATGTGTGACACTCCTACTGAGAACCATATTCATAGATGAAAAGGCCATATGGTATGAAGTAGCATGGTGGCGCCAAGGAGCAACCAAGCTGTGATGGGCCAACATTAGCACCTGATGATTGGCTTGAGGGAGCTGTGTTCTCACTGCCACTTTTATTCTTCCATATGCCATGCTTCACTCTTTACTGCCATCTTTAACTTTTCACAGCTTAGTTTTTGCCATTGCAGGTAATTGTTTTCTGTATGTGTGCCCATATGCTTTTAAGTCTCCCTGCTCTTTGCTTTCTCCTTCCTACACTCTGCCTCTGTAGAGTGGGGAAGTGTGGAATAGTAGAAGCCGCTAATCTCCAAGTCAGGGGGCTTGAATTCTAATCCAGGCTCGGGCCCAAGTAGCTATCACTGAACTTCTGAGGGCCTTAGTTTTCTCTCTTGTAAAGTTAGTGGCATGGACTCTATGATTTCTGAGGTACCTCCAGTTCTTGTAGGCTGCATACCTAGAAGATGAGAAAGCAGACTACCACCAAGTCAGATAAAGGACTACTGGCCGCATCACCTTGGGAAAGTTACTTAACTTCCATGCCTCAGCTTCTCCACTGTAGAATGAGGATTATAATAGTTCTACTCCTAAGATTGCATGAAGAATAATTGAGAAACACTGTGTATAAAATACTTCACAGGGTATATGTAGTACATGGTAGGAGCTCAAAGATTGTTAGTTTCTATGTGCCTCTGAAAAACGTTGCCCAAAAAAATGACATGAATTGTAGTTGATAAATGCAGAAGAGGTATTGATTACACATGTACATCAAGAAGAAAGGTCCCAATTTTAAAGAACAAGAAGATTCTTAAAAAGACCTTTTCTTTTTTTTTTTTTTAATTTTTTTTTTTAAGATTTTATTTATTTGCAAGAGAGAGAATGAGAGGCAGAGAGCACGAGAGGGAGGGGGGTCAGAGGGAGAAGCAGACTCCCTGCTGAGCAGGGAGCCTGATGTGGGACTCAATCCCGGGACTCCAGGATCATGACCTGAGCCGAAGGCAGTCGCTTAACCAACTGAGCCACCCAGGCGCCTTAAAAAGACCTTTTCTAAGAAGATCTCCGTAGGTTGGAATCTATAGAAAAGGCTTGAAGTAAGGAATTAATATATGATATTGCTAGAGAAAAGACTCCATAGTGGGTATGTTTCTGAAATGGGGTAAGAGTCCTGAAAGCCAGGTGGAATTTGTATTATTATTAGTTAGTAATAAGAAACAACTGGAGCTTTGGGGGATTTATTTTTATTTCCCTAGTAACATACTGATTTAATGCATTTAAATCAGCCTGACAGGCTAGTAATCATAGTTTAAAATTTCAGGTCCTAAATGTCACAACGTCACTGCTCCCAACATTGTTAGGTGAGACACAAATGAGTAACAGACTCTTGAAACACTAAATCCAACTCAGGAAAAAGATAAATACCGAACTGTAAGATTTAGCACTAATAAAAGTAAGAACTTTTACTGTTTTTTTTTAAGCATCAAATCAGGTTTCATCTCTTTCTTAAAAATAAAAATCAACAGAATATGTACTTTTATTATTAAAATTGCTACATCAGTTGAAAATGGGAGTTAGGAATGCTTTATAAGAACAGTTATCAAGTTCTGTCATCTTACAGATGTCTGTGGATAAAATGACTTTGTATATAAAATGATCTCCTTTACACGAATCTTGTTTCAATCATGGTAATAAAGAAGACAATTATGTATGCTATAAAGAAATGATACTGTTTGAAGAGTGATCTCAAATATCTGTCTGGTCAGCACTGGCTGACATAGACCATTGTTAGCTCTGTAGCTTGATCAGTGATACCGTCGCGTGAAATGTGAGTTGAAGACATCAGGTATTCCTGTAGCTTAATTTAATGACTTGGGCTCAGGTTTATAAAATGCAGTCAGGGGCGCCTAGGTGGCTCAGTTGGTTAAGCGACTGCCTTCGGCTCAGGTCATGATCCTGGAGTCCCTGGATCGAGTCCCGCATCTGGCTCCCTGCTCGGCGGGGAGCCTGCTTCTCCCTCTGACCCTCCCCCCTCTCATGTGCTCTCTCTCTCTTTCATTCTCTCTGTCTCAAATAAATAAATAAAATCTTTAAAAAAATAAATAAATAAAATAAAATGCAGTCAGTCTTTCATTGCTGACCAGACAGTTTGCCTATTGATTAATAGCAGGCTACATTAACAATAAAATTTTACTTAGTTTTTATATATCTGTCTATTTTATCAAAGAATTTTTCTGTTTTTTTTTTCTTTTTGGGTCAGGGTTCCAGTTGAGCCATCTTCTGTCATGTCACTATCACCAAGTCACAATCAGGTAAAAAAAAAAATTTTTCTGTTTTAGTTTTGATTTTTTTTAAAAAACTAAGATGATTTTCTATTTTCATAACACTTAAATTACCATTAATTGCCAGATACGTGTAAATTTCACTACCTGTCTCCTCCAAAATACAGTTGATATAACATGTGCACCTCATACTTGCTAACAGTGTTTTTAGACACCAGATAGACAGTAAATCTTTACCGACATGATGGCTCTATAATACATACAAGAACAAGAACACAGTGCAAAGATGGGAAAAGATGAGCAGTAAACACATTGAAAGAAATGCTAGGTGACTGCAAAGTAGAAATTGCTTGGGTCAGCAGTAGTTTCCTGAATTGATTTGGAATATTGGCAAGTTGACCTTTAGCCCCACTTGCACGTGCAAAATACTTTTGTTCCAGTTATCACATATAGACTTGGAACTTCATCGGAGAAGAGAACAGTTAGTAGAGCGAACTCGGAGAGAGGCCCAGCTTGCTGCCCTACAGTATGAGGAGGAGAAAATAAGGACCAAGCAGATGCAGAGAGATGCTGTCCTGGACTTTGTCAAGGTGAGATTTTTGCCATGTTTCATTGAAATTCCTAACGTATTTTAGAAGTAAGTGCTTATTTGTTTTGCTGAGGCTAACAGTGTTCATCTTAAAGTGTCAGCTTTCTTATGTCACCATAAGGAATCTGAGTAAGTAGTGTAACGGTCTCCTACTTGTGATTAGATGGATTGTCCTCCTGTAGGTAGACTGAGAAGTGATCATCTTGTTCTTGGGACAGTAGTCTCTTCCTCTTCATTAGCAGTCTGTCTTTAGACATCTCACTTTACTGTCCAGCTGCCATTTCCTCAATCTCTAGTACATTAATAAAAATCAGTAAGACCGTGAAAGTGCCACGTAAACCTTAAAGTGCCATGCACATGTAAACTCTTGTTATCCAAGCCCGTCTCTAACTTCCTCACTGCTGAGCACCAAATTTTTGCAAGGTTAACAGGCTTAATACTTCAGAGTCATCTTTGAGTCTTTCCTTTCTGTTCTTTCCACACCTACTCAGGTAAGAACCCCTCTTAATACTTCTTTCTTTTTTTAAATTTACAGTCTCTACAGTTGCATCTAAACCTGTTTCTTTTCTTGCCTGTATCACTTAAAGTCTTTTTGTTCAGAAATCACATTGGATTTTTCCCTTCATGATTAAATAACTCTTTATATTTTTGTCTGTCTGATATCTGTCTCTCCCATTTATCTGGAAGCCCCATGAAGACAGAGAGTATGTTTGTCTTGTTTATTTACTGCTACATCCCTAGATCTTAGCAGGTCTTAGCTCATAGTAAGGCTCAGTAAATATTTGTTAAAGGAATGATTGAATGAATGAATCACTCTTGTCCTCTAAAGCTTTCTCTCTTGTGTTTCATAACTCTAGCCAAAGACCATCTTTAAGTACCAGACACGTGATAAAATTCTTTTTTTGTTTTTTTCAAATGTATCACACCCAGGAGGATGATCTCTGATGCTCAGACAGGATGACAATTTCCCTAGGCTCAATACTCAGCTAGTTAGTGGCAGAGCACAGGTTCTGATCAAGACAGGTTGAACAGAACATGGAAATAAGGTTGACAGAAAATGAAAAGTTTCTTTAAAGGAAAAAAAAAAAAAAGGGTGTTTCCAAACCCTAATCTGGGACCACAATGCTGTATTGACTGTCAGTAAATAATGACAGCTAACACATACTGTATCCTAAGCACTGTTCTGTCCGTTCTACATTCATTCATTCATTTAGCTTGCCTTCTGTAGAAGCCACATAGCTAGTAAGAGACAATCACATTGTAGATGGTCTTGATTAAATGCTAAATTAGAGTTTGATCTTGATCTATTAGGTAGAAGAGAACAGTTAGAAGTTCTAAAACAGGAGCAAAACAGAGGAGAGATACTTGCGAAAAGCTAATCTACTCATTTTAGAATATGTTAGAAAGAAAGAGATGAGGTAAATGAAATAGAGAGTAATTGCAATAATTAGACTAGGGTACAAAATGAAGGCATAGAACCGGATGATTTCTGAGGTTCCCAAAGAGAGGCAGTGTTACACAGTGGTAAAAGCTTAGCCTCGGGGGGGCGCCTGGGTGGCTCAGTTGGTTAAGCGACTGCCTTCAGCTAAGGTCATGGTCCTGGAGTCCTGGGATCGAGTCCCACATCGGGCTCCCGGCTCGGCGGGGAGCCTGCTTCTCCCTCTGACCCTCTCCCCTCTCATGCTGTTTCTCTCTCTCTCTCGAATAAATAAATAAAATAAAATCTTTAAAAAAAAAAAAAGCTTAGCCTCAGAAATAATCTGAATTTGAATCTAGCTTAGCTACTCATTATGTGCTCGACTTTGGGAAAGTTACTGAGTCATTCTGTGCCTTTAATTTCCCTATAGGTGTAATATTTAATTGTTAAATATTAACTCAGAATTATTATGGCCGCACCTAATACTTTTACTAGCGTGGTGAGTGCTGCACCCCCTACCACCACAATGGATTTTATAAATTAGAAATTTGAAGAGAAGCATCTTTATGTTTTATACATAAATGTAGTGAATGTTGAATAAATCATTGAAGATGAGTGAAAAAAAGATCCCAAAGCAAGATTTTGAGGCTAAAAGAATAGTTTGAAAAGGAGGCTAGCTTTGTGGAAAGAATATAGGATTCAGAGTCAGAAGATATTGATACAAATCTCAGTTATGGTACTTGCCAACTTTGTGAATTTGCACATATCATTTAACCTCTCTTGTCCTTAATTCTTTTATTTTGAAATAAGTATGATTATGATGTTCATTTATCTCCGAGAGTAAGAAGAATCACTTAAGATAATGTGTATAAGAATACATTGTAAAACAGTGACTATAGAGATGGTATAATATGATTATTTGACATAATAATAGAAATTAGCAAATTGGGGGAAAGAGCCAGTAAGCATGGGAATTTGTGGGTTTGTTTTTGAGCACGTTGAACATACGGTGACAGTGGGTTTCCAAATAGAGTTTCCGCAGGCAGTTGAAAATGCAAACCTGAAAACTGGCTGAGAGGAGAGAGCTAAAGGTGTTAACACTAGACAAAGAGAGAATGATTTCATTGAGAGAATGTAGTGAGAGATCACCATTCTGGTTGTGAATGTGTGAGTGCATGTACATATAAAAAACATACATTTTATATTTCTATTTATGGATGCTTATAGACCTATGAAATACTGTCTGTCAGTATATTGCCTTCCTCGTTTAGATTGTAAGCTGTTTAAGGGAAAGGGCAGCGTCTTCTAACCAGTAAATCTAGAAAAGTGCTGCATGCGAGAGATAACAGAAATTAATGTGGTGATTATCTTGGTAAATAGAATTTATCATTTCCAGTGTTCCAGATTCTAACCAACTTCCCTTTCTTGGGGGGCTTGGGGGTGTATAGCACAAAGCGTCACAAAATCCACAAAAACAACAACCCCCCTTAGATGATGAGGTAAGTCTATATAATCACCTTTTCTTTGGAATTTTTTAATTGCAATGGAAGTGAAATGTTTTGTATGTGATGATCATGTGTTTTCAGTGATCAGAATACTGCCATTTTCCTTTTCCCCTCACAAAATTCTACTTATTTGGGAGAAGATGACACGGGCCAGGGAGTTTATCCAGTCTATAGATCAGGGTTTTTTTAACCTATACTAATGCATCTGGAGATTCTTTATTCCCTTCCTGTATCCCCACCAGAAGTATCATCTCCCTCATCCATTTCAAAGCAGAGTGTGTAGTGAGAGGGAGTCCTGAGAGCTGTATGTGACAGGAGTAAATGATATTGGTATTGAACTAAAAGATGCTACATGTATTTCAGCTCCAGGGCTCACTTCCTGAGTGTGTATGTTATTGATTATATGGCATACACAGTAGTTTTATAATATTAAGTAGTACATTTGAATCACAAGTAAACATGTAAAATTAATTACTTTTTAAAATGCACCTGTTTTGATCTGTTAAAATGAAACTTACTAAATATTTTTATAGTAGTTGGCTTTTTTATTAAAAGCCATTTTTCTTTATCTTTGCCTTATCATTTTTTTCAATTTATGATCACTGCTTCCTTAAAAAATGCATAAAGGCATTGTTTCATGTGAATTTTGAATCTGCTTTCTGTAAAGTAAATTGCTTGAAAACCTAACACGGGGCTTTACAAGCATCAAGTTTCAGCACAGAGATTTTAAAGCACAGGTGTTACTGGAATGGTAAAATGCATTGTTTGAAATGTTTTAAATTATCCATTATAAAGGTTTTTTTCTTTATCTCAGTGGACATATAATCAGTACTTCTGGTTTATCTCAGAACTTAAGCACTGGTATAATACCTGAAAGAGTAACTCGGCCTTTTCAGTTGTCTTTTCTTCACAAGGTAATAATAAAGGTACAAACCTTTCACAGATAAAGTTAATGCCATCTTTTTTTACCCCCAGATTTCCTTCATAATGGTCATTCTGGAGGGAACTCATTATTTAAAAATTTAAACTTCTCAGGAAAATAAGGTGTACAGTTTTTAAGTTTCCAGTTGCACTCTTGTTTTTTCTGAGAAAGGTAATGAAGAGATGCATAGACTAGAACTCATGACCCTTGGTTTATTTTTAATTTGTCACTGACTCATTAAATGACCACAAATTCTTTGTCACTGCTACATCTGTATTTCAGCTTTCTCTCCTGTGAATAGAGAATAATCCCTGTTTCCTCCTTGCTTTAGGCAGTTGTTAAGCAATAAGATCATATTTGAAATTATTTAAGCTCTTTAGAAGAAAGTCATGACTCCAAATCAGTTTATTAGCTATTACGATACATGAATTCCAGATGATTGTGAATGTGATCCCATATGTTAGCATCTTCAGTATGTCTTCACATATCTCTTTGCTTGTGTATTTGTGAAATATGTCATGTGTGTGCATAGTTTGTTTTTGACATTGCTCCATTTCTCTCCACCTCTCCAGTGTCCCTTCCCATCCAGAAGGTCTCAGCACACTGATGATAGTGCCTTGTTAGTGGTAAGAGCCTTGCACGAAATGGAGTTATATATTGCTGTCTAGGTATTGGAGAACAGTTGTTATACTTCTCATTCAGAAGGTATCTAAATATCATAAAACATGATGAGCATCATTACTAAATGCTTTACAAGTAGCTAGAATGGTTTCCTATATTATTGTTCGTGATTTACCCAGTGTTCCAGCGGTCTGCTGCTATGATTCAAATACCTTTGTTAGTGTTTCCAAAAGTAAAACGTTCACATTGTGATCCATATTGGCTTTGTATGTGGGTTAGGAGGAGGGGGCATAATTTGTTTTTTAAATGTCATTTCTAATTCCAGGTGCATTTACTTTATTAATCATTAATTTGGCTGGTGAATCACCTGTGTGTTCAGTGAATTTTCTTACTCCATGACTAATTATACAACTGTTTATTTGCCTTCCTATTTTATTATCTGTTTTAAGCTACTGAAAATCCCAAACTTTTAAAAAATACTTAACATCTCAAGATTATCCCTCCATGCCCCTTTTTTTAAACTCTGGGAAACATTAACTTGGAATGTTACCTACTGATCATTTTTAACACTGGTTTACTTTTAGTGCCTTTCATCAACTGAGAATGAGCATAACATAAAATCTGTATTGAAAATCTTAGTAAGTTTTGTCAGCCTTGCAAGAGAATTCTAACATTTACAAAATGCTTTTCCCATCATGTTTTATGATATTTTTTACAGTATGTCGAAAGCGAGCCGTTTGAAAGTCCAGTGTGTGTAGCAATCGCTGTCTTCTGTCTCAGTACCTGCTGCCATTGTGCACTCTGCTGCACGGACTGCAGGCTTAGTGTGCACATCTTCTCGCGTAGACTCTGTTGTCCACGCTTCCGTGTGTTCTGCAGTGATCACTTCCGTTGAGATGGATAAAGCACATTTTAATTGGGCAGTCTTAGAGATAAATAAAACCACCACCCTCTGGGGGCTTAGTGGAAATTAATTGGCATGAGAAGCGAGTAACTTAAATTAATGCAGAAAAATATTGAGAGACGCTACCGGAATTATCTCATTTACTCCTCACGGCACTCTGAACAGTTAAGGTTAAACCTATCACCCTTTTACCAACGGTTACCGAGGCACAGAATGTTTTGTCCTGAATGCGATTTGTCCAAGGTCACGTAGCCTAAGTAAGTGCAAGATTGGGTTCAAATCTAGATCTTGCTGACTTGAGAACCTGCATTAAACACCATGGTGTATTGCCTCTCATGCTGTAATTGAAAACACCTTTTGAGACTGAGATTTAATAACACATATAGGAAGTGATAGGAGTCAGAGTGCCCACACTTCTTTGTCGAGGAAAAAGTGGAATTTGGAAAAACAACAGAATTCCCTCAGTGTGAAATTTGAAATGGCTTTTAGCCATTTTCAAAACACATGCACTTGTATTTTTCTCCTCAGTATTCATGTTTGACCTAAATGAGATGGCCTTGAAAAGCAAGGACACATCTCACATATTTTTGTATGCCAAATAACGTCCAACACTGTACAAAAAAGAGTCTATTTTAAAGCATACCTCTGATTTTCTCAAGACTACTCTTCGATGGCTTCATATGATAGAATAAAGTCCTAACTTTTTTTTTTTTAGAGAGGGAGTGGGGGAGGGACAGAGGGTGAGCGAGAGAGAGAATCTTTTTTTTTTTTTTTTAAAGATTTTATTTATTTATTTGACAGAGAAAGACACAGCGAGAGAGGGAACACAAACGGGGAGTGGGAGAGGGAGAAGCAGACTCCCTGCTGAGCAGGGAGCCCGATGCGGGACTCGATCCCGGGACTCCAGGATCATGACCTGAGCCGAAGGCAGTCGCTTAACCAACTGAGCCACCCAGTCGCCCGAGAGAGAGAATCTTAAGCTGACTCCACTAGCACGGAGCCCAACGTGGGCCTCGATGCAGGGCTTGATCTCGTGACCCTGAGATCATGACATGAGTCGGACACTTAACCGACTGAGCCACCCAGGCGCCCCAAGTCCTAACTTCTTAACATGGCCTAAAAGCTCCTGGTGGTAGCCCGTTTCTACCTCACAACCTTTTGCAGATGCGGTTTCCCTCAGCATGGACTGCATCTCCCTCCCTGCATATACCCCTTGGTTAATTCCTTCTCATCTATCAGGTATCAGCTTAAATGTCACACCTTTAAAATGGCTTTTCTGCAACCCACAACCCCCAAATCAAATTTGTCTCCACTGTCATTTTTCTCATCCTAGTACTTTTAGGTGGGCATTTATTGTTTTATATCTCTTCCCTATTAGACTGCAGGCTGTAAGCTTCCTGGGCACAGGGATATTCTCTCTTGCAATTACCTATGTATACTCAGTCCCTATCATTGTCCCTGGGACATATTAAGTGCTCAATAAATATTTCCTGAATGAGCACATAAATGCTATGTATGTAATAATCGCTCATTAAATTGTTTCATGATGAAAAGGTCTGATGATATAGCAAGGCATAAATATTGGATTTGATTTAAAGACCTTAAAGTATGGGATTTGAAATAACTATTAGTGGTGCTTAATATCCATGACATAAACATTCTCTTAGGGCTGCCCTTCAGGCGTCCGCTGCTTTCATCTATATCCCACTGCATCTGTGTATCATCTCAGAATCTAGAGACAGTCGAGACTCATTTTACTTCCTCTTCCCTCCACTCCTTTTGTCCTCCTTTGACAATGTAGTGGCTTTTAGCCTTTTCATGTTTGGGATTTACAGTAATTCCAGTACATTTGGTTATAAAGAGGCCCAGGAAAACTGAAGAGGTGAAACGTACACGGTGTATAACTGTTTTCACAGTCCTGTTCTTTGGTATATTTCCTTCATTTTTTTCTGCTTTAAGATAGATTAGGTTGCAGTGTTACCCTTTTTTTTTTTTTGCCAACCCCCCCACAAAAGAAACATTGCTATCTATCAGCTGTCTTATAAAAATAACTGTATCTATTTCATAGATCATCTACACACCTTTTTCTAAACACCCACATGTGTTTAAGTTGATTTATTCCATGATTCACATATTTGTGATCCTAGTTTACATTTTTCAAAGCTATTTAACTTATAAAGGCTTTAATATATTTAAGCCTTTGGCATTTTGTTGTTTTAATAGGTACAGTCTTATCCAATGCCCTTTGTAAAAGTCCTGTCTTCTTTGATTTCTACTCTTTACCAAATTAAAAAACTGTCACATTTTGCACAGTTTTATCTATAATCAAAATTCTGTACAGTAGATTCTAATAACATTGTCTCTAGTTATACCTCTAATTTACCTAATAGATACAGCTAATATTTCTAGTTGTGTGTACGTTGGTGAAAAGATCAAGGATTCAAAGAAAAGGAAAATTCCACTCACCCTCTTACAGGTCATTTGGACACAGAGGCAGAAATAAAATTCATCCTTAAGGTGTGATGCAGAATCCTCCTATCCTGTTTTCTCACATCAGAGCTGTTACACATATATGTATGTATAATGCCAAGGCAATATATATATATATATATGTATGTCGAATTTGGATTAACATTGAAGAAGCACTGTTCTTACTCATGCCAGTTCTGCTCATTTGACATGAGCTCCTCAACTGTGTTTCTTTCCCCATCATAGGCAGAGCACAGGACTTCCTAGTTTCGTTTCTAAGGTGATTATGCTCAAAAATTTTGATGTTCTCAGTTTTAGTTCTGCATAAGATCTTTTTAATAAATCATGCCTGCTTTTTTTTTTCGGTTGTCACATGATCATTTATGAAAATATTTTCCTTTGTAGTTCTTAACTAGCTGGGCATTTCGCTACACCACTGTTGATGTCATCTATGATGTAATGAGGGCACCTGCGGCCATCAACATTGCAGCCCAGAGACTGGGCAGTCCCCAGGATCTCGTTAATGGTTCCAGAGAGTTCTGTAGCTAAAGATCGGTGCCACATCCGTCAGGCCGTATTGACAATCTCATCAAAAGTGATACCTACTCTGCTTTATATTGTTCTGCTTGTTTCTGTCTCTTGATTCCTTGAGGGCTTTAATAATCAGGGCAGAGGCAAAAGGTACCACTTCCATCTGAGCCCCTCTGTCCTGAACGGTCGGTTGGTCAGTTGCGCTATAATCCTCAGACCTTTGCAATCACTGGTTGCCTTGGCATTGTCATCACCAGGCTTTGTTGGAGACAGACCCAGAGGGCTGCCCTTGGGGGCCAGGGCAGACGGGGCACTGACTTCCCCAGCTATATACCTCAGGTATACAACTTTGCTGTCCTTGGGCTCGAGCTTAGGCAGCATGCTGGAGACAGCTGGTGTTGGATGAACCCGGATTCAAGATGACTGAAAAGAGTTGCACCTTGGCCTCCTGAGAGCCGACAGCCAAAAGCCCCTTCATTTCTTGATTAATGTGGTATGAAGTATTGAAATAGTTTAAATTATACAAGTGGGAAAACTATTTTAGAAGTTATTCGTTTTGTCCCCCCAAGTATTCTTTCTGCCCTATCAGTATCTTAGTAAACCATTTGAAAGTTTGTCCGTGACCTTTCCTTTTCTAATTTCATTGGCCAGATCTGCCCTGCCTGCCTGACATTTTGCTAACATGAACGCTGCCTTCTGTTTCTTCTCTTTCTCTTTTAAAATTTAGTCGCTGTCAGGGTTGAATCAAGTGGGCTGTGCTGCTACCCTGCCTTATTCTTCTGCCTTCATGCCTATTAAGGTATCTCTTGTTACTGTAATGCACCAGGAGCTTTGGGGAGGGGTTGTGCATGGGAGCTCTTAAATTTTCCAATAGATTGGTCCAATGGCAATGTAAAATCTAGGAGTGCGTGAAATATCTGTAAGCTTATAAAACTATTTGTGAGTTTAACATTAATTTTGCTTGAAATTTTTGAAAGATTTACTGTGCTGGAAACACAGAGCCTGCATTAATTCTTTATATGGAGATTCTGTTTGAAATATCATTCTGATATTCCTATCAGAGGTTATTTTTTTGTCATGAGTTACTTTGGCTGATAAATAATGTCAAATTAATTCTATTGTCTGATACGCATGCAAAATAATTTCAGTCCCAGTCTCCAAAAGTGTCACTGCTAAAACCCTCTCATAGTAGAGGTCAACAAGCTGTGGCCCCGAGGCCCCCTGGATTTGTAAATAGTTTTATTGGCAGCGCCACCCGCATTTGTTCCTGTCTGGTCTATGGCTGCTTTCAAGCTTACCAGCAGAGTTGGAATATGGCCTGCAAGCCTGAATAAAGAGCTTGTGGTATTTTATTTTTTGAAGGCCTGTAGGAATGGTAATTCCATATATATCATATGATATATAAGAAATTCTTAATAACCTTCACTGTTAGAAGGTTCTCCACTTGTCTAACTTAGATCTTCCCCCCTGTGGTATACACTTCTTTCTTCTTTTCTTTCCAGTGTGGAGATTTTCTAGTTATTTAGCAGTCTTTATGTAAGAGTCTTTATATTTGAAAACTATTACGATGCTGCCCTTGTCTTCTCACTGTATAAATTCTGGTCATTTTATGTGCCTTTCTCAGTCTCTTAATCCTTTTGAGCTTTCTCAAGTTCTCTGCCTTCCATTTTGGCTCCACAGTCCCCAACCAGAAACATACCCTTCACTCGAGCCCACCTGGCGCTGAGCAAGAAACAAGGCTTTTCACGTCTTCCTCTGAGCATTAGGTTGGCTTTTCTCATTTTGCTCAGTATCCATTGTAATTCTCAGATGTTTCTGTTATACTCCTAAATGATCATTAACTCCTACATCTTGTATCCTGTTTTTCTAAATACTTAATTTTGCTTTTTGAACATTTTTACTTCTCTGATTTACCAGAATACTTTCAAATTGTTGCATCATGTCCTTCTAAATGCTAGCCCCAACTTTATAACATCTGTAAACCTGATAAACCTTCTCTCTAGTCGTTATTGAAGATGCTACACATAGCTGGATGACTTCTGAAGAAACTTTATAATTCTCTTCTATGTTGACCCTTTGCTAGCCTTTCTCAGCTAGGTTCCTTATTTGAATGACAACACAGAAAATTGAGGGATTGTTCTCAAAATCCTCTCAAGGAAGGTGTTTAGTATAGGAGATGTATAGGAGAGAAGCTAATTCATTACACGCAATGGATACCTTAGGGCATTGGAGCTTATTCTCTCCCACAATCATAGTTGAAAAAGGCCAAATCTGAATGTGCCAACCATTGTGTGATTAAGTCTAACTTTCTATTTGTCCAGACCTGCTGCAGTGTAAATGATTAGTTTGAAAAGACTATATTTTTTGGTATCCCAGTTACTTTACAGCAGGTATATATTTATATATATTTAGGCAAGGGTTTATTTCTTTTATTGCTTAACCAGACAAGTAAAAGTCGAGTTCCTGTCAATTTCTGGTTTTTGTTCCAGTTCTCCAAGAGTTCTCAAATATAGTTCATGGCCTCTAAATGATTTGAACTAATTATCTTCATATCCTAGAATGCAAGTCACTTAGATTTCTAGATTCAATCAAAGTACATTTTAAAAATCATCATTCTAGGGCGCCTGGGTGACTCAGTCGTTAAGTGTCTGACTTCGGCTCAGATCATGATCCCAGGGTCCTGGGATCTAATCCCACATCAATCTCCATGCTCGGTGGGGAGCCTGCTTCTCCCTCTGCCAGCCACTCCCCCTGCTTGTGCTCTTTCTGTCTCTCTCTCAAATAAATAAATAAAATCTTTTAAAAAAATCATTCTGCTAGTTAAAAAATGTATCTTTATATCATGAAGTTATATTTAATTTATTAAGTCTAGATGAGAAGGCCTGGAAAATTGTTACTCTAGCTTTTCTTGATTTTACTCCCCTGCCAAGTCTTCAGTATTGTTAGCCCATCCAACCAACACTTCTTTTTAAGTTAGGTTATTACATTTCTCTTTTTTATTAAACTCTATACATGTTGAGCTAGCTCTTCCTTCTTTTTATAGTTCCCTTTGGTCAATGAAGTAAAAACATCTTGGACTCAAATGCTAGACTGAAAATACAGCTATCCATCATCTTTAAACACCTTATTTCCTAATTGAAATGAAGAGACCTTCATCATTTTTTTCTTAATACATTAAATTTTACTCTAGGGGGAGAAAAATAACTCAGAAACTATACCAGAAAATGAAATTATAAAATGAAATTTACTCTCCCCTATACATTTTCTAGTAAAATTTTCTGCCCTAGGATGATCATTCTTCATAGTCCTAGGAAAGACCTATTAGACTATCTTTAGGGAATGCATTTTACATAAACCTCGTATCCTGTAGAAGTAAATGAAAAGTTTGGCCTTAAAACAATGTACAAAATTAATCATTACACCAAATTCTCATTTCTAGACTTAATTTTGAAGGAGAGTTTCATGATTTTTTTTACTTTTATCTCAGGTAATCATAAATGTGGAAAGTACCCTTTCTTGAATAATAATTATTGATACATCTCTGTTTCTCCACAGAATGATGACAGATCTAATGCCATAGCAAGTTCACCTACAACGGAAACAGGTAATAGACACAAAGGTATAATTAACCACATCAAGAATAATTTTTACCAGGACTTTCTTGATAATTACCTCTAGGCTAGCTGTGGTTTCCTTTTCTGAGAGGAGAAACCAGACCCCAAATTGAGTATTTCCTGCACATTTTCCATTTTTTAATTCAACTGGTTGTTCGACTACTCAGCCATTTGATATGAGCCTATGAGCATGAGCTAGCAGGGCTATACGTTCCCAACAAGAGAATCTATTCAGTATAGTAACATTTGTTCTGCCTTTATTGATACAGCAAAAATAACATGACAGTTAAAAATACATACAAGCAGCCTTCCTGATTTCAAGGTTAGTTTTCTGTACCCAATTTTGTATTAATAAACAAAATTATCATCTTATTTCATTACCAGGTTTAATTTGATCTTTGTACCATTTATTGAACTTTTGTGACACGTGTGTCTGTTGTTATATTTAATTTTTTTTTCCATCTCCTTTAATCTTATTTTGCTTTTCCATGCTGATGTAGTTCATCATTGCCCTGCATATTCTTTTCCTGCTGCTATTCAGAGAAACCAGGTCCAGCGCCCTGAAAGCTTCCTTTTCCGAGCAGCTGTCGGGGCAGAAGCAAATAAAGGTAGGTCACAGTGACTAAAAAGTGGGGGGGTACTCTGTATAACAACATTAACTATTATATGCTTTTTAACTTCAGCCCTGAGATGTCACTTTGGCAAAAGCTTTAAACTCTGCATTCGTCTGTGGTCTCACTAACATTAAAGCAGGAGAATCTTGTTTGAATTTCTTAGTACCACCCAAAGGAGGTTATAGGTCTGAACAAATAAAGTACTCTTTCAGGGCTTTAGGGAATGTTTCTCTTCTCTGTATTGAGCTCTTTTTCAGATTTTTCTTTTGATAAAAGCTGTTTTATGTGTTCTTAAATGAATCAGTAATTTTTTTTTTTAAGATTTTATTTATTTTTTGAGAGAGATAGAGAGATCACAAGCAGGAGGAGGGGCTGAGAGAGAGAGAGGGAGAGGGAGGAGCAGACTCCCTGCTCAGCAGGGAGACTGACACAGGACTTGATCCCAGGACCCTGAGATCAAGACCTGAGCCGAAGGCAGATGCTTAACTGACTGAGCCACTAAGGTGCCCAAGTAATTCTTTTTTTAAAAAATGTACTCAGTCTAATGTTTCTTAGTTAGTATGACATACATCTGCCTGGCCTCCAAAGAAGTTACCTGGAAGTAGAAACAGACATTTCAAGTCAAAAATAACTACTTTTAGTGTAACTGATAGATGCCCTCACAGTGAGATTTAAAATCAAACCAGAGTTGCACTGCATGTGGGATTGTAAATTAGTATGGAAAACTGTTTACATTATCTAATAATGTTGACATTTGTATCCCATGACCAGCAGTTTTACTTTCTAAAATACGTAAACACATATACCAGAAGATATGTACAAAAATATTTATAGCAACGTTATTCATAATAGCCCCAGAGTGTCCATTAATGATGCAGTGGATAAATAATTGTGGCGTATCTGTATAATGGGATACCATATAAGCAGTAAAAGTGAACAAATAAATATATATAACAATATGGATAAATCTCATAAACAGTGTCAATCAGACAAAACCAAGGACAGAAACATACATACATACAGTACAGCTTCACTTATTGAAAGTTCAAAACTAGACAAAACTAATCTATGGTATTACAAGTCAAGTACATAGTTAAAACCTGTGTCGTTAGGGGCACCTGGGTGGCTCAGTCGTTAAGCGTCTGCCTTCGGCTCAGGTCATGATCCCAGGATCCCGGGATCAAGCCCCGCATCGGGCTCCCTGCTCGGTGGGAGGCCTGCTTCTCCCTCTCCCACTCCCCCTGCTTGTGTTCCTGCTCTCGTTATCTCTCTCTCTGTCAAATAAATAAATAAAATCTTAAAAAAAAAAAAACTGTGTCGTTAGAAGTAACCTTTAGGTACTGTACTGATGGGCAGGGAGCATGAGAGGGACTTGTGGGTGTTGGTAATGTTGCATTTATTGACCTGATTGTGTCCACTTTGTGATAATAATTTATTGAGCTGCTTGCTTACGATTTGTGTAATTTCTGTATGTCTGTTATTTTTCAATAAAAACATTTTTAATCAAACAAAACTAGTTGAACTAAATGGGTAATGGACATTTGGTCATTTTTAACACCATTCTCCCTATTAGTGCGTATATTTGAAACTTTTCATAATAAAAACTGTTTTTTAAGAGTCAGTCCAGAAGTGGGAAGTGCTGTACTTGTGAGGAACCTGTGACCAGGTGCATCTAAGTATTTTTCGAGTGCTAGCAATTGCCTGTCAGTCTTACATATTCATGTTTTTTTAGGTCATGCTTCACCACTTCTTTCATCTTCTGCATCTACCACTGATTCTGCAGATCCCAAAATGAGACCGAATTCAAGACCAAGAGAAGAAGAGCTGGAATTAATAGATCAACTACGGAAAGTGTGTACATTATCTTTGAATTACACTTTTGCAGTATTATTGCTGGAGCCCATAACCCTGCAGTCACTTGTTCATTTGGCTTAACAGTTTTCAACAGAATCAACAAGTGCCCATTGTGTGATAAACATAAAAGAGATTTTGCTATTAAGGACATTCTTTTCAGCTTTTACTAGGAAAACGAAATGGGTTATTCTATAAAGCTCAATTCCTAGCCCTCATTTAAAAATTTTTCTGCCTCATGTAAGGAAATCTTGTAAGAGTCATAATAACTTATATGTGTGGACACAAGTACATAGACCTATAACATCACATGTAGTGTTTATTTTATTTTGGAATTGAAAGAGAATCTAGTTCTTTTGTATTTTTAGTCAGAAAATTGTAAGTGAATTTCTCATGTATTTTGCACATACTGTGGCCTGGCTGCCATATGTATCTATCAGATCTCCTTAAGTTACTGGTTTGAGATAGAAGGATAAAATAGGGATTATGGTAGTTAAGTTTTTTGCTTTTTATCTGATTCCTAATTAAATATATTTCACTGTAACTCCATTATGACCTCCGTGTCAGCCTCTCTTCAAGTTAACATGTTACACGTTTTCCTGGTTTTTTAGCATATCGAGCACCGACTGAAAGTATCACTGCCTTGTGATCTTGGAGCAGCTCTAACCGATGGTGTTGTCCTTTGCCATTTGGCCAATCACGTGCGGCCTCGATCTGTCCCCAGCATCCACGTGCCCTCACCAGCTGTAGTAAGTATATCATGCTAAAAAAAAAAAAAGCTGGCTTTTCATCAGACAGTTATTATGTACAGTGGCAGGCATTATGCAGAATACTCGGGATACAAATATGAAGAGTCCAGTCCCTGTCTTCCCAGGTCTCAATTCTACTAGAGAAAAAGTCAGCATGGAAACAATAATTAAAGAGCTATGTAAGAGGTTGCTGTAGGAATACAAAAAAGGGACCACTTAACTCTGCCTGGAGAGTTCAGGCAAGCCTGCCCAGAGGAGGTAGAATTTGAACTAGTTCTTAAAGTATGAGTAGGAATTTGCCAGCATAGGGGCGCCTCACTGGCTCAGTCAGTAGAGCATGCAACTCTTGATCTCGGGGTCGTGAGTTTGAGCCCCATGTTGGGCATAATGGTATTGAGAAAATTGGACCGCAACATGCAGAAGAATGAAATTGGACCACTTTCTTACAGCATACATAAAAATAAAATCAAAATGGATGAAAGATCTAAATGTGAGATGGGAATCCATCAAAATCCTAGAGGAGGGCACCTGGGTGGCTCAGTCGGTTAAGCGACTGCCTTCGGCTCAGGTCATGATCCTGGAGTCCCTGGATCGAGTCCTGCATCGGGCTCCCTGCTCGGCAGGGAGCCTGCTTCTGCCTCTGACCCTCCCCCCTCTCATGTGCTCTCTCTCTCTCATTCTCTCTGTCTCAAATAAATAAATTAAAAAAAAATCTTAGAAAAAAAAAATTTTTTTTAAATCCTAGAGGAGAACACAGGCAGCAACCTCTTCGACCTCAGCTGCAGCAACTTCTTGCTAGACACGTCTCCAGAGGCAAGGGAAACAAAGGCAAAAATGAACTATTGGTACTTCATCAAGATAGAGATTACTTTTTTTTTTTTAAGATTTTATTTATTTATTTGACAGAGAGCACAAGCAAGGGGAATGGCAGGCAGAGGGGGAGAGAGAGAGAAGCAGGCTTCCCGCTGAGCAGGGAGCCCGATGCAGATGCGGGGCTCGATCCCAGGACCCCGGGATCATGACCTGAGCTGAAGGCAGATGCTTAACGACTGAGCCATCCAGGTGCCCTGAGATTACTTTTAAAAAAACAAATAAATAAAATGACTCAGAAGATTATTTAAAAAAAAAAAAGGAATTTGCCAGCATAACAGAAAGGGGGTAAAGGCATCCTGGGCATAATATGCCTAGGTTCAAAAGATAGCAACAATCGTGGCATATTCAAGGAATTCTTAAGTTGTTTAGAATAGATGGTGCACAATATGTGGTTACAGATGGTGGGAGGTATAGCTAAAGAGGTAAGCCCAGGGCCACGTAATAAGGGCGTTATGTACCATGTCAGGGAGTTAGAAGTTTATCTTAGTGTAGACAAAAGAATTTGAGGAAGAACATGTGATTATAATTGCAGTTTAGAATGATGAATCTATTCTGGGAGTGGAATTGACATGATCTAGTGACAAACTTTGGGTGGAAGATGAGGGAGAATATGCATTCAGGATGACTGGCAGGTTTTCTTTAGACTGCTGGTTAGATCTAGAAGTCAGTATCAGGATGATAACCCACAAAAGAAGGAGCAAGTTTGGGGTTGACACACTCTCCTTTTTTTTCCCCCTTCAAATTTTCATTACAAGAATTTTAAACCTTCAGAAAAGTTGAAAGAATAATACGAGGAACACTCTTAAAGCATCTACCTAGATCTGACACTTATTTCATTTTGCAGTCTTGCTGTGTGTGTGTGTGTGTGTGTGTTTCAGTTGCACTATTTAAAAGTTGCGGATGGGGACACCTGGGTGGCTCAGTAGGTTAAGCATCTGCCTTCCACTCAGGTCATGATCCCAGGGTCCTGGGATCGAGCCCCATGTCGGGCTCCCTGCTCAGCGGGGAGCCTGCTTCTCCCTCTGTCTGCCGTTCTCCCTGCTTGTGCTCTCTCGCTCTCTCTCTGACAAATAAATAAAATCTTTTTTTAAAAAAAGTAAAAGTTGCAGATAATATAAAACTTTATCTTCTGCAAATTTCAGAGAACTGTTGTAAGCCACCTTGCTCTTTTCTGTAGCCTATAGGCAGTGACTGACTGACATGGGAGCTGAGCCCTCCTGCCTTGAGGTGGGAGTGAGGTGTTGATTAACACTACGATGCTTCCTGTGGGATCAGGCTGAAAGAGAAGGGAATCTAGTGAGTCACTAGCAGCCAGTGGGAGTGGGGGTAGAAGGTAAGGATGGATCCACAGACTAGATAAAGTGTTACTGGGTAAAGCACCAACAGCATCCCTCAGCTATATTCACATTTCCCCAGTTGTTCTAAGAATATCTTTCATAGCTGTGCTCCCTCCTTTCCCTACACCCAGCATACACACACACACACAATATAATCAAGCTTACACACACACACACACATACCCAGAATATAATCAAGCTCACCAAGGATGCTATTCATTTGTAACATGCTTAAAACATTGTCTAACCTCCCAAGGATGCTATTCATTTGTAACATGCTTAAAACATTGTCTAAACTCTCAAAAGGTTTGACCTCATCTCATTTTCTGGTCATTTGTTATTATTTAGCAGGCACTTCCTGTTACAAATTCTTTACTCAAATTGCAGTTGTATCTAGGCCTATAGATGCCCACTTCTGGACATTCAGCTTGCTGCCTGTCTAATACGAATCATTTATCCCTCCCAAGGACCTTGTATTCTTCTAATTATAAAAGCTGCTTTGTTACCAGAGTCCCAACGGGGATGATGTGGCCATATCCCCTCAGGCACACCCACAAATAGAGGGTTGCATTTGCTTCTGAGGAAAATTGGTAGCCACTTTTTATTTAGTGACCCCTGACAACAGGCCTTCAGTTTCGCGTAGAAGAGGCAGAGAGGAACAGTAGCCCTACCAAAGTCAGCTGGGCTCCCAGAGACTGGAAAGACTTGGTCCTGGTCCTAAAGGTGGTGATTAAGAGAATAGGAATTGATGTACTATTTGGCAACACCAGTAAGGAAAGGGTTTATTCATACTTTGCATTCTTCCCCGTTTCTGTCAACTGAGTTCAGGGGGAAAAAATTGTTTTAATGATTTGAAAAAAGGACAAATCTGTCATTTTTCATTTCCAGAGGGAATACATGGGAAGTAGCAAACAGCTAATATACAAAGTGGAATTTGAGAGTGAGGGTGACTGAGGTTCTTTACATTGATGACCAGAAAACAGTGCCTTCCATGTAAGAATGTAAAATCCATATAGGAAAAATAAAACTATTTTACAAATACTTAACTGCCTAAAGAAATGAAACACGTGGATCTTCTTGTTAGTCAAAGAAATACGGGTATAACATGAGATGAGAGAATTTAAAACTTGCTAGTGAAGTCAACAACAAAACTTAACTCATCCAGTGCCAGGCATTCGGCCAGGACAAAAGGTATAAGATGAGTTACAAGTGGTCCAATCTCTCAAGAACATTAATTTCTCTTTTAAAAACTGAAAAACAGGGCGCCTGGGTGGCTCAGTTGGTTAAGCGACTGCCTTGGGCTCAGGTCATGATCCTGGAGTCCCTGGATCGAGTCCCGCATCGGGCTCTCTGCTCAGCAGGGAGTCTGCTTCTCCCTCTGACCCTCCCCCCTCTCATGTGCTCTCTCTCTCTATCTCATTCTCTCTCAAATAAATAAATAAAATCTTTGAAAAAAAAAAACAACCAAAAAACAAGTCTTTTTTTTTTTTTTTTAAGATTTTATTTATTTATTTGACAGAGAGAGACAGTGAGAGAGGGAACACAAGCAAGGGGAGAGAGGGAGAAGCAGGCTTCCTGCCAAGCAGGGAGCCTGGTGTGGGGCTTGATCCCGGGATCCTGGGATCATGACCTGAGCCGAAGGCAGACGCTTAATGACTGAGCCACACAGGTACCCCAGAAGAAGTCTTTCATGAAATATCTTTGACATTTAAAAGCAAGTGGGCCTATTAAGGGGCTCCTGGCTGGCTCAGTCAGTAGAGCGTGCAACTCTTGATCTCCGGATAATGAGTTCAAGCCCCACACTGGGTATTGAGATTACCTTTTTTTTTTTTAAAGATTTTTTATTTATTTATTTGACAGAGAGAGAGTTAGCGAGAGCAGGAACAGAAGCAGGGGGAGTGGGAGAGGGAGAAGCAGGCTCCCCGCCGAGCAGGGAGCCCGATGTGGGGCTCGATACCAGGACCCTGGGATCATGACCTGAGTCGAAGGCAGACGCTTAACGGCTGAGCCACCCAGGCACCCCTGAGATTACTTTAAAAACAACAACAACAACACTCAGGGAGGCCTATTAAATAAAACTGTTTAAGAGAGAATTTTTTTTATTAATAAATGACCTATAAAGTTAAGAGAAACAAATACTAACACTTCCCAAATTACAACATTTGGGGGTAGAAAACAAGTAGACTTTGAGTCAACCAGTTGAAAATTGTTCAGCATTTTAATTAAAAGCAAAAACAAACACAAAAAAACAGACCAAAAAACCCTACTTTGAAATTGTGATAGTGATTTTATAAATAAGTCAATATTGTGTTAATGGGGTTTCTGTTCTAGTACTCAATTTCAGTATAAATATTTACATCTACTTTTCCTTCCTATGGATTGCCTTCCTTTGTATTAGGCTATATTGCTTCCTTTATTTTGTTCTTCTGACCATACAGAGAGCTTTGTAACTTACTTTCTTAGTAGAAGTTTTTTTGTAAGGAGAATATAAAATTAAAGCCACATACAAATGAAAAACCATAGCAGTTTCTTTATGGCTGCATTAAAGCATGATTTATTGTAACTCTTCCTCATTATAAGGGGAGGTCTTATGTCCAAGTATTTCAAAAGAAACGCAGAAGGTCAGGTGTGTTTGCAAATAATAGGTTATAATTCATCTTTCTTTGTTATTTTGGGAGGGTCAGTGATGTTTGATAAACTGCTGTTTGGTTTAATAGTCACTGAATAAACCATATCACCAAGGTACATGACCTGAAAAACTTCTGAATCATTTCAAGTTTCAGAATAGTGGGAAATTGTTTATTTCTTCTTCCTTTTGGTATAGATTATGCTCTTGTTGAAATTACTTTGTTCTCCAAAACCTGCATAAGATTTCTTATTCAGATCAGGCTGTACATTAAAGAGTTCAAACAGGCTATACACAGCTCTCCAAAACCATATGTTGTGTCATCCAAACTTCTGGAAAAGCTTTTGGGGTTAGCAGGTTCTGTGAGACTTGACTTAAGGCAAAATCATGAGTTCTTCTGCACTCCAGAGTGATAAGGTATCTATAGCGTGGGTCCTTTGGACTAGCCATTCTGTTGTACACATTTGTAGCCTGGGATCAAGCATTCCTAGGGCTCTTTGGGCTCCATGAACTCCCTAATTTGCGTGCATGTGTATTCTTCTCCAGAATAGATTCACAAACTTTCACCAGACTGTAAGGCATTTGATCCCATTTATGAAATACTGTTCTGCATCCCTGGAATTTGGATAAATGCTAAAGGAAGAAATGACTGGGGAGAGAGCTGATTGTTCCTCCTTCCTCTTCATCTTCATCTGTCAGAACCCTGCTGTCTACAGGGGAAATCTCAAAGGACATTTTCTCTTTGGCTGCCCCCCCCCCAAATCCCCACCCCCAGCAAACACAGAGACATCTTTTATGTCTTGGGGTGCTAGTAGCCTTCATGGAGGTGATGTTGAGTTGGTTTCCATGATCACTGTTCTGAGCCTTTTCTTTTTTTTCTGAGATGGGGGTGATTCCTGGACCAGTTTTAACTTAGCAACATGAATTCCATCCTTTTAGCCTTTCTTTTGCATAGAAACCAAGTTGTTGTTCTTCCTATGTAGTCAGACCTATTTCACTCTCCCCTCCCATGGATGTTGGCATCTGAATGGTGGAATTTCCGAAATTCAGGGGTTTTTCTTTTGTAGAATGAAATTCCCAGTCCCTTTCTTTTGCTGAAGTCCATGGTGCCCTTTTCACACACCCCCAGCCTTCCCTCCCAAACTCAGATCAACATACTAGTTTGCTTATTAGCTAAGGTCCCTTGGTAATAAACAGAAGCTAGTTACATGGTTTCTGGGTCCATTTTTACAGGCAGAAAGGGAAACTGGTATAGGGAGAGGGAATTTCTAGCCAATGAAAAATTCTCCTAAGTACAAAGCAGTTGTCTTATGTTTATTTGCCCAACTTCCCTTAAAATTAAGCCCTTGTCCTAATAGCTTTCAGCACAGTGACTTTTCCTTTGTGCCTCAGTTTACCTTACGTCTCCCTCTTCAGCCAGGAATTGAGAAGACCACAGCATCGCTGGTGCAGTGAACACCCTGCTCTTTCACATGTAAAAGGTTGGAAGAGAAGGAGCCCGGCTCCAGTGTGAGTTAGCCAGTGTGAACCCCCATGGTGGTTTTTCTCCTGTTAAGTAGATCATGAGTCTACCATTTATGTTTCACTCTCTTCTAAAAAAACAGAAAATAAAAAAACTTTCTTACTTCAATGATGAACAGCTTGGCAGAGGCAAGAATGGGCGCTCTCTTAGAAACCTAATTCCTGTCCTCTTTCTGGACCTTTTTGAGTTTTTCAATTTGAAATTTAAAACTTATTATTGGAGTGCCTGGCTGGCTCGGTCAGTGGAGCATGCAACTCTTGATCTCACTGTTGTGAGTTTAAGCCCCACACCGGGTGTAGAGATTACCTAAAAATAAAATCTTTAAAAAATTTTTTGTAACTTTATTTTCACTTAAACTTTTTTTTAAAGATTTGTTTATTTTAGAGAGAGAGGGCGTGCGAAAGCAGGGCAGGGAGGAGGGGCAAAGGGAGAGGGAGAGAGAATCTCAAGCAGACTGCCTTCTGGGTGCAGAGCCGATGCAGGGCTTGATATGACCCTGAGACCATAACCTGAGCCACAATCAGGAGTCGGACACTTAACCGCCTGAGCCACCCAGATGCCCCTTAAAAAAAATTTTTTTTATTATTATTATTTTCCTTTCATCCCACCTTTTTATTTTATTTTTTTAAAGATTTTTGTTTATTTATTATTTGACAGAGACACAGCGAGAGAGGGAACACAAGCAGGGGGAGTGGGAGAGGAAGAAGCAGGCATCCCGCTGAGCAGGGAGCCCAATGCGGGGCTCGAACCCAGGACCCTGGGATCATGACCCGAGCCGAAGGCAGCTGCTTAATGACTGAGCCACCCAGGCTCCCCCCACCTTTTTATTTTTTATAATAAACGCAGTCCTAGCCCCTGCTACCTTTCTCAGGCCGAGATTAGAGTTCCTCAAACACTATTATATATTTATTTATCTCATTTCCCCTCATCTCGTGACGGAGTATCATATTCCATCTTTGAAGAAAACCCAGGTAAAACCTTTGTTTTCTAGAGGTAGTACAGGCTTCCATCTGCTTACCTGTGTAAAATCTCTAAGGCAGAGTTCGTGCAGACATTCTGCTTCAATGCCTGATGCTTAAACATATTGGAAACCAGCCACGAAATTGAACACTTGAATTTGTTAATCATTCTGGGAAATGGAATTCATATTTCTTCCTTACATTATAACCCATACATAACCCACTAGGTGTAAAACCTTTTCACTTTAGGTCATGTGATACAACTCTGTTGTTAGTAAAAGACCTTTTCAGAAAAACAAGCTAGTTTACTAATTAGAAGTTAGGGAAATTTTCTGCAGGAGATTTGCACCCTTTGGAAAACAGGTTCTTTAATCCAGTCTTTTAAAATTCCAATGTTTAAAAACATTTCAGTATCACCACTAAGTAGAGAGACATGATGCATCGGTAGTATATTTATGAGCAAAAGCTGTTGATTTTTTTTTTTTTAAATTATCTTCTTTAGTAAAGATTGCAAGGAAATGAACTAAAGTGTTGACTGTGATTATATTTGAATGATAGGACTGTGGGTAATTTCTTTCCTATCATTACAAATTTTCTTCAGTGTATATTGTTTTAAATGGATAGAAAAATTTAAACAACTATTTCTGTAAAATTTCTCTGTATTTTGCACTTGCCTTACAAAAATCAAAGTAAATTGTCTAAAAGTAAATTGTAAATAAAGTTTTACTGGAATACCTATTTGCTTATATATTGTCTGTGGTTGCCTTGAAGCTCTTAGCAGATCACATGTGGCCCTAAAGACTAACATATTTATTATCTGATCCTCTAGGAAAAAGTTTGTTGACCCTGTGGCCTAGAATATTGAATTTTCAAAGCAGTTGGCAAGAGTATTTTTAAACTTTGGTAGTAACACCACATTTTCCTTCCTTTGTAGCCTAAGTTAACAATGGCAAAATGCAGGCGGAATGTGGAGAATTTCCTGGAAGCTTGCAGAAAAATTGGTGTACCTCAGGTAATAAATTTATCATTTCTTATATTGCCTAAATAGGCTTGGGTATTATTTTTCTAAAATTTTTCAGATGTGCGAGTATCTGAAACCTTACAGGACTGGCTTTAAGCGAAGTTGGTATAATTACTAACACGGTGTTGTGTTAACTAGCGTCAGTCAGTGTACTTCTGAGCAGTTTTCCTTAAGTATTTCCAAGGACCAAGCAAAGAAGTAATACACGTATAAATTTAAATATATTATAATACTTAAAGCTAAGTAATCAATAGTTATGTTGACATTTTCCTAAACCTTCCTACTTGCTGTTTGACTCGTATATATCTTCATACGTAAGAGTCTGGGCTTCAAAGTGAGTGCATCTCAGACTGAGAATGCCTCCTTCGGTTTCAGGTTTTTTAACATTTACTTTAATACTTTTTAAAAATGTTTATTTTGAAATACTTTAGGCTTAGAAAAGTGTTGTAAAAATAGCACAGATCTCTAATAGTAACTCCCTGTGCCCTGTGTACACTTGACCCTGGTTCTGGTACTGCTAACATCATCTACGTAAACATAGTGTGTCATCCAAACTGACCAGCACTGGGACACTGCTGTTAACTAGATCACAGACTGCGCTCAGGTTTCACTAGTTTTTCTACTAAGCTCTAATACTTTGGAATTTAGCACACAAGAGGCCATTTCTAGGCATTTGTCCTGCCCTTGAGATTTATTGTCTCCAGGTCCCTCAGATACAGCTTCCTTGCCCTTTAATAGTACAAGTAGTTAAACTTTATAGATGTGATTAAGAGACATGAACTTGATACACTTTTTATTCGGTTATCCTTTTAAAAACAATTATGTTAAGCCAACTAAGCATGGTACTCTTAAAAAATACTGTATTTAATGACATGAGACACAGATCCACTTAAAGAAATAACCACTTGGTGCTATTTGATACTTTGGTTCACTAACCATAACCCTTACATTCCTGTCATCCTGTTTGGTGTCCACCCTTCATGAGGAAAAACATGACTCTTTCCTGTCACCTTCTTAATTCTCTATCGCCTTCCCATCAGAACCCCAGGACTGGCTCCTGGACTCAACCCCAGTGTTGCTCTTGAACTTAAGCCCTTGTCCTAACAGCTTTCACGACAGTGACTCTTCCTTTACGTGGCACCCTGGTCCTCTCTCTTAGCTAACCTTGTGTTGAGGAGGTCACAGCACCGCTCGTCCCGTGGGCAGCCTTCCCTTTTCAGCCCTTGTACGTGCTGCAAGGTGGAAGAGAACGAGCCCGGCTCCGTAGAGCATCTGGCATGAGTCGCAGTGAAGTCCCACGATTGTTTTTTTCCCCTTTTATTAAGTAGATTGTAATTTTATTTATTTTTCACTGTTTTCTTTTGTGGGTTTGTTTTTTTTTAACCCGAGTTATAAAAAGAACTGAAATTTACATTTGCGGTAGTTAGCAAGGATCTTTTTTTGTTCCTGTGGACAAATTCAAAGCAGATTTTTCATTATTATATCCTATTGTTTTCTAAAGGTTCATCATTTCTTTTAGAACAAACCATTTTAAACAAAGAGAGCCTTAGTAAGGTTTCTAATCCGATAGCATGCATTTTCTCCATATTAATAAACAGGTTCTGATATTCAGAGGCACACGCTAACAGTCGGTCAGTGCTTCCTTCTGTGTGTCGGAAGATGTTCCTGCCTGATCATCACATCACACCAGCTTGCCCACGGCCTGCCCCAGTGGTGTACCACCATGTCCTGAATCAAAAGAATGTAGCACAGGTTAGTGCAGGGAATGGGAACCAGAGAAAAGAGAAGAGTCAAAAGAGGCACCACGTAGCTCAGGAGAAGAGTGCTGCAAACATCCCCAAACAGGACGACACGTGAGCACACGCGGCCAGCGTCAAACCCGTTCAAAGTACTGTTCACCAGCTTTACGGTCCTTGTACTTGCATTCCGGGCTTTAGAGAGCCATCATCTGTCTCAGATGTAAAGTCCATACACTGCAGTTCTTTCCCAACGTACCTGCCAACAGTCAGCAAACTACAGTCTGCCTTAAAATGCGCATTTGATTTAGCATTTGCCAAGCAATGGTTAACAGGATTGATTGTGGGCCAGCCTGTCCCTGTTCCTACCAGAGCTGTGCTATGTGAAGGCAGGAAACAGAAAAAAATACAAATTTAAAGGACTGGGTATTTTTCTAGGGTGGTCAGACTGGGGTTCTTAACACATCCTTCCTCCCTCTCGGTCTCCCCAGTCCGAAAGAGGAAGTGGGCAATCCCTGGAGGCCCCCCTTCCTCTCCCCTTCTGCCTTCCACCCAAGTCTCTGCCACCATCACCACCACCACCACCCCTTTTAGACCGGTTCCTCGTACACTGCTACTTCTGCTAAAAAATTAGTTATTTACTTAGAACAGAGTGAAGGAAAATGAACAAATACGTCGACTCATAGGTTCACAGTGGACTTCTCAGGTCCCTCTGCCCCAGGAGAAAAGCAGAAACCTAGACCACCTCCTCTTCCTTTGTTCTTCCCTACTTCTGGGTATTCTGACCTGTATCTAAACACCCTCTTCTCTTTGACTTGTAAAGAAAATCAGGGATATAATGTCACTTTTGAAAATGTGTAACATAAAACTTATTGTAAATATTTGTCAGAATTCTGTCCAGAGACTATAAAGGTGAACAGTTTCCCTTTTCAGTACAAGTTTTGAAGTGTTGATAAGTTCTGAATGAAACACTAAAGAATAAGATGACTCTTGAAAACCTCTGATAAGGCTGGGCATGTGGGTATTCTCTTTATTATCATGCTTTTATTAAGTATGTTACATTCAGAAAACTATAATGGGTGATAAAAAATGTCTGTTTGAGTCCAACATCTTATGTCCTAGAGTTATTATATGTTATGTGTTAAAGAATATTTTCCTGTTCTCCAGTCCAATTGTGTTTTTATTTACTTATTTAATTTCTTCGTCTGTGAGCCAGAGGGTCTGGGTGATCTGTAAGGCCCCTTGCCACTCCAGATTCATTTCGTACATATTAATAACCTGGACTCGAAGATGGGCTTGACATGATTTTGAGAGAAAGATCAAATCAGTCAGTACACCTGGCCTCCGGGTAGTAAGCTTCCTTGATCCGTAGGCTCTCCTCATTCTGTGGCCCTCCCTGATTTACCTGGCTTTCTCCGAACGCTTCCCTCTCCTCAGCCCACCCCCAGGTTTGGTCCTGCTTTCTGGCCCTTTCTTTTTTTTGTTAATAGGGGGGAATGAGCCGGGAAAGAGGTGGTTGCCTGGCCCAGACCTCACCACTTGTAGGTGTCCCACAACCCTGGGCCAGCACCCAGTTCTATTCACCGCACGCTGAGTGTTTTTTTACTGGTCACCAACAAGCCAGTTTTATTCTGTTTAGTAATAAAATCAAGCTCAGCACATGGAGGAGTCTTTGTAGTTCTGTTTTTCAGTATTTTATTTTCATTCTTCATAGTAAAAAATGCTACTAGGGTGTGTTTCTCTGAGTATGATTGAGATGATCATGTTGAATTCTATACTCAAATCTGTATTTCTGATCCACTAACTTTGTTTTTCTGTTTTCCTTTCCTGCTCACACTTTGGACAGGACAATCTTTGTTCCCCTTCTGACATCCTTCAGCTAAACCTCCGCGTTAAAAGAACTGTTGAAACACTACTTTCTCTTGGGGCACATTCAGAAGAATCCAGTTTTGTCTCTCTGTCTATCCAGCTTTTGGGTTTTGTGGCATTTTATTGTACTTTAATGTTAACTCTCTGTCTGCTTTATTACTGGATCTTTCCCCTCTAGCTGAAAGATCGTACTCCAGCGATTTTCCACCTCATTCCTGTGCTTGGTGAAGGAGGTTTGTCTCTCTTTACAAAGTATTTACATATGTGCTTCTTTTTTTCCTAGCCATCAAAGAGCTAACCAGTAAAGTAGATAAATCCTCCCCTCATATGTCCAGATGAACAGCCCAACACATTAGTAAGCATTGATGATTGCTCACAAAGAGTAAAAGACCAGCATTTTTTCCCCTGGTCTTTTGTCCATTCTCCTGGCCTGTGGCCTTGTTTCTCTTATCATAAGTGCTGAGGTGTCTCTGATACAATTCTGACCTGTTCTTAGAAATCTGACTTAGACCTTTATTTCCAAATGACATAATAAAATTCCCATGTGGCCATTTTCCAACCTTTTCAACAGCTGCTCATAAGGAAAATAGTTGTACCCTTTCCGGTTGGGGAGGCACTTGGTCACTTAGATCTCTGCATTGAGCTATGCCCTAAAATCCTGAAATCTGCCCGTATTGGTAGGCACGGGTCCACCTAAGCATTTACTGTCTGCACATCTGGAAGCACTGACCGTTTAATCTTAATAATTTTAATTTGATCAGAATGTTCAGTCCAAAGATCAGGTAGGTTCCTTAGATTGCTATTCTGAGTCCACTCTGTACATTTAAAATCGTCCACAACAAGCAGATGATCTGGAGCTGACCTTTCAGGAGTAGGCACCTGTCCAGATTTACTATGCTTGTTATCATTAGCTGAGCTTCACCTCTAGAATCCTATTTAGAATCCTATAAATTGAAATTTATGTAATTTCCAATATACTTGAACCATCTTAATAGGTGAGCTGGTATTGAATTAGGCTGTTGAGAAGGTTATATCTGAACAGTAGTAGCAGGTAAAGTATAAGGCAGCAGTCTCTGTTCTGTACCCAAGGCAGTGAGTGGGTATTGTCTTCTTCAGAATGTTTAGTATTTAAGCTGCTAGCCTTAATACTTGAAACTACTTTATGATTGCATTCAGATTCTAGTTCTCATAAATAGGATCTCTGAACATTCAGGAATCTACTGAATTCAAATATGAAGGGAAATTGCAGGGAACATAACACCCTGTTGTAGAAGTCAGCCTGAGGGTCTGGTTGCTTTCATTTTCTTCCATATCAAATGGGACAATTATTTAACACATTAAAAACGTATTTCCTATTAATGCCGAAACATTGAACACTGTGTTGAAAGCCAGTTTTATACAGTAGTAGTACCTTCCAGAGTTTGGGAGGTTTGCTTTGTTTTGATTTTAAGATGTCTTGAGTCAAAGATCATTCAGTTTTGTGGAGTTTTGTCCCTTTAGGAAATAAAAAACACGTGGTCCTGCATGTGGTTTGAGGGGAGTAGTTGTACATTCTCTTCAGAGCACACGGCGTTCCCTGTAAGCCGCCTGGAAGGTAAATGTGCATCTGGAAAGCATGAGCCTTGGGGAGAACAGCTAAACCACATGCAGCGCAAGGCACTCTGGAGAAGAGATCAGGGAATTGGCCTCAGAGAAAATACGCCTCTCCCAAGAGCAAAACACCCTGCAGGTTCATTTTAGACTAGTTCATCTGTACTGACAGTCAGTGGTACTCAAAGTATTTATACAAAGTTGCTAGTTTTATAAGGTCAAAGGATCGCAGTTACCTTGTTTTATCAAGATTAAGTATTAAAATTTTGAGTAAGAAGCATAAGGACCCATAACTGTTCAAAATAAATGTTATATTTTTTATTGCAACTAATTTTGTAAAACTTCCTAATAATACAGTAAAGTGCTAATGAAAAGTCCAGCCCTCTTCTTTAATAAACATGTGTAGTCTCCTTTTTAGTGGAACCAGAACTCTACTTTCTGTCCTTTGTGAGCAGTGTCTATTTTTCTGAATATTTAGTCTTAAAAGAAAAACCAATGATAGGTGCTATTCTTAAGCTCTGCCTTTTTCTCTTTCGAGAAAGGATTAGCCGAACATTAATGAGGCAAACACGATAGAAGTATTTTAACTTCCTTTAGGAAACATATGAACACCTTTGAAATATACGGTAATTAAAACGTTCCTGACTAAACTCACATCGTTGTTCTGTAGCATGATTTAATCCATTCGATACCAGGATATGAAATAGTGGTTTCTTCCTGTGTTCCCTGCCTGGTACAAGAGCCCTGATTTTCACAGTCAGGATTATAATGTAGCTGGTGGGCATCCCTCCCTCCCTCGTGCAGCCTGGCTTATGGCATGAACCCAATTACATCCTGTGGTATGTAATTTCGGGAGCACTTTCTCCTACAATGTTAGATCTTTCGGGCTTGAGCCATCTGGTAACTTGGAACTGCTTTTCTGTTTTCCCTGCCTCCGTTTGCTGATCTGCATTTTGCTCTTTTATTTATCGGGGATGAAGGATGTTGCTTTGACTCCATAGTATTCTGTTATCCTCTGTTGTATGTATTAAGTGTCTGTAACTTGTCCTTATTCCAGTTTTCAAAATGACCTGTATGTACGTTCAGTTGTTTTACTAAAGTGAGCGTCAGATGCCATCTCTGCGTAACTCGTATGAACAAAGGTCAGTTCCCCAGGTGCTGACCTGTCCTATCTCAGGTGACCGTTAGGAGGGAGAGAAGAGGTGCTTATTTTTTCTCTTCAGTTCGTTGATGTTCATCCTGTTTTCTCTTTTGTTTGTTTTTATGTTACGTTGTCCCATTTCAGGAGCAATTATGTTTGCCTCTGCACATTTTAGAAGAGAAAGGTTTGAGCCAGGTCGCAGTGACGGTGCAGGCTCTCCTGGAGCTTGCCCCCCCCAAGCAGCAGCACCACTTGTCTGCTGCGTGAGGACCCCCAGCACCTGGGCGCTGGCCCGGCCAACCCGGAGCAGGACGGGATTGCTGCTGCCAGCCGGCTGCTTACGCAAAGCTCTTGCGTGCTCTTACGAGGGACCGTTTCCATGATTCCTAACAGGAATACGTTGCTTCATTTCTCCATTTTAGGGGAGGTTATATCCATTTCCATGGGACTGTTTTAGGAAGACACAGTTGGTTTTCGCAAATGAAACTTAACTCTGTCATTACTGAGAACCCGACGCCGAAGCCTAAACTGGCTGTGCTTTCCTAGGGAGCAGGCTTGTCTCCCGTTCCAGGAAGAAAGCTTCTCAGAAGGATAGTTAGCTTTCCTGAAAACAGAGACATGTTACTATCTGTACCTGTTTCCTGTTTCTGGAACCCACTGGTTTCCAAAACTGGCTGTTCATTAGAATCTCCTAGAGCATTTGTGAAAATGTAGATTCTCATTCCAGTAGGTCTAGAGCGGGGCCTGGGTATCTGCATTTTCAACTGACATAGTGAGACCACTTTCCCAAGCCGGGTATTTTTTGTTATGATGTCGAGAGTAATGACTCCACTATGTTTGTCAGCCGCATTTAAAATCAGAAGCTATGTTACGATTACTTGGGACTGTCTGTCCAAGGCAAAACAAATACAATGTAGAAGGCCTAGATTTTTGCATAGTAAAGCAACGAGAGAGGTAAGTTGTATTTAAGGCCAGCGTCTTAGGCCTTCCCCGAACTTCTGTCCACCACCACCACCTAAAACTTGGTTCTCATATGTGACATCCTGCTATTATCTGAACATTATAAACAAGCATTCTACACACAGGTTCCAAATCCTTAGGATGGTAACAGGCACTGCTCAGCGTCATTTCCACTGAGCTCCCCCACCGCCTCCCCCACGCCACTCCCAGGATACCGGGACCCGCAAATACCTTCCACTCACGGCAGATACACTTCCAGCTCCCTGACCGATGGAAGACTGTGAAAACAGAGCAGAAGGAGTAAAAGAGAAGCCAAGTTTCTTAATTTCTTTCACGTAACTGCCAGTTTCCAGGGCTGACTTAAGGCACTTGTGGTATCTTAAAAAACCGTGTGCTGTCCCTATATGTAGCTCATCGAACTCTACCACGGGTGCCTTCTTCATTCCGCTGTGGGCCACGTCAGAGGGCGCAGGGCTCATGGAGCACAAAGCCAGGAACCTTTGTTCAAGTTTAAACCACGAAGGTCTTTCTTACCCTAATCTCTTGAACCCCTTTTAGTTGTTAGCATATCTTTTGGTATTCACTGCCTTTATAAACCAAGTAAATAAGAGTAAGTGAAGATGCTAGTTATCTGAGATTTTTTTGGGGTTGTGAACTATTCTGGACTTTCTTTACCAGTGCATGCATTTGAGCAAAATGTTCTCTCTTTATCATGTAAATGCAACATCTAAAAGTAACTGGATAAAATCTTGTTGAGTATCTGGTCAAAATAATGTTTTCTCCCTGTTCTCACAGGGAAACAAGTTCAGTAGAACATTCCACTTTGTCAAAGTTTAAAATTAAAGAACATAAAACATCTGATCTCAAAGCCCCACTGACCTTACAGAACAAAAGTAAAATGTTTTTTAACTGCTTAGAGCCAGACCCCGTTATATTTACAGTTCTAAACAGAACCACCAATCAAAGCGACTTGTTTAGAATTTAGCTGTGTGCATTTTTAAACTATAGGTATTTCTCCTTCTAGTCAACATGAAACCTCAGTTCAATTTCCAAATAATAGAAGCCATTTGAAAGGAAACTCAGCAAAGAACAGGACTGTTTGTCACCTATTATGCAAGGAGTAATCCCAGAAGACATACAGAATGCAACATTTGGAAGATTTCCAACTATTTATCCCATAGGAATAAGTGGAAATTTCCACTTATTTCACATCTTATACATAACGTGCAACCTTATTAATGCATTTTTATCAAACTAATGCAAATTTATATTTGAATTACTAGAAGAAAATTGTGTACAGTTTTGGTTGATAGTGAAAGAAAAATATCAAATGTATTTCTTTTCTAAGTCAAGATGCAAAAACATTTCGTGATGTTTTTGCTAGAACATTTTTGTATTCAGTGTTCTGTACGTACCTTTTTTTTTTTTAATAAACTGGAAAGAAAATTTAACATTTAGCCTTGCTAGACTCCAGTGTAAGATAAAGGTGCTGTAGTGGTTCCACCCGACCATTTATGAGCTTCCTACTGAAGCAGTGGCCAGCCCAGCGCGGAAGTATGAACAAAGAGGAGGCTGAGTGCCCACCCACCAGGGCCCCTGGCAGCTGCGGAGACTGTAAGTGAGCAGGTTCTCTGGCAACAGCTTCTGGCTGGAGGGGCCGTTGTTTGGCTAGAACAGAATAGGGGGCTTATTAGGAGGTCACTCTCTTTAACAGCTTTTTAAAATACAGCCTCATAGCTAACTAAGGAGTCTGTGATTTCTCTTACTTGCTACAGCTCAATAGTGACTAATGACATGTGACTACGCTGATGAGTAGGACAAAGTTTTAACAACTAAGTGCTTAAAATGGTTATAGCAATGAAGGAAAACATGGATATTTAGAAACTTTTTTATATACTTATTGCAGTGAGATGGTTTACAGCAGATTTTATTTCTGAAAATGTTGTAAACATGTAATTAGTAAAAGATTTTGTAAAACATTGTCCTATATTTGTATGTCTGTAAATATAATGCATAAGTTCTAAGTATAAATATGTCCATATCATGTATGTTATTTTAAATTGCCTGTATGCCACCTTACTTGTTGACATGAAAATAAAAGCCAACACTTCAATCGCATGAAATAAAGACTGACTTGAAAATGTTTGTACCTAAAGCATGGTTTCCTTGGCAAAAATGAAAGGTTACTTAGTTCCCTGGAGGGAACATCAGTAGAAACTGGTTCCTCATAACAGGCCCTTGAGATCAGTTTTGTGTTTTTTTTTTTTTTTTACTTTTGTAAAGAAATATAGATAACAGTATTGCCCTGTATTTGGAATTACGTATAAGGCTTAATTCGTGAAATACATATGATGCAATGATGCATTTGGACACTTTTCTCTCAGAAATTACCAACTGTGCGGGGCACCTGGGTGGCTCAGTGGTTAAGCGACTGCCTTCAGCTCAGGTCATGATCCTGGAGTCCCGGGATCGAGTCCCACGTCGGGCTCCCTGCTCATTGGGGAGCCTGCTTCTCCCTCCGACCCTCCCCCCTCTCATGTGCTCTCTCTCTCTCTCTCATTCTCTCTCTCTCAAATAAATAAATAAAATCTTTATAAAAAAAAGTTTTAGAAATTACCAGCTGTGCAATAGGGAAAGCTTTAGCATCCCGAGACATTCTGCTTGGATTATCTTTACTCTTTCAGTCATAATATCCTGCAAGGTGAGAATTTTTGAGGAAGCAAAGCAGGCGTAGACCCCGGTGTCTCACTGATCAACAAGCTCTGCAAGCTAGTCTGCCAGCAGGCCTGTGTCCCCACCTTACTAGGTTGTACATCCTAACATTTCTGTTTATTCTAATTCATTATTTTTTAAATTTATAATTTATATCCCTATTTCCCAGAAAAGGAGCTGAAGCAACCTATAATAAGATAGGTATTCCATGCCCCCACCACCCCAACAAAAACACCAAAGTGGTAATAAACCTAAAAGACAGGAAGGAACCAACCTTTGGACCTTATACTGTGTCTATATTATGCTAGACACTTTATAAACATTATCTTGTAATTCCGAATGAACACTTGACTTTTGTTCAAGAGTTTTTTCACCGTAGACAAATGACAGAATCCGAGACATTACAGAAATTACTTAGTTTTAATGCATCACAATAACTAATAAGCCCATGAACTTTTTTCTGGTAAGAAAAAGCAAGAGAAATCTTTGCAAGGCTCCTAGCAATACTTCTTCCCAGCAAAAGTTTTTCAAAATATGAAGCAGCCCTAAGTCGATGGTATACTCCTAATTCAGGGCTTGAAAACTAATGCAACAGGCAAAGGGAAGGAACCGGGCAGCACCTGGGAATGTCCACATAAGAAACAACCTGCAGATAAAGTTATCTGTGCTGCTAAAGTTTCTTCCTCCCTTCAAGTCCTCCTCCCCGTCTCCAGAAGACCAGGGGAAAAGACGAGAACTCCATCACTTTTTCTTGCCTTTCCGCTTGTCCTTGTCTTTGCCTTTACCTTTAGAATCCTTGCCATCATCTTTGTCCTTCTTAGGCAGTCTGAAACCACCAATTTCCCTCCGTATCATAGTGCCTCGCCACCAGGCCTGGAGCTGGAAGAGAAAGGGGGAGTGAGTACAATTCAGAGTAGGCCTGCCAAGCTGCATCCTTTTCGCATAAGGGAGTTGTCTTTTTTTTTTTTTAAGATTTTATTTATTTATTTGAGACAGAGAGAATGAGAGACAGAGCATGAGAGGGAGGAGGGTCAGAGGGAGAAGCAGACTCCCTGCCGAGCAGGGAGCCCGATGCGGGACGCAATCCAGGACTCCAGGATCATGACCTGAGCTGAAGGCAGTCGCTTAACCAACTGAGCCACCCAGGCGCCCCAAGGGAGTTGTCTTGTCATAAAGTAACTTCTGTCTGAAGAATGGTGTGTGTCTGAAACATGGAAGCAGCCAAGCCCGCTCTCCCTCCAGCAACGCTCCCCTGTTTGCTGGATCCACAACTGAAGCCACGGACTCCTGAGTAAAGTTCGCAAGGAGTAAACATAAGGAAAAGGAATCTGATTAGGCCATTCTTTCCTTTACACTTAGAAACCTGGTTCCCATGTACTGCTTCTCTTTAGGAACATCCAAGTTCCCCACATCCAAACCATTTGATCCAAAAGCAATGTTAGTTAGCTAGGCCAGCAATTGGTCAAAGATAATTTCGATGACTTCAGTAGGCTTCCTGGTGCATTTCATGGCTTTAATGATTGATAAAAGGATCAGTACTCCTCTTTCGAAAAGGATTTCGATAGCTGCTTAAATATCTGTCATTAAACACAACTCTTCTGAATATAGTCTGGGCTACTTTAAGATCAGACTAAGCCCTAAAGACTGGGAGCAAATCCATTAGTGAAAACAAGTTTTCAGCTAGTCCTTACATTTTTGCTCTAAATCAAGGAATCCTGCCAAATAAAAAACACCAAAGAGGCTCGATAAATCCTTGCTAACTATACATCTGCCTCTCTCCTAATAGAAAGCTCATGTTTAGGTTTGGATGCCTGGTTCTAAATGTACTTTAAAGCTTTCTTAATCTACCCCATAACATATATATCACAAACTACTGTTTGCACACTAGGATCTCAGCAGACCCTCCTCTTTCAGAGAGAAAGGCAATTCTCTAAACAACAGTCCTGGTCCAGCTAATGTTTATTTTTGCTTGAAAATATTTCCCAGAATCCGACCTGCCAGTTTCAACATGACTAATATACATGAGTTCATAGAAAATTAAAATTTTTTTTTTTCTAGACTGCTACTTATTCCCTCCACCTTTTTGTGAAAACAGCTCTTATCAGAACCTACCAGATAGCCTGGGCTAACATATAAATAGGATTTTGAGAAGCTCCTCCAGGGGCGCCTGGCTGGCTCAGTCAGTAGAACATGTGACCTTGATCTTGGGGTCATGAGTTCAAGCCCCACGTTGGGGGTAGAGTTAGTTAAAAAAAAAAAAAGGCAGCAGCAGCTCCTCCAAGAGCTGTTCTGATTATAAATAACATTCTTAAATTTGACCTTTGGGAGCAAGCTCTAGGTCCTGCTTCCCCTGCTAACCACCACTTTCCCCTGGATTAAGAGTTGGGGACATGTCCCTTGCTATGTGAACTATTTCCCTGCACCAAGGACTGCAGGCAAGTTCCAGTAATAACAAAAGGCCATCCTTCCTTAGAGATCTCCTGTTCCATGCTTCAAAATAAATGAGAGAAACTTTGCGTTCCTCAGTGTTAGGCCAGCTATTGAATTGAAGGTGCCCTAAGATGCCAACTCTGGGGCGCCCGGGTGGCTCAGTCAGTTGAGTGACTGCCTTCGGCCCAGGTCATGATCCTGGACTCCCAGGATCGGGTCCCACATTGGGCTCACTGCTCAGTGGGGAGTCCGCTTCTCCCTCTGACCCTCCCCCTTCTCGTGCTCTCACTCTCACTCTCCCTCTCTCAAATAAAAATAAATAAAATCTTAAAAAAAAGATGCCAACTCTGGCTTTCTACCTTTATGACGCTCTTTAATTCCAAGTCATCCTGTTCTGTCTTCTTCCTGGTCTTCTCCTTTTCTAACCGATCTTCAGTGATGACCTGTTCATACTCCCTTATCTATAAAAGTAAACATGAATCCTAGGTTATAAGACAGTCTTGGCAAGGTGTGGCCCAGCCAGCCCTGCACATTTAATATAAAATTTGAAAATAAAGTATGCCAAACCTAAAGATAAACCAAAGAAAAGAAAAAAACTAAGTGGATTCCTATGTTGTAAATATTCATATATTAACTATATAAAAAAATTTTCAGTTTGGATCATTCAAATTTCCTATAAAATCTTGCATAAAAATGAACTAGTAACTTGATGTGTGTTTAATGACCTCAAAGTAATGTAATTTTTTAAAAAACTCATAGAAAGTACATACACAAATAGCAGCCATCTTTTAAAAGAGAAATTTGGGAAGTTTTACAGTTCTTCAATGACGAAACCATAATCAGGAGCTTTTTAAAAATCATAATTTACAGATTATCTTCAGAGACCATAAAGTAGAAATAATAACAGTATCTATCTCAAGAGGTTGTTGTGAGGGTGAAGTAAGTTCTTTGTGTGGAACGCTAGCAAAGCGCCTGGAACCGAGCGAGCACCACGGTGGTGTGTCAGCTGCGGCTTTTACTGTCCCCATCATGGATGTCGTCATCATCATCACAAAGAAGACACTCAGTGGTTCACAGGCACACCTCCACTTTGTCACAGGAATGGCATTACCCAGCTGCCGTAGCTCAGCTACCACCCAGTCCTCTGGCGCTCAGCCTTCCACTATCGAGACTGCTTCCTTACCGTCTTTGCGAGTTCTTGAAGGTGTGCTAAGTCACTGGCCTTAGCAGCTTTGAGAGCATTTAGTTCATTCTGTTTCATTTCTGTGTCCTTATCAAATTTCTCCATCCAGAACTCCAGCTTTTCCTCAAGTTTCTGTTCGGAAAGAACATTAAAACGTGGGTTCCACCAGACACAAAGCCTGATATACTGTATGAATCATTTATATAAGGTTCGCAAAAAAGCAAAACCTCTAGAGTGATAGAAGTCAGACTCGTGGCTACCTCTAGGGGATGGGTTGCTTTATTTGATCAGGAAGGGACAGGAGGGAGACTTCTGGGATGTTGTAAATGTGTTCTATATCTGTGTGGGTGGTGGTTACAGGAGTATATATATGCAAATGTTCAAACTATATGCTTAATATGTGTTACTCAATTTAAAAACAGAGGGAAGAGGGCCTTCCAGGTGTCTGGATAAGGGAAATCGGAAAGGAATAAAGGGTAGGTAGGAAATTTTGAAGGATAAAGAATGGCACAGATAAATCTTTGATTAGTAACAGTAAATACCAGGGGTGCCTGGGTGGCTCAGTCAGTTAAGCGTCTGCCTTCAGCTCGGGTCATGATCCCAGGGTCCTGGGATCGAGCCTCACGTCAGGCTCCGCGCTCAGCAGGGAATCAGCTTCTCCCTCTGCCTCTGCCTTCTGCTCCCCCCGCTCATGCTCTCTCTCTCAAATAAATTTAAAAATAAACAATAAAATCTTTTAAAAAAAATAACAGTAAATAGCAGTTGAGAAGGGTAAAATGTCTTCAAAGTCCTAAAAAATAATAAATGTGAGTCTTAAGATTCTATACTTTGCTAACCTAGTATTCAAATGTGAGAGAAAGGAAGACTATACCTGGTCTTTAGAGAAGAGTTAAGAGGGTATTTTAGCAATGAAATCTAAAATTTCATTTTAGAAAGAGAGTACATGTGAGAAACAATAAAATGTATATTTAGGCTACATAATATACTTTTTTTTTTAAAGATTTTATTTATTTATTCATGAGAGACAGAGAGAAGCAGAGGGAGAAGCAGGCTCCCAAGGAGCAGGGAGCCCGATGTGGGACTCGATCCCAGGACCCTGGGATCATGACCTGAGCCGAAGGCAGACGCTTAACCATCTGAGCCACCCAGGCGCCCCATAATATACTTTTTTAAAATAAATCATAATCTGGAACTAAAATCCCAAATTAGGCAGTATCGTCTCCTGGAAACAGCCCAGACAGGCTCTGAAGGCAGAATGCCTAGGTTTCACTCCCAACTCTGGGACTCAAATAAGTTAACTTAAATTCTTTAAGCCTCAGTTCCCTCACTTATTAAATGGAAATATGTAACGAACTATTTCAGCATGGGATGTAGGAGAGGAAGAGTTAAAACTTTGCTTTAATAAAGACAAGAAGATAAAAGTATTGATTAACTCTAGACTTAGGAGGAAGAACAAAGTATAAATATGTATGTTAAAATGTCAAGGGTTACCACTCCAAGAACATAATGCCATAACTTCCAAACTCCTAGATCATGTACCTCAAGAATGAGATATCAAGAGGAATCTTTAGCCTCTAACTCTGAAACTAATAATACATTATATGTTAATTAATTGAATTTAAATTAAAAAAAATAAAACAAGTGGAATAGAAAAAAAAGCAGCATAACGCAATGAAAACAACACAAGCTTCAGAGCCTATCAGAGCCCTGTTCAAATCTTAAATCTCCCATTTTCTAGCTGTATATATTGGCCATGTTAATTAATACCTCTGAGGCTTTGTTTCTTCTTTGTAAAATGGGACTAATATTACCTACGTCCTAGGATTATTATGAGGAATAAATATAATGTATATAGTGCCTGGCATTAAAAGGCTTTCAATAGGGACGCCTGGGTGGCTCAGTCAGTTAAGCGGCTGCCTTCAGCTCAGGTCATGGTCCTGGGGTCCTGGGATCGAACCCCACATCGGGCTCCCTGCTCAGCGGGGAGCTTGCTTCTCCCTCTGCCTCTGCCTCTCCCCCTGCTTGTGCTCTGTCTCTCTCTCTGACAAATAAATAAAATCTTTTAAAAATAAAATAAAATGAAATAAAAGGCTTTCAATAAATGGTGCTTATTTTAATTATAACTAACTAAATAAATGAAATTTTAAAAAAGGAGTCTTTAGGTGGTACATTGACATGGAATTTTTTTAAAACATGATTCAATTAATCATTCTGATCAAGTTAAAGAGAATATATCAGTTTGGTGCAATCATGTCTTTAACATCTTTCTAACTCTTGTTAACATTTTTCTTCTTTTTTTTAACAAAAAGAGACAGTCTCCAGGCAGGCAAGAAGAACTGGCTAAAATGCAATAATATCATTTGGTATTTATTGAACTTCTATTTATGTTAATCTCTACTTATGGCAAATGATACTGGTTTTTCTTTTATAGTAATGATATAAAAATCTTAATTTTGTTGTTTAGGTGAGTAATTATGTACAAAATTGTAATAACACAGGTGGTATGCTGATAATACAAAACTATGAAAGTGGTATGCAAATAATGACTTTGCACTAGACAGCAAGAAATCGAACAATATGGGATGCCTGGGTGGCTCAATTGGTTAAGCATCTGCCTTTGGCTCAGGTCATGATCTCAGGGTCCTGGGATCAAGCCCCACATCAGGCTTCCTGCTCAGTGGGGAGTCTGCTTCTCCTTCTCCTTCTCCCTCTGCCTGCCGCTCTGCCTACTTATGCTCTCTGCTCTCTCTCGTGTTCTCTCTCTCAAATAAATAAAATCTTCAAAAAAATACACAAATAACTTGTAGATTAAGGAAGTAATAAATTATAAACTACAAATTATAATGCCTATAATTTATTTAAAGGCGTGAAAAAGGTAAGATGGATTAATGGAGGAAGGATGTATAGAAATGTGATGAAGCAAGAATAAAAAAATCTTAATGGTAGAATCTACCAGTAGATGATATGGATGTTCACTGTAAAATTCTTCCAACTCTGTGTTTGTTTGGAAACGCTCAAAATAAAATGTTGGGGAGAAATAAATAAATTAGAAATTATTTGAAAGGAATGATGACAACAGGGGCATCTGGGTGGCTCAGTCGTTAAGCATCTGTCTTCAGCTCAGGTCATGATCCCAGGGTCCTGGGATCGAGACCCATGTCAGGCTCCCTGCTCAGCAGGGAGTCTGCTTCTCCCTCATCCACTGCCCTTGCCCCCACTTGTGCTCACTCGCGCTCTCTCTCATGCTCTCTCTCCCAACAAGTAAATAAAAATCTTAAAAAAAAGGAATGACAACATAAGCATTATGTATCAAAACCTGTATTCTGCAGCCAAACAGTACTCAGAAAATATGTTGGGTTACATGCATGTATTAGAAAATAATAAAATTTAAAAATAAGTGAATAAAACATTAAAAAAAAACTAGACAAAAGATTATCAACTAATTACTCAAAATAAAAGCAAAAACTAATGTGAAAAGGAAAAAATAAAACAAACAGATTTGCTCAATAAAGCCAAAAGATGGTATTTGCGAAGACCAATAAAATGGCCAAAACTTTGACAAATCTTAGCAAGAAAAAGGGAGAGAAGACACAAATTTTTTTAAAATAAAGATGAAAAAGATAACTACAGGAATAAAGGAAAGTTTTAAATTGTGAGACACTGGAGCACACCTTTATACTAATAAATTTGAAAGGAATGTTTTAGATGAAATGGGTTCTTTCTAGGAAGAAATTACCAAAAATGACTCAAAAAGAGATTCTTTAGACAAAGACATCAATAATCATTTAAAAAATGGAAAAGGTAGCTGACCATCTCCCCTTGAAAATGGTACCCAGACAAGACTGTCTATGACTAAATTTTAGCAAAGTTTCAAGGAACAGATAATAATCTATTTGTTCTATTGGTATTTTTAGGTTTCAGAGCATAAAAGTGGAAAGCTTCCCAAGTCAAGCTGCTAAGTTAGCATAACTGATAGCAACACAAAGACCACCAAAAAATAAATCTATAGGTTAATCTTGTTTATGGAATATATATGTGCAAAATAAAAATCTATGAATCAATCTAGCAGTCTGGTAAAAGAATAATATATTATGAACAAGTAGGGTTTATCCCAAGAATTTAAAGATGATTCAACAGCAATAAATCTATTAATATATTTTACTTTATTAGCATATTAAAAAAGAAAAAGCCCATATCATCTCAATGGATGGAAAAAATCCATCTCATAAAACATGAATACTCATTCCAGATTAAAAAGGAAAAAAAAAAAAAAAACCTCGGCAAGACCAAAAGGAAACTTACTTAACTTGATAAAAGTTTATCTCCCATAAACCTACGGAGTAAACCTCATACAATCCCCATTTGTGCCTGTATCAACTGATGACCTCTCAACCCCACATGCATCCTTCACCAGCCAGCTTTGTCACCCGGATGCTTGCTCTATCTAACTAGTTCTCTTTTGCCCTGTGGCACAGTGATAAGCTTTGTCAGTAGAGGGTGCTGGAGGGACATGACAGGAGAGCTTCACTCCTTGGTTCCAGCGTCCTTCCTCTTTTGTTCCTGGGGCACATGCATGACAGTGGCATGTGTGTGGGACGCTGATGCCACTTATTCACCGTCAAGTTCTGTTGACACAACAGGATTCTTGCTTACCAAAGAGCCCACCGTTCCCAGTTTGCCCACTTTATCCCACTACCTATGAACGTGCTCTGACCCAGAACAACAAAGCAAACATCTCTCTCTGTTTATCCCTTCCTTGGATACAAGTCTTTATTTTTTATTTTTTTTTTAAAGACTTTATTTATTTATTTGAGAGAGAGAGAATGAGAGAGAGCACATAAGAGGGGGGAGGGTCAGAGGGAGAAGCAGACTCCCTGCTGAGCAGGGAGCCCGATGTGGGACTCAATCCAGGGACTCCAGGATCATGACCTGAGCCGAAGGCAGTCGCCCAACCACCTGAGCCACCCAGGCGCCCGGATACAAGTCTTTAGAGTTCTCTTTTATCCTTTCTTTGTAGCCAATCCCTTATTATCAGTTAATGATTCTTCTGCTAAATGTTCCCTGCTGAAACTACTGGTGTGTTTTCTGTCACCTAACTGAACCGTGATTCAAAACTGGTACCCAAAATAGCTTCTGTCCCACCTTCTCATTCATATGTCTTATTAAGGCATCCAAAGTCCTTGCTACGTCCTGTTCATCAGATAGAATCAGCATCATGCTGTGGACTACTACAATGTTTTGCAGAAAGTCAAAGCAGGCAGTGTCTCCGTAGACGGTATGATGGCCCGGATGTGAGCCTGTGAGGGTATACTGTTGGCCCTGCCAGGTAAAAGCAAACTGCTTCTGGAGCTTCTTCCAAAATGGGTTGGAGACACAAGCTTTGGTCAGGTGAAGGTTAATAGCTGCCTACCAAGTGCCAGTGGCCTTTGAAGAATTTCTCCAGTCAAGATACTACACCTGGAACTGTAGCTACAGTTGGAGTCATCACCCAACCGCACTTACAACAGCCCCAGTCATTGTCCAAGATCATTCAACTCAACAGGCCACACAGCTGAGTTAAATGGGGATGTGGTAAATATCACTACCTCTGCTTCTTTCTTCTTTGTTGGCACTAATTTCTGCAGTTGCAGCAGGCGTCCAGCATTTGCTCATGATTTACTATGTTGGTAGGAAGAGGAAGTTCCAGAGACTTCTACTTAGCCCTTACCACCATGATAGCCCTCACTCCATAGGTCAGAGAGCCAGTGTGGAAATTCTGTCTGTTGCTGAGAATGTCTATTCCAATTATATGTTCCATAATGGGAAATAACTACAGGGTGGATCCACAGAACAAGTGGTCCCAGAGTAAATCAGACTTGAGTTAAGACTCCACCTATCACCTGAGCACTATAATCCCTCATTTTGAGTAGGGACCACAGTGTTGTTTCGGGTCCCCAGGAATTAATATCAAATCAGAGCCAATGTTTAGTAATCTGAAAAAGTCTGGGTATTTTCTGTTTTCCAGTGTATAGTAACTGGTCCCTTTGAGTAGGCTTAGGGGAAGATTCACAATATATACCTGCAGTAATAGTGCAGAGTTCATCCTCAGGGGGACGTGGCCCTTTCAATTAAGGAGCTTTGGTCTCTGAATTGACTTAGTTCTGGAAATTGGAGGAGAAACCATGATCCTTCATTGTGGTGACTCAGATCAGGGTTTTGGCTTCTAATCTTGGACTTTCTTCTGTTACATATATCAAGTAATTCTTTATCAGGCCCCTCATCAATTTTGTTCATAGGGATACCATGATTAATCAGCTGTTGGCAAATACCCCTATGGGCAAAAGCATTCTGATTTCCAGTACATTCCTACTGCCCTTCATGGTAAATGTGTTCACCTGTCTTTAGCAGTTAAGTGCTGCTACATGTCCTCTGGCTCTCCAGGATCCCATCATCACCACTGACATCAGGGAAGCCATTTCAATGATGATATCACCCATGATCTTACCTGGCCTACATAGGAAAGCAACCAAAGACCTTTTCGAGGATGCAGGTGCTCCCCTCACTAATGTATTTCTCAATGTCTTAGTATAGGAGTGTCCTCTGGGAAAAAATGTCTCACAGAAACTCATTACATGTAGGTGCTCAGCAGTAGATCTGTAGGTCACACAAATTCACTCTGATATTCCTATTTCCCTAAGTCTTTGGATTCTCCTCCAGATCATAGCAGGGAAGCTCTGGCATCTCCACCTCATTAAATGTGGGCCACTGCTGAGTTGTTGAGTCCAAGTTTCAAGTGAACTCTTAAGAGTCACCTCCAGCTTCACAAGCTATCACATCAAATCCAGAATCTCTAGTAAGTATATCCATATCAATGAACATGACTCAATCTAGCATTATATCCCACCCGCATTGGTCTAACATCCTTAGAATCCATTCCCATACATGTCTCCCAATTACAAGCGAAGTCTTGTAATGCTTTAGGTTTATAAGCTATTTCCCTCTGAATTATAGTTATCTGAGTTATCTGTACCCTGGAACTTGCTGAGATTTGACTCTAGTAATGGATCCAGGGGCAATAGGAGTGATTGTGCTGGGTCTTGAGAGTGAGCATCTGACTCAGATGAAGTTATTACTACGGCATTTTCAGGGAAAATAAGGCTAATCTCCTCAGACCCTGGAGGGCATACTACTTCCACAGGCAAGGGAGGCTCAGGGTTACTTGGGGGTTCAAGATTATCAATTACTTCTGAATCCATAGAGATGTTCCTATTCCGAGTTTCAGGGTCCCATTATTTCCCAATAAATGCCCTAACTTGCACGTGAGAAACTTGGCATGATTATGAATTCATGTGTAATACTGACTGAAATACCATTAATACCAAGAATAGAAAAATGGGGCCCCATTATCACTACTACTAATCAACATTACACTTGACACTCAAGCTATACAATAAGCCACAAAATGGAAACAGATATATAAATAACAAAAAGGAAAATATAAATTTGTCTGCAGTCAATAAGATTTTCTATCTAGAAAATCTAAATGAATCAACTGAAAAACCATTAAAACTAATATGAGAGGACATAAGGCATCTACGGCGATAGGCAAAAATGAATAGCCTTTCCATATACCATGCATTTAGAGACATATCTAAACATGTTTAGCATTATTATACTAGCAAAACTCAGAAACAACCTGAATGTCCACTGGCAGAAGAATGGTTAACTAAATTTTGGTCTATCCCTTCAATGGGATATTATATAGCAGTTGTACTGCTATAGGAAACATTAAGACAAAGTGTATTTAAAAAAAAAACAGGGGCACCTGGGTGGCTCAGTCATTAAGCATCTGCCTTCAGCTCAGGTCATGATCCCAGGGTCCTGGGATCGAGCCCTGCATCGGGCTCCCTGCTCCGCGGGAAGCCTGATTCACCCTCTCCCACTCCCCCTGCTTGTGTTCCCTCTCTGGCTATGTCCTCTCTGTCAAATACATAAAATCTTTAAATAAATTAAATAAATAAAAATTAAAAAAAAACCAGTCTGGAACAATATATATAGTAGGATCCATTTATGTCACAAATATCAATATATTAATAAATAAATAGATGGCTAGATAAATACTAAAAACGTAAGTATTTAGGTACATACACAAGTATGCATATCAAGAAAAAGATGTAGAAGAAATATTGGAACAATTTGGAGTGATTACAAGAGCTTTCACTTTTTCACCTTTTAAAATCTGTGTATTTCTGTGCTGTCTCAAATTTTTCATTGAAAAATACTTACGGGGGCGCCTGGGTGGCTTAGGTCATGGATTGAGCCCGACATCAGGCTCCCTGCTCAGCGGGAGCCTGCTTCTCCCTCTCCCACTCCCCCTGCTTGTGTTCCCTCTCTCACTGTCTCTCTTTGTCAAATAAATAAATAAAATCTTAAAAAAAAAAGAAAAGTATTTATGCATTGCTTGTGTTATTGGGTTGTTGATCTAGGAAACACTGACTTTATCCATCCATTATCCATTTATCCACCAACTCATCTGACTGTTATTAAGCACATGCTAACTATGCATCTAACACTTGAACAAGTAACATGGTACATAATCCCTAAACTGCCTGGGTGTAAGACCCTATTCCTAATAGCCTACCAGATTTTTGTTTTCAGTAAGGCCCTCTGAGATAGCATCTATAAAGTATTTCTTAACCACAAATTTGGAATTGTTTACTGAAAATTTATTAGCTTTTCTCAAAGAAGCTAGACTGAATTGTAAGCTAGAAATTTTTTCCTTATTCACCCAACAGGGATATTTTTTTAAAACTCCATTCAGCTTAGTTTGTTATTAGTTTTAGAAATACTAATTAAAACCATTTCAATCACATAATTCACACAAGAAGAAAGAAGATAAAGAAATATATGAAAAAATGGTCAATTTTTCAATTCTATTAGCAAAAAAAGGCAAAATAAAACAACTCATTAAATTAACACCTTAAAAATATCTAAAATGCCTAGTGTGGTTGATGATACCTTGAAATTAGTGTCAGCAATTTACATTGTTGATGGTAGTGTAGAATAGAAAGTATTAGCAATATTTATCAAGAGTCCAGTCTCTCTGACATAACACTGTCATGTTTCAGATTTACTTTTGGTACATAACTGCAATGAAGGAAAACAGTTTTTTGGGCAAAGCTTTCATTACTGCATTATTTATAATAATGAAACCTTGGAAATAATCTAAATACCCAAAATAAAGGGTAACAAGCAAACTATGGCATAACCATTCAATAGAACATAAAACTATTTTAAACTATTTTATGAAGACACTGTAATAACATGAAAAAAAATGAGTGAAAAAGCAATTGACAATTTAAAAAAATCTTCCCTCAACTAAGAGTGTGTTATTTTAATAATTTTAAAAATCAGTAAATTTTATTTTAAAATTATGACTATGAGGAATATAGGAGCAAGAAAACAGTTTCTTATATAATGCTAAATGATAAAGGCAGAAGACAAAATTTTACCTGTACAGCTTTATAAAATATTCATTCAGATAGATAACTGTGAGACAAGATATGGGCTACAGCTCATTCATCAGGCCAGTAGAATTATGGTTGATTTTTTATCCCTCAAAAAATTTTTCCTTAAAAAAAATTTTTTTTGCCATCCTTGGTATTTTGTAAGTGGAACACAAACCCATTAGAGGGTAGAAAAGTTTTGGTGACCCACCTGCTGCTCCTTTCTAAGGAACATTTCAATCTCCATATGAATCCTGTTCTCTTCTTCGGTTTTCAGCCTCAGCTTCTGTGACAACAATAAACCAGTATCAGGAATTCTTGCCACGAGAAGTTCTCAAGATTAGAGGTGTAGCTGTGATCATATCTCAGGTTTCTTTACCAGCTGGGATCCCAAGAATCCTGCCATATTGCTCTAGGGTGGCAAATCATTCCCTTCAACCCAATTCGTGCTCATGAACATCACTGAGCCATGTGTCGGGCACTCTGCAGGACACGTGCCAGTGCCCAGGACAAAAGGACCAGGATCCGCTTGCCTGGATAAAGTGATGTCAATTTAAGGAGAGAAATAATACTTCAAGGGGACAAGGTTCTTAGGCCTAGAAAAGGAAATTCCAGAATGCAAGGAAAGTTTGTAGTCAGAGTCGTATGACAAACCCGGGGAGTAAGCTTTCAAATAAAGGGGGCCCAGAGAAAGCAGTCTTCCTCCCCACGGATGACGCCACTCATGTTTGCTCCTTCCCACCTACCTACTGTTCATTTAGCCATTGTGTCCTTCCTTTTCTAATGAGGGTCTACTCCTTGTTTCTTTCTCCTGATAATTTTTCACTGTGACTTGCCAGCTTTATAAATTTAGGTTTGAATGAAGTTCAGCTCTCTTGATTTTATATTTCTTAATGGAGGGATAAAAGGTACCAGTTGGGCAGCAGCAAAAAACCACACTTAGGAAGTATCTTGGAACGGCAACTGGTTTCATAAAATAAGGATAAAGTGACCAAGGGAAGAAAGTACAACTGATTTTCAAAGTCATCACAAAAAACAGTGGATGTAGCCTACAGCCTATCAGAATCTCTGCCTGCAAATACACAAGACCTCATTCTGTTTTTGTTTCTAGTCTCAAATGTGAGAGCTGCAGGAGAGATGGAGCAAAGATCAAGAAAATCTTCCCCTCCTTCCTCCTCTGTTAGCTGAGGCAATACAAAGAGTGACAGCTAGAATGCCATGTACCGTGTTCATTCCTAATGTAGTAGTGATTACCTCTATCTCTTCCAGCAAGAGCTCCTCAGTTCTGTTACATTTCTTCTGGGTCTGGGAGATCTGCAGCTCAGTGTTTTTCTTCATATAGTGATTTTCCATGTTGGTTTTTGCCTTCATCTCTTGCAACTGGTCCTTGAGGTGAGCAATATATTCATTCCGACTCTGTAGAGGTTAAGACCAAGTTTCTAAATTAAAATACATTCAGGGGGCGCCTGGGTGGCTCAGTTCGTTGGGCATCCGACTCTTGATTTCAACTCAGGTCATGATCTCAGGGTCATAAAATGAAGCCTGGCATTGGGCTCTTTGCTCAGTAGGGAATCTGCTTGAGATCCTCTCTCTTCCCCTCCCTTTCCCTTTGCCCCTACCCCTGGCCTCTCTCTTTCTCTCTAAAATAAATAAATCATTTTAAAAATAATAAAGTAAAAAAAAATACATTCTACCTCCATTCAGTTCAGCCAATGGCTAAAGCCTACCTTTTGTATTTATAAATCAACAAGGAACTGGATCTATTTTTCTGTTATTGCACTATAGGAAAGTTAGCCAATAATCATGGATAGTATACATGAAAATGAAGGATAAGTAGTTCTCAGCATCAGGAATGGGAGATTCTTTCCTAGGTACACTATTTGGGTAGTCTGTATGCACAAAGGTTTCCCATTACTATCACAGTTTGGTAGAAAGAGCCCTGGTCTAAATGATCAAAAGACCTGTCTTCCCACCCAAGCCCCCAATAGCTGTGTTAACCTGGCCAAGTCAGTTAAACTCTCCAAGTCTTACCTTCTATAAAATAAAAACATTAATATCTGCCCTGTCTGGAATATCTCAGCAAGTGATTATAAGGAATTAATTAAGAATATGTAAAAACTCTTTGCAGGTCACAAAGTGCTTGGCAATTTCAAGGTTTCCATATTCATTAAAAAAATATTCATTCAGTACCATACTAAGTTAAATAGTGGAGACCTAATAGACATGGTCTTTGCCTTCATAAAGCTTACAGTCTAGTGACAGAGATGTGATTAAAATAAAACAAACTTTTTGGGGCACCTGGCTGGCTCAGTCAGTGGAACGTGCGCCTCTGGATCTCAGGGTTATGAGTTCGAGCCCACGCTGGGTGTAGAGATTACTTAAAAATAAAATCTTAAGGGGTGCCTGGGTGGCTCAGTGAGTTGGGCAGCTAACTCTTGATTTCAGCTCAGATCATGATCTCAGGGTTGTGAGATCGAGCCCCATGTCCGGCTCCCTGCTCAGCGGGGAGTCTGCTTCAGGATTCTCTCCCTCTGCCCTTCTGCCTGCTTGCTCTCTCTCTTTCTCTCTAAAATAAATAAATAAATCTTTTAAAAGATAAAATAAATAAAATCTTAAAAAAGAAAGCAAACTTTTTTAAAGGCACAAAACACTATTAAAGAATAGGACAACAGGCCATGGGACAGAGTAACAACGGAGGCCCACATTAGATCAGATAGTCTATAAAGGATTCTCTGAGAAAGGAATGTTAAATCTGGTACCTGAACGATAAGTATGTATGTCACATGAAAAGTGGGGTCAAGGAAGAGTCTAAGAAAAAGGAAAAATAAGTGCCTAAGTCTTGAGGCAGCAAAAACCTGGATACATTCCAGGAAATGAAAAAAAAGTCCAGAGACTATCCCAGCAAGGGTTGAGAGTGGGACAAGATGAGGTTGTAGAGGGAGGTAGGATGGACCATGTAGGACCTCACAGGCACTAGTATGGAGTTTGAACTGTAATCCAAGGGCCATGGGGAGCCTCAGAAAGGTTTTAGTCAGGGAGGTAACATCTGATTGTTTGAGAAGAACCAGCCAGACACAGCATGAGTAATTTCACAGAGAGATGATAGTTAGCTGACAGCACGACAAGCAAACACAATTAATAATGAAAATGCATTGCTTTAGTCAGAGATCTCTGTTTCTCTAAATACCAACCAACTTTAGTTGTACCACGTAAGTTGGGTGGAGTTAGTTCTAAGCATTAGAAGAAGAAGCAAAGCAGAAATCGGTCAAGATCATCCAAGATGAAAAGCAAACATCGTTTAAAGGATCATAGGCCCCTAAAAATAGTCAGGAACTCTTCAAGCATCTTGTCTGGCTTCTTGGTGTAACTCTATGGAATCCTTCCAATTATCCAGCAGTTATTCCGACGGTATCAGAGCCCCTCCAAGAAGATAAGTATCTCTGGCAGAGAACCTGGGACAAGCCCAGTTGCTAATACATCGCAGTACTTCTTAACCTCTTACAAGTTGTAGGACTGTGGGCAATTTACTTAACCTAAGACCTTTCTCAACTGTAGAATCCTGCCAGTGCCTCGCACAACTTAGCTACTCAATAAATGTTTATTAAATGCATTTTAAGAGAGGCCTTTTTTGGCTCACTTTTCCCCCTTCCCTTCTTTCTACACTCTCCTCCCTTTTCCCATCTCTTCCCATTTTGCTTCCCTCCTCCCTCCTAATTCAAGCTGTATGGTAGTCAGCGATAAAGTCTGGATTTCTAGGAAGACTTGAGTTAGAGTGAAATGTGACAGCTTCACTTCCTCATTGGCCGGAATCTTTATACCTATTTAACCGCTTAGTCTTTCTTCAAGGTCCTGCTTATATGCCACTTAAGTCCAGAAAACCTTTTCTAGAAAACCTCAGCCCATATAAAACTGTAGTTTTATTTCTCACAGACTCTAATGGTGTTGAACAGTTAGGTGTTCATTAAATAGCATCCATACAAAGATATACTTTCAAAAACTCAAGAAAATGTTCTGGTCAGTTTTCTTTATCAAACCGAATATTGAGTCTTTCAGAGTAAAAATATGAAGATCAGAAATGCAGTTAAAACTCTAGGAGGTTCTGCCTATGGCAAGCAAAAGGTATTATGTTACGTAACTTAATAAGGTCATAAACCATTGGTCTACAATTACCCTGTGCCAAGCCAAAGGCATCTGGTTTCAGTGCTGTTGCCATGGGCCTCAGATTATTCCCTCCTATAATGCTGTTCTGCACAACTTGTGGCCTTCTATGGTCACCGTGTGGGAACAGAGGAAGATAGAAAATATTGACAGGCTAGTGATGGTAAAATCATGATCAAATGCACTGCAGTATCATCCCATATCTTCATCTTCCCAGTCTGCAAAAAGGAGGCAACCTAGAAGCAGGGCGGGTACAGGCCAAAGGTCGTCGTGGGTTGTAGAAGTTCCTTTTAGGATTCTCACTACGAAAAGATCTTCCCTCACCACAACCCACCAGCATAACCCTGGTCGCCCAGGGTGTCTACAGCCTTCCCCATGATCAAGGTCTGTGGACTGATGCAGCATATTTGTGGGTTTTTATAGCAGACCAAACTTGACTTACAAATCCCCAAATTGCCTTCAGATCTGTACTCGTTATTTGAATTCAGAGGAGGATGATTTAGTAATGGAAACAAGCAGTCAACCAATTATAGTTAATAAGGCTCCAATGGCTGCCACAAAAGTGTAAGCCAAAGGATTTTAATGGTAGTGTCCGTTTTCATAACTGAACACAAAGTAGAGAAGAGGGTTTGGTTGGAGGGAAAAAGGAAAATGGGGAATGTGGTCTATTAAAGTGACAAAAGCCAAAGAAAAAAAAAATACAATTCTGTATTAAGTTAACATCTGTATTTGTCTGTCTAGGACTAAGAACAGTGGCTGGTTCTAGAACAGTCTCTGAATAAACTCTGAGCTACACAGTCACCCATTCTAAGATGCAGATGAAACAGGTCCAGACTTCTAAAGTTTCAGGCTCCAATTCCAGCCATTCCTTCATTTCCATTTGAACAATTCCCGTTTCAATTGTACCAATTTCCTCTGCCCTTTTGTAATAAAGTTTCCTTTATTGACTGATCTTGACTGATCTCCTCTGAGTAAACTCCTTTAAATGTAATGCCTAAAACTATACACAATATTATAAATGTCTAACTACAACAGAGAACACGGGAGTATTTTTTTCCCTACTGTATAAATACTATACAGCGCCCCAAACTGCAGTAATCAAAACAAAGAGGAAGCACTTCAAATGCTTTTAACGAGACTGGTCACGATTGTCAGGGTTCTGAGGACAATCCAGTAGAAGCAGCACTGTAAAAGGCAGACTCTGCAAAATCTACAGAAGATGGGAAGGCAGGCACCTTTTAAAAATGCTGTTACTGGGCGCCTGGGTGGCTCAGTTGGTTAAGCGACTGCCTTCGGCTCAGGTCATGATCCTGGAGTCCTGGGATCGAGTCCCGCATCGGGCTCCCTGCTCTGCAGGGAGTCTGCTTCTCCCTCTGACCCTCCTCCCTCTCATGCTCTCTGTCTCTCATTCTCTCTGTCTCAAATAAATAAATAAAATCTTTAAAAAAAAAAAAAAATAAAAAAAAAAATAAAAATGCTGTTACTACAGAGCACCTGGGTGGCTCAGTTGGTTAAGTGTCTCACTTTGGCTCAGGTCATGCTCTCAGGGTCCTGGGATGGGGAATCTGCTTGTCCTCTGCACCCCCCTGCTTGTGCTTGCTTTCCCTCTCTTTCTCTGTCAATCAAATAAATAAAATCTTTTTTAAAAAATGCTGTTACTACCACAAAAAGTGGTAAGACCCTAACCTCAGGGATTCATGTTAGAACCTGGCTAAACCTCTAATGAAACTATTGAAGACAAGTTAGGTCTTCACAATTCTCAACTTCTAACAGTCTTCTAAACAAAATTAGGCCTTTTGTTTCACTTTCGCATCCTCCTGGAGTCAGTTCAGTGTTCTAGTAATCAACTGGGTTTTGAATTCTGATGTCTATTATCATATACCAGCTTTCAGTTGCTTGCAAATTAGCAAGCATGCCTTCTATATCTTCATTCACTTCTTTAATCCATTTTGGAGTCCAGAGATCATCAGAGTCATCTCAACCTATTCTCTTTGGTACCCACTCTATATCCAGTCCCCCCCAAAAAGGAAATTAAAGTCATCAAAGAGTACAAAAAGCTGAGGTGCTAAGTGAAGAAAAGAACTAGGTAACACGCAAAAGGTAGTAATAGTGTGGCCAGAGAAAAACCAAAGTATGGTTTGGAGGATGGAGTAGTTCAGGCCTGTTGTAAAATATGATGCAGTGGGGCCTGGGTGGCTCAGTCGGCTAAGGTGTCTAACTCTTGATTTCAGCTCAGGTCAGGATCTCAGGGTCGTGAGATAGAGCCCCCAAGTCAGGCTCTGCACTCAGCAGGGAGTCTGCTTGAGATTCTCTCTCTCTCTGCCCCTCCCTGCCCATGTGCATACTCTCTCTCTCTCAAATAAATAGATCTTTTTTTTTTTTTAAGATTTTATTTATTTATTTGACAGAGAGAGACACAGCAAGAGAGGGAACACAAGCAGGGGTGGTGGGAGAGGGCGAATCAGGCTTCCCTCTGAGCAGGGCCCTGATGTGGGGCTCGATCCCAGGACCCTGAAATTATGACCTGAGCTGAAGGCAGACGCTTCATGACTGAGCCACCCAGGCGCCCTTCAAATAAATAAATCTTAAAAAAAAAAAAAAATATATGATGCAAAGCTTCTGCATAGCACTGAGCTTTCCAAAATACAGTCAATGGGGCGCCTGGGTGGCTCAGTCATTAAGCGTCTGCCTTCGGCTTGGGTTGTGATCCCAGGGTCCTGGGACCAAGCCCCACATCGGGCTCCCTGCTTGGCGGGGAGCCTGCTTCTCCTCTCCCACTCCTGCTGCTTGTGTTCCCTCTCTCTCTGTGTTTCTCTCTGTCAAATAAATAAATAAATGTATCTTAAAAAAAAAAAAAAAAGAACAAAGTACAGTCAATGACTATGGATGGCAATGGGGTTGCTGAATAAAGAACCAAAAGCTGAGGAATTAGTGCTACAGTTGGCTTAAGGCCACCCAGTTTAGACATTCATGTGAGTCTGGATCTAAGAAATTTTAGGGTTGTAGGGCATCCAGCTTAGTGCCCTTTGGCTCCTGTAACCAGTTGAAATGAGTAGGAGTGGGTTCATATACTTCATTGCTACTACATTTAACCTCAATAATCAGGGCAAAGCTGAAATAAGTGAAGTACTCTTCTTTATCAGCCAACCTTCTCCTTGAAGGCATATACATACATAATAAATATATATATAATTTATTATATTACTATATATAAAAAAATACACATATATATAAATTTAAGGGAAATGAGAAGCCCCAGGCCCAGGAGAAAAATAAATCCTCCATGGCATCCTGTTTTGAGAATATCTCCCCAATGCTAAATACCTCAGTGGCAGCTCCAGCACTGGAAAGGTTTATTGTATGTGCTGGAGGCAGCAGAATGAGGTAAGGGTAATTGCTTAAAGAAACTTCAGGTCAACCTAAAGCCACGGGTCTGGAGAAGATTGGTATAGCCCTAAGAAACACAACAACAAAGGTTACAGACCCAGAATTTCAACATGGTCCAAACCCTGACCCCCAGGGACAAGACAGATTTCTTACATGATGAGCCTCCCCCACCTTTACGGCACCCATTGCTGATGTTTGCCCGGAGAAGCATGGCTTATAAGGCCCTCCATAATCTGTTCCCTATCTCCCATTCTAGGTTCATCTATGTTATTCTCTCCCTTTCTCTCCAAACTTTAGCAGTTATAAACTGGCCTTCTTTTAGTTCCTTACATATCCCAAGTTCTATCTCCTAACTGAATATTTAGAAGTTCAACTTTCACTATTGCCAATAAGCTCCTACAAGTATGACCCTCACACAGTTAATAACTATAAACTCTGGACTCAATATAAAAGGAAATTACATAAAACATTGGAGTGTACAAAATCAGGCAGATTCTGGAGGAAGGAGACACGTGTAAGAAGGGTGCAGCATGTGGTGAGTTTCCAACTTTTTATGACCTTGATTAGACCACAGTCAGCACTATGGAGTGTGTGTGGGGGGTGGTGGCATGTGTAAAGCAGTGGAAACCCTGATTCAAAATACCGTAGTCTTTTTAGACTGAAAAACCAGAAAACAGATTTTGGACAACCACAGCCAAATAATTTTCAATAATGCTGAAAGGGAGAAAGGAAGCTTCACATTTGGAGTATAAATTCTGTCCAAATCTGTAGCTGATATCTGAGGCACACAGTGCCAGGAAGAATGCAGCAGACCTGCTAAGGATAAAAGAAAGTGAACTGAGATGAGCTCCTGCCCAATGTAGGTGAGAGTTTTTAGTTTTAATTTAACCAAGTTAACTGACCACTAAAACAAAAATGCCTGTACACTTTGGGGGATAGAAGAGAATGCAGAGTCTCTACAACATAATATTCACACTGTCCAGGACACATTCCAAAATTAGTTCATATTGAAGAAAATGAAAACTATGAACCATTCTCAAGAGAGATTAACCTTAAAATGCCAAATGTTGGAATTAGCAGACAAGAGGTTTTTTTTTTAAGATTTTCTTTTTAAGTAATCTCTACACCCAACGTGGGGCTTGAATTCACAACCCTGAGATCAAGAGTTGTTGGCTCTACCAACTGAGCCAACCAGGCATCCCAGTGGACACGGAGTTTAAACAAAGCTCAATAAAGAGCAATATGCTCATAATAAATTAGAAAAAAAAAACAACAACAAGAAATCTCAGCAGAGAAATAGAGCTATAAAAAAAGAACTAAATAGAAATTCTAAAACTAAAAAATACATTATCTAGGGCACCTGGGTGGCTCAGTTGGTTAAGTGACTGCCTTTGGCTCAGGTCATGATCCTGGAGCCCTGAGATAGAGTCCCACATCAGGCTCCCTCTCAGCAGGGAGTCTGCTTCTCTCTCTGACCCTCCCCCCTCTCATGCTCTCATTCTCTTTCAAATAAATAAATTTTAAAAAATACATTATCTAAATTTTAAAACAAAAAAAGTACTAGAAGGGCTTAATAGGTAGAATGGAGATGATGGAAAGTCAGTAAACTTGAAGATAGACAAATAGAGATTATTCAATCACATGAACAAAGAGAAAAATTTTTTTAAGAAACACAGAGACCTGAAGGTCAATAACAAAAAGTCCAAATAGGGATAATTGGAGTTCTAGTAGGAGGAGTGCAAGCAAATGGAACTTTAAAACTATCTGAAAACATACTGGCTGGGACGCCTGGGTGGCTCAGTCGTTAAACGTCTGCCTTCGGCTCAGGTCATGATCCCAGAGTCCTGGGATCGAGCCCCGCAGGGAGCCTGCTTCTCTCTCTCCCTCTGCCACTCCCCCTGCTCATGCTCTCTCCCTCTTAAATAAATAAAATCTTTAAAAAAAAAAAATTCTTCTCGGGGTGCCTGGGTGGCTCAGTAGGTTAAGCGTCTGCCTTCGGCTTAGGTCATGATTCCAGGGTCCTGGGGCCGAGCCCCACATCGGGCTCCCTGCTCAGTGGGGAGCCTGCTTCTCCCTCTCCGACTTCCCCTGCTTGTGTTCCCTCTCTAGCTGTGTCTCTCTGTCAAATAAATAAAAATAAAATCTTTTTAAAAAAAAGTCTTCTAACTTCGATATACGGAATAATGAAGACTCCCTGAAGCATAAACTTGTCCAAATAGCTAGGCAAAAGCTGATATTAAGCCATATTCTGTAACTTTCTAAACTGCTAATAGTGTTAGAAATCTTAATAGAACTAATTTCTGGGTGCCTGGGTGGCTCAGTTGGTTGGGCGTCTGCCTTCAGCTTGGGTCGTGGTTCCAGGGTCCTGGGATCAATTCCCACATCAGTGGAGAGCCTGCTTCTCCCTCTGCCTGCCGCTCCCCCTGCTTGTGCTCTCTCTCTCTCTGACAAATAAGTAAATAAAATCTTAAAAAAAAAAAAAAAAAGAACTAATTTCTAACTGCCTGCACTGTAGCCCAAGCATTGTTTTGCAAGTCTATTGCTTAAAACTTGGGAAGCATTTTCTTATAGAGGTAAATTAGATATAAGGTTAGGTCCTAATGACTAAAAAAGCCCACTAAATCCACTCTGTACTTGAAATATAATACAGATGACATTATCAAACCTAACCATCATGTATAAGGAGGTTTGTAATGTGCTTAATGTCCCATCTGGGACTACAGTCTCCCATCTGGGATGCTGGAAAACAAGAGACTGCCTGGGATAAGGTCTCCTGTAGGGAAAGGGCAGGTGGTATGATTGAGTGGGATGGGAGGAGTAAGAACAGACTAAGCGTTCCAGAGAGTTGGGGTCTCCCTGAGTTCTATTCTGGACTTACTTATATACCCCAGGCAACTCTCTAGTTACTCTCTTTATATATACTCTGATTAGTAAAGGCATCCCAGGAGAAACAACAATTTCTCATACGTAATTTTTCTTTGCTTAAGAAAGATGGCTTCTACGTGGCTGTTTTAGCTCAGTAACTTTCAGTGTTGGCCAGGTGATTCTTACCTGTACTTCAGCTTGCTGTTCTCTTTTGACATTAAGCAGCTGTTTTTGAAGAGATCTTATCTGTTTTTTCCCTTTTTCCTCCCTAGAAGAAATAAGAATGATTTATTTAGAGGGGTGCTTCTCAAACTCTAGTGTGCACAAGGCTCACCCCCAATGTTCAAAAACAGATTCCTGGGCTCTACCCCAGAGATTCTGATTCATTAAGTCTGGGATGGGGCCCTGGAATTCACATCTCTAACAAGTTCTCGGATGTTGCTCATGGTGCTGGTCCATGGAACACTTTCAGTCACTTTATAGAACACTGCGATTTGTTTTAGTAAACCAGAAAAGGAGGTTTTGGCTTATATGTTGTATCTAAAATAGCTGATGCTCAGACAAAGCTAAGAGGAGGAGGAACAGGAAGAGGAAAAGGAAGAGCAGGGCACTCTCTTCCACCTAACCTCCCTCTCCTTCGCTTGGGGTCAGTTCAGCATTGAGTCCGAAGGCTCCCTCCACATTTTCTCTCACACAGGTGTTTCCCCTGATAAAGTCTTTGCATGAATAATCTCATCTTGGCAACTCTCAGAAGACATGACTTAACACACTTGCCATGGGCACACAAACAGTAAATGGCAAAGCAGGATTCAAATTCAGTACCATCTGAATTAGAACGTAACTACTTTAGGTTTCTGTTTGTACTCAGAAACAGAATTCTGCTTATCTCTAGTAATGCCATTATCTAGGTCTGAAGAAAAAAAACAAAACGATATAATAAATAAACAATGTAAGAATAAACAAAACAAAATAAAAACTGTCTTAGCTCACGCCACCATTACAAAATATATCAGATTGGGTGGCTTATAAATAACAGAATTCATTTCTCACAGTTTGGAGACTGTGAAGTCCAAGATCTAGGCGCCATCAGATTCAGTGTCTGGTGAGAAACAGTTTCCTGGTTCACAGATGGTCATTTTCACTTGCATCTTTATATGATGGAAGGGAAGAAGAAGCTCTCTGGGGTGTCCTTTATATGGGCATTAATCTCATTCATGAGGCCTCCACCCTCATGACCTAATCACTTCCCAAATTTCCCACCTTCTAATATCATTACATTGAGGGTTAGGGTTTCAACAAATAAATTGGGGGCAGGGGTGGGGTATGCAAACATTCAGTCTATAGCCACAACCAAAACACCTTCCCACTAAATAGCATCTAGATAAGTATTGCTATTCAGAAATGTTTAGAAAGCATGTAGTTAACTAGAATCTTGAGATTGAGATCGTCATTGCCGAACTATAGATTATGTAATTCCCATTTATAGATTATAAGAAACAGATAAGAAAGATGCAAAATATTTACCTCGAATAATAAATTCAGAACCCTGGTGTAGATTCAGTTAAATAAATAAGTGTTATTTATGAGGGAAACTAGAAATTAGTGGAGTATTGCCTTCAAAATTATGAAAGATAATTTTCTTTTTTTTTTTTAAAGATTTTTTTTTTTAATTTATTCATTTGAGACACAGAGATACAGAGAGAGAGAGAGAGAAGGAGAGAGCATGAGCAGGGAGAGAGGCAGAGGGAGAGGGAGAAGCAGGCTCCCCGCTGAGCAGGAAGCCCGCTGCGGGGCTCGATCCCAGGACGCTGGGATCATGACCTGAGCCGAAGGCAGACGCTTAACCATCTGAGCCACCCAGGCGCCCCAAAAGATGATTTTCAATCTAAAAATCTGTACCTAGTCAAATTACTAATAAAGCATGAAACAGAAAAAGATTTTCAGACATGTAAGATCTTAATATATGTAACTTCCACGCACCCTTTGTTCATGCTCCAACAAAATGGGGGATTTACATAAAAAAGAGGAAGAATGGGGGTCTAGAAAACAGGATCAAAAGGAAATCTCAGGAGATGAAAGGAAGGCCCAGAACCATAGTAATGCTGCAGGCCCTAGGAGCAACAGCAACAAAGAGGAGAAAAAGAACAGAAGAAAGTTTCAAAAGGAAAAAAGAAAGCGAAAGAAGGAAGGAAGGAAAGAAAGAAGAAAGGAAGGAAGGAAAGACTTAATATGTATGACTACACTTAAAGAGTTCCAGGGCTCTGGTGAAGAGTTGGGTGCTGGATTTGGAACAGAAATGTCAAAACAGGCAAACAAAAAAGTGGCAAGATTTAACTCTAGGGGAAAAAAAAAAAAAAGCTGTTCAAGAAAGAAAATTTCATCATTATATATACTGTATGTCCCATCTGTGAACTATTTACACATAATCATCATCATCATAATACTAAGTATTAATTTAACCAAAAATGATGCTCTAACTATTCTAGGGGCATGGAAAAAACCCAACAGATTACATCTAAAACTATATTCCCACTAGTGCTGTTTGCCATAAGGAAGAAAACTGGTCAGTGTGAGAAATGAAAAATGGTATACTATTGATTTGAAGGTAAACATTTCTTATATGTTTATTGGCCTACTATGTGTCCCCTTCAGTGAACTGTCTTTTCTTATCATTTTTGGATATGCCAAGCCAAAGGATGTCTCATCTCTCTGGATCAGACTACATTTTGATTCATCATCACAATGAAAGGAAATTTCAGCACACTAAGAGATAAAGACCAGTCAGCCCACTTTTTACTCTCTAGCAAAAGCAATGCCCAATTAAAACAGCAATGAGGCCACTATACACTGAACAGAAAGGCAGAAATCCAAAAGATTGACACCACCAAATGCTGCCAAGGATGTGGAGCAACAGGAACTCTCATTCATTGTTGGTGAGAATGCAGAAGTCAGTTTGGCAGCTTCTTACAAAACTAAACATACTCTTACCATAACAACCTAGCAATTATGCTCCTTGGTATTTCCTGAAATGAGTTAAAAATCTATGTCCACACCAAAACCTATACATAGAGGGGTGCCTGGGTGGCATGGCACAGGCAGTTAAAGCATCTGACTCTTGGTTTTGGCTCAAGTCTGATTGCAGGGTCATGAGATTGAGCCACGCATCGTGCTCCACACTCAGTGCGGAGTCTGCCTGAGTTTCTCTCTCTCTCTCCCTCTGCCCCACTCCTCCCGGCTTTCTCTCTTTCTCTCTCTAATAAATAAATACTAAAAAAAAAACCCATACATAGATATTTAAAGTAGTTTTATTCAATAATTGTCAAAACTTGGAAGCAACCAAGTTGTCCTTCAGTATGTGAATAGATAAACTGTGGTATAGCCAGACAATGAAATATTATTCTGTGCTAACAAAGAAATGAGCTGTCAAACATGAAAAGACATGGAAGAACCTTAAACACACAATACTAAGTGAAAGAAGCCAAACTGGAAAAGCTACGTACTGTATGATTCCAAATGCATGACATTCTGAAGAAGGCAAAACCATGAAGACAGTAAAAAAAATCAGTGGTTGCCAGGGACTCAGGGGGAGGGCAGGAGGGATGAATAGGTAGAACACAGAGAAATTTTAGGGCAGTGAAACTATTCTGCATAAAACTGGAATGGTGGATGCATGTCACCACACATTTGTCAAAATGCATAAAATGTATAACACAAAGAGTGATCCCCTATGGACGTTAGTTAATAATAATGTATCAATATTGGCTCATAGATGACAACAAATGCATTGCATTAATATAAGATGTTAATAATAAGGGGTATATAGGAACTCTACTTTCTGCCCAATTTTTCTATAAATCTAAAACTGAAGTCTATTAAAAAAAAAAAAAAAAGCAATGCCCAAACAATACTCACATAGTATTTAAGTTATGTACACCTTTCTACCACAAATGGGAATAGTGCTGGTGTGGTTTGCACGTTTATTAGTGACCTATATTCTACAGCTGAGTTCCAATAAGAAGTATCCAGGTTATGGCTTCAGCAAGCAGAGGGGCTATTCTGGCACCTTTGTTTGCCTTTCTAGAGTAGAGACTAAGTGACCATGATGAAAGTGATACCTCATACATCTTGACCTTCTGGACAAAATCTCAAAAGGCCTTAAAACCTGGCAAAATCTCTCCTTTCTTTTGCTTTGAAAAACGATGTAGTCTGCCTGCCCTGAATAATATTGAAGTGGGATACATATTAAAAAATAAGTGAGGGGGGCACCTGGGTGGCTCAGTCATTGGGCGTCTGCCTTCGGCTCAGGTCATGATCCCAGGGTCCTGAGATCGAGCCCTGCATCAGGCTCTCTGCTCAGTGGGAGGCCTGCTTCTCCCTCTCCCACTCCCCCTGCTTGTGTTCCCTCTCTCGCTGTCTCTCTCTCTCTGTCAAATAAATATATATAAAATCTTAAAATAAAAAAAATAAGTGAGGGGTGGCTGGCTGGCTCAGTTAGAAGAGCATGCCACTCTTGATCTCCAGGTTGTGAGTTTGAGCCCCATTTTGGGTGTAGAGATTACTTAAAAAAAAAAGTGAGAATGATTCTTAACCAAACGGGATTTAAGCAGAGGATTTTTACATGTTATTAATTCTTTTTTTTTTTTTTAGATTTTATTTATTATTTGACAGAGAGAGAATGAGAGAGAGCACATGAGAGGGGGGAGGGTCAGAGGGAGAAGCAGACTCCCCGCCAAGCAGGGAGCCCGATGCGGGACTCGATCCCGGGACTCCGGGATCATGACCTGAGCCGAAGGCAGTCGCTCAACCGACTGAGCCACCCAGGCGCCCACATGTTATTAATTCTTACTTAGGGGCAGATATGCACACATCTCACAGATAGAATGCATACTTTAAGCATGTCTTTCACATCCTCTGCTCCTGGAAGAAGGAAAAATCATTTTATGGCAGGCCCTATGTGTGGGGCTTTCCCCAAGACTCACTCATTACACTTATTTTTTCATTACATTTTTCTATTTATGTACTGATATTTTTCTTATTATTTTGTAAGACTTTATTGTTAGTGAAGATCATTACCACTAAAAGAAGCTTCATTTAAAACTAAACAGAGGAGCTGAGAAGAGATGGATGGAGAGTGAATACTAATGAGTACAGGCTTTCTTTTTTGGAATGATGAGAATGTTCTGGAATTAGATAGTAGTAATGATTACACAACTGTGAATATACCAAAACCCACCAAATTGTATACTTTAAAAGGATGAATGTTATGGTATCGACAAAACTCTCTCCTTGACCAAACTAATCAGGCTCCTCTGAGCCTTCTCTACTAGGCATGACCTTGGCCCCAGTACTTGCCTTCAGCCTGCATAGCCTGCATAAACTGCCTTCAGTTTAGCAAGATTTCTGCTAAGACAGTTTAGAGAGAATCCCCCACCCTTGATATCTGATCACCCTGGATATCTGATCAAATTCCTCATCCCCCATCCTTGATGTCTAAGCCTTTGGTCTGCTTTCAGCAAAAATCCTGTTAAATTAGTTTACCAAGAATCCCCTATTCTTTATGTATCTTAGTAATTTTCCATCCACTGACCCCCTCACTGTTCTCACTGGCTAGAAATCCTCAGCTGCCTTTACTGTATTCAGAGTTAAGCCTAATCTCTCTCCCTATTACAGCAGACCTGAATAAAGCCTTCCTCACCATTTTAACAAGTCTGAATAATTTCTTTAACAGTATGCAAAGTTTATTTCATAAAGCTCTTATTCAAGGAACTAAATAGAAAATCTTATCTATCTTCTAAGATAAGATTTTAAAAGTGCCAATCACACAATAGTTAAAATACTGAAAATTTGCTACTGATTTGCCCAAATCTAGATATAATTCTCCAACTTAAATAAATCTAAATTGATGCCTATCTAATTGGAAGAAAAATTAAAAGAAGAAATTATCATACACAATCACATATGTAAAATCAATCACTGGCAAACTATCTACATTATTATTTTCTCCCTTCCAAATAGTGGTACATATATTTCTTTTTTATTTTTCTTACTTGATTAGCTTTTTTTGAAATTACTAAGTAACAAAATGTGCTCACAATGCTAAGTCTATAATACTAGCTGTTATTATTATTATTAGACACTGTGTGCAGGAACTATCCTAAATGCTTTACATGTATTAATTAATCTAACCAAAAACATATTCCTAGTACAGAATTTATTACCAATTCTAAGGTGCAAAGGAAGAGAAAATAACTCAAGTAAAAACAATTCCTGTGCAAACAGGATAAACACTCTCATTTGAGTATTCAGGGTTCATATAAAAAGAATTTTGTTGTGGTCCCCAAATCATTTGATTGTGTTCAATTTCTTAGAGTATGAAAATCTTTGGAATTAGTTGAAAGGCTCTGGAAAAGAAAACTTTCCTTGGCATGCTTTTTATTATCACCCGCTATGGTCCAGGGATTTTCAGTGAATTCAGTCTTAAGAAAGATTACCGTAAAGGTATCCAAATCGGTAAGGAAGAAGTAAAACTTTCACTATTTGACTATTTGCAGATGACATGATACTATATATATTTATTTATATATAATAAGATATATATATCTCAAACCCAAAAGATTCCACCAAAAAACTGCTATACCCACTAAACAAACTTAGTGAAGTCGCAGAATACAAAATTAATGTACAGAAATCTGTTGCATTTCTATACACCAATAATGAAGTAACAGAAACAGAAATTAAGAAAACAATCCCATTTATAATTGCACCAAAAATAATAAGATACCTAGGAATAAACCTAACAAAAGAGATGAAGTCCTGTATTCTGAAAACTACAAAAAACTGATGAAAGAAATTGAAGACAATACCAAGAAATGGAAAGACATTCCATGCTCATGGATTGGAAGAACAAATCTTGTGAAAATGTCTATACTACCCAAAGCAATCTACATATTTAATGCAATCCCTATCAAAATACCAACAGCATTTTTCACAGAACTAGAACAAACAATCCTAAAATTTGTATGGAATCACAAAAGACCCCAAATAGACACAGCAATCTTGAAAAAGAACAGCAAAGCTGGAATCATCACAATTCTGGACTTCAGTTATATTACAAAGCTGTAGTAATCAAAATAGGATGGTACTGGCACAAAAATGGACACATAGATCAACGGAACAGAAGAGAAAATTCAGAAATAAACCCACAATTATATGGTCAATCAATCTTCGACAAAGCATGAAAGAATATCCAATGGGAAAAAGACCATATTCTTTAACAAATGTTGGGAAAACTGGACAGCAACACGCAAAAGGAAGAAACTGGACTACTTTCTTACACCATCTACAAAAATAAATTCAAAGTGGATTAAAGACCTAAATGTAAGACCTGAAACCATAAAAATCCTAGAAGAAAGCACAGGCAGTAACTTCTCTGACATTGGCTGTGGCAACTTTTTCTAGATAGGTCTCCTAAGGCAAGGGAAACAAAACCAAAAGTAAACTATTGGGACTGCATTAAAAAAAAAAAAAAAAAAAAAAAAAGCTTCTTCAGAGTGATGGAAACAATCAAGAAAACTAAAAGGCAATCTATAGAATGGGAGAAGATATTTGCAAATGACATATCTGATAAAAGGTTGGAACCCAAAATAAAGAACTTCTAAAACTCAACACCAAAAAAATAATCCAGTTAAAAAGTGGGTGCAAGACATGAACAGGCATTTCTCCAAAGACATACAGATGGCCAACAAATATATGAAATGATGTTCATCAAAACTTACCATCCGTGAAATACAAATCAAAACTACAATGAGGTATCACTTCACACCTGCCAGAATGGCTAAAATCAACAACACAAGAAACAACAGGTGTTGGTTGAGGATGTGGAGAAAAAAGGAACCATTCGCACTCTCGGTGGGAATGCAAACTGATGCAGCCACTGTAGAACACAGTACCGAGTTTCCTCAAAAAGTTAAAAATAGAACTACCTTATGATCCAGTAATTGTGCTACTAGGTTTTACCCAAAGAACATAAAAATACTAACTCAGAGGGATATATGCACCCCTATGTTTATAGCAGCATTATTTACAATAGCCAAGATATGGAAGCAGCCCAAGTGTTCATCGATTGAAGAATGGATATCGAAATGTGAATATACACAATGGACTATTATTTGGCCATAAAAAAGAACAAAATCTTGCCATTTGTAACAACATGAATGGAGCTAGAGAGTATAATGCTAAGCAAAGTCAGTCAGAGAAAGATAAATACCATATGATTTCATTCATATGTGGAATTTAATAAAACAAGCAAGCAAAGAAAAAAAAAGAGACAAACCAAGACACAGACTCTTAACTACAGAGAACAAACTGATGGTTACCAGAGGGGGGCGGGTATGGGTTAAATCGATGATGGGGATTAAGGAGTGCAATTGTCATGAGGAGCACCAGGTACTGTATAGAAGTGCTGAATCACTGTATCGTATACCTGAAACCAATATTACACTGTATGTTAACTATCCAGAAATAACATTTAAAAAAAAAGATTACTGTACAATAGGAAGAATATTCTTAACATACTGTAGATATACATAACTGAAGCCCAGAAATTTGAATTACTGTCCCAGCAAAACTAAGATTAGCACTTACATTTCTGAGTTCTATTTATCTTCCCTGGAAAGCACAAATTTGATTTGCTTTAGAAATCAAGAACTTCTGGTAAAAGTTTTATGGCATTTTAAAATACAACACAGCAGGGGCACCTGGGTCTGCCTTCAGCTCAGGTGATGATCCCGGAGTCCGGGGAGTGAACCCTACATCGGGCTCCCTGCTCAACGAGGAGTCTGCTTCTCCCTCTGCCTCACCCCCTGCTTGTGTGTGCTCTCTCTCTTGCTCACTTGCTCTCTCACTCTCTCTCAACCTCTCGCTCACTCTCCCTCTCAAATAAATAAATAAAAATCTTAAAAAAAAAAATACAACACAGCAAATAAACCTAATATTACTCAGACCTGGCAATGATATCATAAAAATGCATTTTGTTTTCCCTCTCTTTTCCCAGGGCTTTTAGGAGACTGGTGAAAGTGCCTGACTCTTCCAACTCCTGCATGGTATCTGTAATTATATCACTGAAAAATTGCCTGTAAGGAGACACAAAAAGGATGAGTTAATAAGGTATATTTTCTTACATTTACAAGGGCTACAGAAGTCACACAGGTTAAGACCCAGGATGAAAATCATAACTAAGTTGGAATTACTCCTGGAATGCAAGAATAGTTTAGCATTAGAAAGTCTATTAATAGTATTCAACACATAAACAAAAGGAAAGGAGAAAAAACATATGGCCATCACAACAGATGCAGAAAAGACATTTGGCAAAATTCAATATCCACTCATTTGAAAATGAGCAACAAAAACTCTCAGCAAACTAGAAATAAAAGAGAACTTCCTTAACCTGACAAAGTTTACATACCAAGGACTAACAAATATTGAATGTACAGTATGATATTATATATATAATATTTTAAAACATATAAAATTGTATTGTTTAAATAAAACACATACATACTTAATAAAAGTATCACAACAGAATGTAAGAGAATAATAAACACCAAATTCAGAAGAGAGTTTGTCTTTGGGGGAACAGTGAGGGGCTAGCATCAGAGGCTCCAATTGTATCTTAAGTATTTTATTTAAAAAAAACCAAACACCTCTAAAGTACTCATGGTAAAATGTTAGGATATGGTGGTTACACACTTAAGTACTCATTATTTCATTTTTTATATTTTTCTGCATTTTAAAAATATTTCATAATTTTGCAAAAGTTAAATCATTTAAAAAATTTTTTAAAGAGCTAATAGGGGAACCTGGGTGGCTCAGTTGGTTAAGTATCTGCCTGTGGCTCACGTCATGATCTCAGGGTCCTGGGATCAAGCCCTGCGTCCGGTTCCCTGCTCAGCGGGGAGTCTGCTTCTCCCTCTGCCCCTCCCCTCTCCCTCTCTCATAAATAAATAAAATCTTAAAAAAATAGAAGAGCTAATAAAACACTCACATTTTATAGATGAGTAAACCCAGGCACAGGAAGGTTAAATGACTTGCCCAAGGTCACATAACTAATTTGAGAAAAAGGTAGAACTACATAATCCAGGTTTCCTGGCTCATAGTCTGTTGCTTTTTATTTTATTTTTTAAAGATTTTTATTTATTTATTTGAGAGAGAGAGCTAGAGAGCACAAGCAGGGGGAGTGGCAGAGGGAGAGGGAGAAGCAGGCTCCTCACTGAGCAGGGAGCCCAACTCAGGGCCCAATCCCAGGACCCTGGGATCATGACCTGAGCCAAAGGCAGATGCTTAACTGACTGAGCCACCCAGGTCCCCATCCATTACTTTTTATAATATTCTTATAGGTATAGATTTTAAATGCTGCTATTTAATGTTTTCATAATAATTTTTGACAATAGTTCAAACAGAAAGATTCAATAACTATATTAAGAAAAAAGAAGTACATCGAAGTAAAAAAAAAAAAAAAACAATTGAAAAGATATGAGCCATCCCACAGAGAATGAAAAGGACATTAACTAGATTGGTGTTTATAAGCAGGACACCTTTCTGTCATGTATGCAAATCTGAGCCAGATTGATTTCACAAGAAACATTACCCCTCTGATGCAGGGGTTGGCAAACTTTTCCTATAAAGAGAGAAATGGTAAATATTCTTGGCTTTGCAGGCCATAAATTCTCTGTTGCAACTACTCAGCTTTGCTACTCATGAAAGCAGCAAGAAACAGTATGTAAACAAATGGGCAATGCTGTATTCTAATAAAATTTATTTTCAAAAACAGACTATGGGCTGGATATGGCTAGTGGCCCTGGGTAATTGCTATAAACATTCATTTACCAACAATTCTTACCATAATATTACATCCTCTTTTAAACTTAACAGGCTTCCTTGTCAGCAAGCCTGACAAAAAACTGAATAATGAGACAATGGAAACCGAGACTGCCTTTCAGAAATTCTCAGGATTAAAACTCAGCTTAAAAGTTGGCTACTTGGGGCGCCTGGGTGGCTCAGTCGTTAAGCGTCTGCCTTTGGCTCAGGTCATCATCCCAGGATCCTGGGATCAAGCTCTGCATCAGGCTCCCTGCTCGGCGGAGAGCCTGCTTCTCCCTCTCCCACTCCCCCTGCTTGTGTTCCCTCTCTCGCTGTGTCTCTCTCTGTCAAATAAATAAATAAAATCTTAAAAAAAAAAAAAAAGTTGGCTACTTGGATGGTGTCTGTCTCTTACTCATAGATAAAGCATCACAACAGCTACCAATTCGTGCCAGGCACTTGGCTGCAGCCTTATTTCTAATCCTCACACTGATATTGCAAAGTTGCTATAATTATTTTCACTTTTAAAAGCTGGACACAAACAACAACTTGCCCATGATCATATAGCCACCATACTTTCAATTGTACCACACTCCCTCTAAGCAGTCTTTAGCTAATCCTATTATCAGCAGTACCTTTGCATCTAATGACCAATCCCTAAGAGAAGACAGCAGCTACCCTTGCACCCATTTTACTATTACTTTTCCAAATATGCTCTCCTTCTTTACCTATCAATCTGGATTTTCTTCATTATGTCCGTGGACATTATGGTCTGTCTTGCAGGTTTTTTGAAGACAAAATCTTGCATTTTGTTAAACTCATTGGTAAATTGGCTTCCTTTTTGGACTCCTGGCAACTTGGTTTCTTCTTTAGGTAAGAATGGACTGGGTATTTTTGAGGTTCTTGAGGCCTCTGGAAGTTTTTCTAAGCTCTTGTTTTTCTTCTAAAAACAAGAAATGATGTTTTATGTAAGACAGATTTTAAGAGTAAAGAAACAATGCTATCCCAGGACTTCTGCCTACATTTGTCAACCGCACCTTCTGCCACTTGTATTCAACGCACAAGAAAATTACCCTTTTCTTCAGCCACCCAAATCACGTCCTGCTATTTTGTGCCTTACTGCCTTTAGACAACATTCCTTTTGCCTGTCTTTCCTCAACTTACCACCTGGTAAGCTTTAAGACTAAGATCAAAGGTAAAGTTCCTTATGAAATATCTCTATTAGCAGATATTTACCATGTTGTAATTATTTGTATGAATGTCTCCATTAGATTGTAAATTCTATGAGGGAAGGGGCAGTGTCTTAGAGATCTTGGTTCACCTCAGATTCTTTTTGGAACAAGACTGCATAATAAATGCAGCCATCTTTATAGTCTCATTGCTTAGAACAATGCCGAGGGCATAGAAAACTCAAATGTTCATTGAACACATGAATATGAAATATAAAGAATGAAAGAAATATCCTAGCAAAGAGCATAAGTTGGTAAAATTAGTGGTGTGGTATAGATTTCAAAGGTCATGTGGGAAAAAGCCAAAATAATTCATTTTTCAGACCCAAACTTGAACACTGAGGGGTAGGCATCAACCTGAGGAACAGCATATGTCTTTTAATTGATGATTCCTATTTAATCTGTTGCTAAAAGCTTTAGCTATTGAGAGGCCATATAACATAGCGATTATGCCTATGGACTCTGAAACCAAACTTCCTTGTTTGAATCCTGGCTTTATTTCTTACTAAACCATACTGACTTAGACAACTGTTTAATATCTCTATGCCTCCATTTTCCCATTGGTAAAACAGGGATACTAGCACTTGCTCTCACAGTTACTATGAGGATTAAATAAATCAATACACATAATGCATTTAGAACAGCACACAGAATTATTTAAGTTCTGTACTTGTTATGATTACTTAAATTCTTGTGCAGATCCTATGCACAGAAGAAAGGTTTATCTGCCTATTGATACATAAAGCCTAGGTCTTCCTTAGCTAAACTTCAACTAGCCCAGAAATGGTAAAAAACGATCCATTAACGGTTAATAAACGCAGACTCAACTGCATTTTTCTTTACATCAACAATAGGCAAAGATTCAGATCTGAGGAAAACATCTGTAGGCAAGAACAAAACAAAATGCTGCCTTAATTAAGAATTAAATTTTAAAATATTTCTTTAAATTAAAATTAATTTGACTGGCTACAAAGAGAACAGAAAAGTAGCATTTCAACAGTTAAGCTGAAACTTACCTGGATGTAAGGAAAACCTTAAGGGTGGTTATTATTTTAGATTATGCCTAGGTAGGAAAGGGGAAAGTGTAAGGCCTAGGAAGCTCTTTCTATTTCCCTATTTTTCCTCTACCTTTATGCTTGGGCATCTGGAAAAGGAGGCAACTGTGTCAAGCAGCCTGATTTACTCATTACTATAAATAAATATGAATTTTTTTTTAAAAGATTTTATTTATTTATTTTGACCGAGAGAGACACAGTGAGAGAGGGAACACAAGCAGGGGGAGTGGGAGAGGGGGAAGCAGGCTTCCTGCGGAGCAGGGAGCCCGATGCGGGGCTCAATCCCAGGACCCTGGGATCATGACCTGAGCTGAAGGCAGACGCTTAACGACTGAGCCACCCAGGCACCCCAAATATGAATTTTTTAAAGACAGAACTTAAAGGAACTAGCTAAATGTTTTAGTACACTCACTAAAAAATATTTTTATATAGCATACACTAGGTACAAGGTAGGGTATTAGACCCTAAGGGAAAAGGTAAGAGAAACAGTATCTCTGCAGGGGAGCTCTTCCCAAATTTTGGTCCAATTACTCCCACTTCTGGTAGAATCTGGTACATTAGTATTTTTTTTTTTTTTTTATCATTCTATCCCATGATTTTACCATTGAAAATCTATTTGGAGATGTCCTTAGCTATAAAAATAGCTATAAAGGAGGGATAATGCTAACTAACCTTTCATCCCAAGGTTGTTCTAAGGCTGAACAATATGAATGAAGCCTTTGGAGAAAGAAAACATCCACATACATACTAAGGATTTAAAATATATATCCTATGCCCTTATAGAGCAATGGCATTGTAAAATCTGTAAGTTAGAACTAGTATTAGGAAGTAAAAAAACAAACAATTATTTTAAAAGACTCACAATTTTGTAAGGTTGTGGAACTCATATTGAGGAAAGGGCTGTTAAGTTTCTATTAATCAAGATAAGAGTGGACGGGGGGTAAAAAAAAGATGAGTGTAAGCCTTTATTATATACACTACTATGAAATGATAAGCAGGGCCTCTGTTAAGTCGGCAAATTTTGTGGGTGAAGATCACTATCATAAACCAGAATAAAATAGTGCAAAAGTTTTGTTCTTTAATTTACTGAAGTGGTGACCACTGCTGAATTGTTTATAAATTTGGGTTTTCCATCCTCTCTTGAGTTTCTACGAAGGCAAATTATTCTTTTTTAGCCTGACACAGTAAGTATCACTGATAAGTATCATCAGACTTTATCTTGTTAACTATCTTTTTATTTTTGATTCCTACTGCTGGGAGACAATATATAGGAAGGAAACCCTAGACTCTTCTTTACTATTTGTTAACTAGATTAATGTATGAATTAGACTCTTGTTTTAAATGCATTGAAAGGCTTAGTTTTGGGGTTTCTAATCTCTTTACCATTCATAAATTGATTTAAAAAATTTGTTACAAAATTCTTGATATACCCATTACTGTTGTTTTAAAACTACCCCAAAACTCATAGAATGTTAGCACTGGAAGGGATGATATGGATCATTTAGCTAAAACTCCATTACACTGTAGGAGCCCCTGGTTTGCTCAGTCAGTGGAGCATGCGACTCTTGATCTTGGGGTTGTGAGTTCGAGTTCCACCTTGGGTGTGGAGGTTACTTAAAAATCTTAAAAAAAAACACACAAAAAGCTCCATCACATTTTACAAATAAGAACATGAAGACCAAGAAAGTGAAATGAACTGCTCATAGTACACAACTAAATCGCAAAGATCTCCTGACTCCAAATCCAGTGTTCTATTAAAATTTTAACTTTTAAACTTTAATAAAAGCTTTACAAACCCAGACTATATATATAACAATAATAATAACAATAATTTAAAAATGATAAGGTGTAATGAAAGGGAAATTTAATTATCTAGTTACAATAAATATGAACTTCTTTTCTGTTAGATATGGAAAGTAATTTACTCTGTTGTTTATACAGCAATTTTCATTTGTTAGAGAATCAGAAATAATGTATGCTGTACAAACTATATAATGTAATTTTGCTGAACGTAATAAATGTGTATTTGTACTTATAAGTTCTTTCCTGGAGCACTGGGTGGCTCAGCCAGTTAAGCATCTGATTCTTGATTTCGGTTCGGTCATGATCTCAGAGTTGTGAGATCAAGCCCCACGTCCAGCTCTGTGCTGGGAATGGAGCCTGCTTGGGATTCTCCCTCTCCCTCTTCTGCCCCTCACCCCCACCCCTGCTTGCTCTCATGCTCTCTCTCTCTCTAAAAAAAAATAAATAATAAGTTTTTTCATTTTATATCTATAATCTAAGTTATTATTACAAGAGCTTGGGGTGCCTGGGTGGTTCAGTCAGTTGAGGGACCTCTGCCCCTCCCACAGGCTCACATGCTCTCTCTCTCAAATAAATACATAAATGTTAAAAAAAAAATTTAAAAGAGCTTAAGAATTTATAAAGATTTTGCTCACTACCAAGTTGAGTTTTTTTGATAACTCAAATAGCATTTTGAGGAGGAGTCCATAACATCACTGAAAATGTAATGGCTGATGTAATGACCTGGCTGGATATTCACAAAAGCAGGTTGCAGCATATTCAACAACACAACAAAGTCTTTTTAGAATAAAGAAACATTGAGAAGGTCCAACTGAATTTCCTCCCCAGAGGGTTCAGTTAGCTTTCAGCAGCTAAGAAATGTAAGATAGGTGGGGCAATTCAGTAAATTGGCTACTCTCAGTACATATGCTGTATTTATACTGATTTACTATAGGGCTTTTTGAAATTGCCAACATACTGGAAGAAAAGGATATTCTGACTGGCAATGTATCTTGAGCTATAGTTATTTCCCTCCATCAATTCAGAGTACATATCTCAGGTAATTATTATAGCCCTCTTTGTCTGAGATAAAGGTGCTATTTCCCATGTTAAATTTGATAGCATAAGTACTCTAAGGGATAGAGAAATAAAAAGGAAAGAAAGCAAAAATTACATAATGGTGAGTGTATATACCATGCTGATACTTTGGCTTCTTCCATACTGAACTGGCATGATATAGTTTAGAATAGAGAGCTGGTCTGTGGTATCTTCCAGAACCGCGGAGATCCTCAGCACATCTAGAATGGAGAGTGGCTCTATGATTTCCGGGATGACTTCCTTGTCTGTTTCTTCAGCTGTTTCTTTTTCTTCTTCTACAGCACTGGGTGGCTCGCCTGTCACTGACACTGTCACCTCAGAATGCCAGACTTTTGATGGAAGATTTGAGGCTTCTAGTTGGCTTCTAAAAAAAAGAAAGAAAGAAAGAAAAAAATAAGTCAGCCACCAAATGTTTAAAAACTGCTTCAACTCAAAAGCACAGGCAGCATATAGATTGGCCCCTATGAAGTCCATATTGTCATATAACCAAGATAAAGAATGAAAGTAGGAGTTTACACATGGTTCTGCTAAATATCTCCCTGTGACATCCTGAACAACCAAAGGCAAGCCACTTACTGTTTAATAACTTCACGTCACCCATTCTATGGGTTAACCAATTTGAATTTCAGCCCAAATTAACTTTTTGTCTAGCAACATCTTTAAATGTTAATCAAAAGTGTGTCTCATGATTAATGAAAAACAGAATGTGGCAGGAGTGACTGGCTGGCTCATTCGGTGGAGCATGTGATCTTGGGGTTGTGAGTTCAAACCCCATGTCGGCACAGAGTTTACTTAAAAAAATAAATACATTAAAAACAAAAACAGGGGCGCCTGGGTGGCTCAGTCGTTAAGCGTCTGCCTTCGGCTCAGGTCATGATCCCAGGGTCCTGGGATCGAGCCCCGCATCGGGCTTCCTGCTCAGCGGGAAGCCTTCTTCTCCCTCTCCCACTCCCCCTGCTTGTGTTCCCTCTCTCGCTGTCTCTCTCTCTGTCAAATAAATAAATAAAATAAAATAAACAAAAAACAACACAGTATGTAGTAGCCAGTCTCCAAAATGGGCCTATATGATTCCCACCTTCTTATATTCATACCCAAAAGGGTATGACTACAAAAGTAGTCTCCCCCACATTAAAAGGACTTTTATCACCTAACCGTAGGTTTAGGTGGTAAAACACAGTTTTTCCCTTACTCTCTCTCTCTCATATCTCTCACTCTGTAAGAAGTCAGCTGCCTTGCCATAAGGACATGTAAGCAGCTCTTTGGAGAAGTTTGTGAGGGTGTGGAACTAAGGCCTCTTGCCAACAGCCAGCATCAACTCCCCAGCTCTGTAAATGAGCCGTGTTGGAAGTATATCTTCCAGCCCCAGTCAAATTTTCAAATGTTTGCAGCCCTGGCCAACTTCAATCTTATGACAGACCCTAAGCCAGAACCAGCCAGCAAAGCTGTTCCCAAATTCCTGACCCACAGAAACTATGTGAAATAATAAAAGTTGATATTTTAAGTTACTAAGCTTTGGGGTAATTTGTTCACAGCAATAGATAAATAAATAAATTTAACATAAGGCATAATTTAAATAAATAAATATGTATACAAAATAAATTGGAATTTTGAACATACTCTCCCATTCTTCTTAAATTAATTGTAACTTCCGTGGTACATCTACAATCTCACAAAAAATGCAGTCACCTAAAATGGGAAGAAAACATTGAGATTAGTTTAAGGGAGTGTTGAATGATAAATTACTTCTATACCCTTTTAATAAGAGAAAATTAAAGAATTACAAGAGCTGCAGCTTATCCCTTCTTTTTGCTTATTAGAGCAGTCCCAGAGATGGAAGAACCCCTGACATCATGTAATTAATGACAAAAGCAATTATTGATAAATGCAATCTTTGAGTCTCTTCTTATGGTAAATTAATGTACAACATGGATTTCGTATTATTATTATATTCTGATTTTTAACTGGCAATATCTATAGATTTACTTTTGTTATTCTGATTACTAAAATATTTAATTTGATCATTCCATCTCACTGATCTGTCAGATAACAAAATTTATTGCACCTGGACTTAGAAGAACACTTGAGATTGTATTTAGAAAAGCTGTATTTCTCCTGAAAATCAGTTTACTATTACTATCAAGATGTTACTATAAGCCAAAATCCTTTCTGTTTAAGCAAGCTTTACAATGAGAACACCCTATGGAGAATTTTGCTCTATGCTAAATGAGTAATAAATGGTAAGTTTCCAGTATGATTTTGTCCACAACAAAGTGCTCCTAAGAAGGGGCATACAAATATATCTCATACAACATAAGTATTATATGTAAAAATGAAAACATATAAAACAGAATCTTTATGTAAATTGAAAAAGATATGCCAAACTAGCCAGATTTTCTGGTACAAGGGCAGTTTTAAGAGGAAGTATCATGGCATAAGGAAGATTTTGTTCTTTTGATGTGTTGTTGTTTCTCTATTTTTCCTTTTTTTAAGGCTTGGGGCATAGGTAAATGTGCTTCATGCAGGTAAGATAGGGCTATGCTGATGCACTATCCAGTATGTTCATGCTGTTTGGGCTCCTCATTCCTCAATGCTAGAAATCTAGGAGTCATTCTTCCTTCATCTTACTATTTTTTTTTTTAAAGATTTTATTTATTTATTTATTTGACAGAGAGACAGCAAGAGAGGGAACACAAGCAGGGGGAGTGGGAGAGGGAGAAGCAGGTTTCCTGCTGATCAGGGAGCCCGATGTGGGACTCAATCCCAGGACCCTGGGATCATGACCCGAGCCGAAGGCACATGCTTAACGACTGAGCCACCCAGGCGCCCCGATCTTACTATTTTTTTAAGATTTTATTTCTTTACTTGAGAGAGAGAAGGAGCAGGGGGAGGGCCAGAGGGAGAAGCAGGGAGCCCAACTCAGGGCTGGATCCCAGGACCCTGGGATCATGACCTGAGCCGAAAGGCAGAGGTTCAACTGATTAAGCCACCCAGGCACCCCCATTCCTCCTTCATCTTGATACCAGCATTTCCCAATCCAAACCATCACGAAGTCCTGTGGATTTTATCTTCTATTTCCATGTCCCCCAGTACCATGCTGGACCTGACAGTTGTTTCTTGCTTGAACAACTCTAATAGTCCCCAAACTGGAAGTGATGTTTTTTTCTTTTGAAAGAATGATTATATATTATTTTTTATTTTGCAAATGGAAATACAAGTGAGGATGTAAAGCAGCTGGAAATAAGTTATAATAAGGGAGCAGGAGTTACCCATGACAATCAACAGGAAGGCCCAGCAAATAGCATTTCACAGAAAGCAAGTTTCTTATGGTCCAGAAGGTGGAAGAATAAAATTTTGTTGTTATAATTTGTTTATTTTTTAAAGAAATGGCTGGTGTATCAATATCTAAAAGAAACAGCTCATTATTTAATCTAGAGTATTCCAACTCTAACTTTGTAATGGGATGTTAGGCTTCTCATGATTCTTGGAAAAACTGTCATTCCCCAAATATGCAATTACCTTGCTATCCTCTTCTAAAAGTCAGTATTTTTTTTTAAAAAACTATTAGTTTAAAGGGAAAAATATGTAATCAAATTTCCAAATGTTTCATTTTAGTCTATGTTTAAACAGTTTGCATGTTTAAACCGAAATTACATTTCTAACGGCTTTCATTTCCTTCAATCCAGCCCCAAACTGTATTTTCTTTTTTCCCCCATTTTTAAATTTAAATTCAATTAATTAACATATATTATTGGTTTCTGAGGTAGAGGTCAGTGATTCATCAGTCTCATATAATACCTAGTGCTCATTACACCCAGCCACCCCTAATGTCTATCAGGGGAATGACAGTTTTTCCAAGAATCATGAGAAGCCTAACATCCCATTACAAAGTTACAGCTGGAGGGCGCCTGGGTGGCTCAGTTGGTTAAGCAACTGCCTTCGGCTCAGGTCGTGATCCTGGAGTCCGGGATTGAGTCTCCCTCTGACCCTCCTCCCTCTCATGCTCTCTGTCTCTCATTCTTTCTGTCTCAAATAAATAAAAATAAAAATCTTTAAAAAAAAAAACAAAAAACAAAAAAAAAACCAAAGTTACAGCTGGAATACTCTAGATTAAATAATGAGCTGTCTCTTTTAGATATTGATACACCAGCCATTTCCTTAAAAAATAAACAAATTATAACAACAAAATTTTATTTTCCACCCCCTTCTCTCCAGCAACCCTCAGTTTGTTTCCTATGATTAAGAGTCTCTTATGGTTTGTCTCCCTCTCTGATTTCATCTTGTCTTATTTTTTAAATGAAAAATTGAAAATTTAAAACTGAAAATCTAATCATGTCTTTCCCTAGAACTCTTCTATGGTTTCCCATTGCCTTAGGACAAAAGCTAAAATTCTAAACTTGGATTCTAATTCTAAACTGCATGATCTGGCCTGCTCTGTTCCTCTTCAGATATCCACTTGGCACTGCCCTTTTCTTGCCCTCATGGCTCCTTGGGCTTCTTTCAGTTCTATGGAATCATGCCCCTTTCCAACTCAGGGTCTTTGCACGTGCTATTCCTTTGATTTGAACCATTCTTCCCCTCACTCTTCACCTTGTAAAGTCCCACTGATCCATCAGGTACCAGCCTAAATCAATGGCATTTGGCTAGGCATCTGTCATTTGCTCTAAATCAATTTCCACCATTTCTTACGCCCTGAGAGACTGACCCTTATGGAGCGCACCAACAGGAGATTCCGTAAGTGTAGGAGAGTGAGATCAAGTGTTACCCTCTCAGCTCCCTCCCTGCCAGATCACCATTGGTTGGCTATGTTTCTCTATTAAAGGCCATGGCACCTGTCAGGCAATCCTCTCCACATTGCTCTCTCTTGGGGTTTTGGGTAACTTTTTCTGCCCCATGTCCCTGGAGACTATGTCATCCCTTATAGTTTCACTCCTGCCTACACTTTTGTAAGCAGACCCTTTATGAAATTCTGAACTCTATCATTGTTTCCATCCAGGCAACACTGACTGATGCAATGACCTATATACAGAGATTTTTATACATAGTGTGCACATGCATACATATATATAAATATACATACACGCAAATAACTGAAACAAGTTTCATATAACGATTTACCCTTAATATGATATTAATACCTTTGATTCTATCATATTTTGCCTATAATACTATAAAGTATTATAATCACAATCTACTACTGGGCCTTCACCTGTGGTTTGAAAAATGCCCTAAATGACACTTCTGCAGGTGACACTTTCCCTGACTCATCAGGCTGGATCAGGACTCCACTGTTCACTCATTGCACTCTTATTTTCCTGCAGAGTTCTCTTCACAGTGTGTAATGTTGTAATTTCCCCCCACTAAACTTAAGTGTCATAAAAGCAGGAACATGATAGTGACGCTCACTATTATATCCTGTTTCAGGCACTGTGGTCAAGAAGTATTTGTAGAGTGAATGAAAGAACAAAGAAACAAAACTCACATTTAATGCGTTATTCCTCCCAGGACTACTTACATTTGGATTTCTAGTACATTTAATAGTGGGACTTGGGGCGCCTGGGTGGCTCAGTTGGTTAAGCGACTGCCTTCGGCTCAGGTCATGATCCTGGAGTCCCGGGATCGAGTCCCGCATCGGGCTCCCTGCTCGGCGGGGAGTCTGCTTCTCCCTCTGACCCTCCCCCCTCTCATGTGCTCTCTCTCTCTCTCTCATTCTCTCTCTTTCAAATAAATAAATAAATAAATAATCTTTAATAGTGGGACTTTTAGTGTATTTCTGGGACAGAGAAAACTGGATAGAGGGAGTGGGTTATAAGGTACAAACATTCTATCCTGATGTATTCATGAAAGGACTTCAAATACAATTTATAGATACTATTTCATAAAACTCTGGAGTTACCCTTTACTCCTTTCTCCCATTCCTTATCCATCAGCAAATCCTGTCAGGGTTACATTTAAAATATATTCAGAATTCCAGTACTTACCACCCCTGTCTACATGCCATCATCTATCAGGTTCACTACAATAGCCTCCTAATTGATCTTCCTGCTGGTGTTCTTGCTTCCCTTCAGTCTCAACAGAGTGACCCTGCTAAAATGAAGTCAGATCGAGTCACTTCTGCAGCCAGAACCCTCAAATGGTTTCTCATCTCAGAGTAAAACCCTTTTTTTACAGTGGCCTCCCTGCTTAATTTTTTTCTCGATAGAGAAAATTTTTCTCAGTTACCTTCTAACGTGCCATATATTTTACTTGCTTATTGTCTTGCTCCCCCTACTAGGATGTTAGCTCTATGAGGGCAGAGACTTCTGTGGTTTCGTTTACTGCAGTGTCCTCCGAGCCAAGAACAAAGCTTGGTACATAGTATTTAATCAATAAATTGCTGGATAAATGAATGAAGCATAGAGAAACCCAAATAAATGTGCAATAATTAGGCAATGTAAATCTCTGATATCCACTAATCTATCTCATTCTCGCCTGCAAGTATTTACTGAAGACCCATTTCGTGTAGGCACGGTGCTCTTTAAAAGGCATTAAGGCCTTTTCAGGGCAGTCCTATTCAGTCTGGAGTCAAAACGAAGGATGCAGGTAAGAACTTAGGTCATTTCTTGAAAGAGATAAAGGAGTAGGAGGAAAGGAGTAAGGGGGAAAACTTAAAAGAGAAGGGAAGAGCTCTTCCTGCCTTCGTGCTCCTGGCCTTTCTCTTCCACGCTAGGATCCGAGAGTCTCCGTTCACCCTACTCCTCTGTAGTAGGAAGGAAAGATACCCCCATGTTGGCGAATCAAATCTGGGATATCCGAGGCGGGGAGATATCCTCCAGTCTAGCTTCACTTTTTCCACCAAGGAACCAAGCTCTGGTGTTTCTCTGGCAACGCTCAGCTTCGGGGGACCTTTTCTTCTCCTCCTTTAGCTGGCTACCATCTTGCCTCCCTCTGTTATAAAACACGTGTTACAGCTCACAAAGATGAAAGGACTTAGAGAAAGAACTATAAGAGTGCACTTGAATGTGGTTTGTTTCAGTCAAAGACATCTGAGGTTTTTGTATTTTTATTTTTTCTGGCGGTTGCGGAAGATGCCTAAGCTGGGGGCGGGGCAGAGAGGTGTTTATCCCACAAGGCCACGCGGCGGGGCTTCGCCTTTCTTTTTCCGCCATCTTGGAGCCTGAGGAGGTGAGGGGAGTTTTTGTGGCTGAACTTTGGGTGCAAGTAAGTGCGGTGAGCTCAACCATATGCCTCGGCAGGGCACTGGTGCGGCTGGGAGGCTGTGCCAGCCAGTGATTTCTATGGATTCCAGCAACAGGGAGGACAGGATTGAGGAGATGTGGGACTGATTGTGCTGATCCCCGCACGCCCGGAGGACCGGCGCTCCCGTAATCGGTTGCTTCTTGGGCCTTAGCGGAGTAGTAGATGCACTTTGCCCGTGTGTAGTTCCCTATTTGAGGCAGTGCTCCTTTAGGGTGAGTTCTTTTTCCCTACGCTCCCACTCCAGACCTGGCTAGGTCTACAGTCCCCGTTTCCTCAGCATTTCCTTTTCCGTACAGTTCCTGTCTTTCTGTGTGCCTCTCTGATTACTCGCTCTTCATTTTTGTTCCTGCTGATCGTGGTATGGATTTTCTCAGGGCTTCCTTTCGGAGTTTTCAGGAGCTCCTTGTTTTACCGTGGAGTCTTGATACTTTTCGTTGTGGTCTTCATTTTGGAGTTTGCTCAGTTACCAGGCTTTCTCTGAGGTTGGCAAGTCTTGCCCGACTGTGCTTCATGTAGATGTCGTAGTATAATGATGTTTCCCCGTACCCTTAACGTGAAATGCCGAGCAAAAAGGAATGTGCCTGACAGGTTTAAGAAGCGGAGAGAGGACCGGGTGCGAAACGTGCGTTCCAAGATTTTAAACTGTTTTTTTGTTTGTTTTAAGGCCTGCTGGGAACAGGACTCCTCTAACGCCAAATAATGTCTGGAAGGTACGGGTTTTACATATAATTGCTTTGTATTTGTAGTTTTTTTGTCTTTAACAAGCATGAACATAAACATGAGATTGAAACCGGTGGGAAAAAACTAGATATTTGCTATAGGTAACATTTGAGTAGAGCTCATTACAAGTCAGATCTTACCAGGGACATGAAACGGGATCTTTTAACAACTGACGGTTACCGTGTGTTTTGTCTTAGACTGTGGTCCAAGGCCATTTTTGCTGGCTATAAGCGGGGTCTCCGGAACCAGAGGGAGCACACAGCTCTTCTTAAAATCGAAGGTGTTTATGCTCGAGATGAAACGGAATTCTATCTAGGCAAGAGATGTGCTTATGTGTACAAAGCAAAGAAGTAAGTTTATAGTATTAATAATGCCTTTTAAGTTTTTAGTTGAGATTTGTCTGTTTTTCCTGTTCAAAGAAGAATGATCAAAAGATGTTGGTAAACTAATATTTGGTGCTGTTGTGTTTTCTACTTTGGATCTTTAAGGAACTTCGTGGGAGGTTATAGAAGGATGTTACTTGTCTGGGTAGTGTTGGATTTAGGTATCTTCTGCACTTAGAAAGGTTACAGCTGTTAATTGTTTGAAGGAAGGAACCAACTCCTTAAATTGTGCTCCTCTTAAGGTGTTACAGAGCAGTTTTTCATGCACTTTAATTCATTTTGTTGCTTTCTTGAAATTAGGTTGTATACATGCTTAAAAATTATTATTAAACTCATTAAACCAGTTAAATTTTCTGGGGACATGGCTTTCATCTTTGCCCCCCATTCCTGCAGCAACAAGAATGATCCTTTAAAATTATAACTCAGATCACCTGTCTGTTGCTCCGATACCAACTTTCCTCCATCTTTAGTAAAAATGTCATTAAGGAGGCTTTAAGACCGTATTCTTTCAGGGCTTCCTATTTCTACTCTTAGCCTAGCTAGGATTCACTCCATGATACCTTCTGCCTTTCCATATTTTTTTAAAATATTGCAGCTATTATCATCTGACATTTAATATATTTTACTTACTACTTGGTTATCTGAAAGGGATTTTTTTTTGGTAACTGCAATTTTGTATTTTACAAAATTACAAAAAATACATTTATAAAAGTGTCTGGCATACAGTAGGCACTCAAATATTTGTTGAATGAATGGTGCCCCAGACTTCAGTTTCTCAGGTGACTTAGTGGTTAACTACAGTTGTGAGTTGGTGATCACTGGTCTACAGGTTACCTTGAATTTGTATCACCCTACACTAGTTGCCTGGGTTCTCACCTCTTTTATCCCCTTTTAAAACCAGCAACACAGTGACTCCTGGTGGCAAACCAAACAAAACCAGAGTAATCTGGGGAAAAGTAACTCGTGCTCATGGAAACAGTGGCATGGTTCGTGCCAAATTCCGAAGCAACCTTCCTGCTAAAGCCATTGGCCACAGAATCCGTGTGGTAAGTACAGTTATTAGCAGTATGACACTGGGGTCAAACTAAGCTCGGGTTTGGGCTCTGACCTCTAAAGACTATTGTGATTTTAAAATCACCCCATGAGTTGTGCTTCAGAATTATCTACCGTGTAGATGTATTATGAAATATCAGATATCCTGGCATTAGAAGGAAAGTGAAGGCAAAGTGTTCAGGAGGATTGTATATAGATTTCAAATTTTGCTAAAGCTTGGGGTCGGGGGGATAGTATTTAAATGAACAATTTTCTGGCAAAGATTTATTGAACACAGAAGTGATTGTTAGAAAAGAAAAAATTTTCCTGGCATAATTCATGATACTCCCGTTTCTTCATGACAGTCTTGTTAGAATAGGTGTTGTTATTAGCCTTATTTTATATAAGAAAACTGATGCTCATGTTTCTAGGTCCCAGGACTTCAGCTCAAGCCATTGAGTCCAGATCCTGTGGTTTTCTAAAACAGCTCCTGTTTTCCTTAGTATTCATTTTTAGTAGATAAGGCTATATTCTTGGGATCACATGGTACTTTGGAACCCTTCTGAGCCATTGAGATTTTTCATCAGAAGGTTTTTACTCTGTTCTTGGAAGAAGCAAAATTAAGTGGATTTTCAGGGTTCCCTATACTGGTTCTTAAAGTGTGTTCATCTAGATACTATAAGAATTTAGTTCTCTCCCTGCTAAGATGTAAGCAGTCATTGGATCCCTTTTAGAGATGAGTAATGGGACAGTGGGAGGAGATTTATCCATATTGTTGTACTCAACTGACATTTACAAATTTGTATATAACACACATCTAATTACACCCTGTTTTCTTTTTTCTTCCTAGATGCTGTACCCCTCAAGGATTTAAATTTAATGAAAAGTAAATAAAGGTGTAGATTTGTTCTCTTGTATTTTTGTTAAATGGCTTACCATTTTCTTTTTCCTAAATTCCAGTTGCTGTATTTAAATGGTGACGATTATCCAGCATTTTCAGAGTACAAGGAAGCCAGGGAGCTATATGTAACGGCAATTACAGAGATTTAGACAATAGGACGGTTTTAATGAGGGTAGGGAGGTTAGAGTATCTTAATACAAGGCCTTATGTGATGGGGGAGGGAAACAAGCTTTGATTGGAGCCAGTGGGAAAAGGAGTATGTTGGGAGTTTTAAAGTGATGGAGCACATGTTGTCTGAAAAACTTTTGTACAAATGGAGACCATGTATTCCAGGAAGGACAGAAGCCAGAAGTATTAGCCAGTACAGATATACACCATAACACTTGGCCAGGTTTCCACATCAAAATGGATCTATAACTCTTAAGTTTATTTCAACTTTGGTATTGTGGTATATTACATGTAACTGCCTTCCTCATTAGATTGGGAGTCGGTGAAAGAAACTTAAAATTATTTTGATGGCCTCCTTAATTACCTTAAAGTGTATGCACTTATTCAGTATAGATCGGTTGGGAAACTTGTGACATAAAAATGATAGTTGCAAGAACTTAAAATGAGGATTATATTGAGAGTATCTGGCAGCTTGTTTAGATAGGCAAGGATGAGATATCCTTGGGATGTGTGGCTGGACAAAGCATGCCAGTATAGAACACTTGACTGGTAATAATGTGTAAGTTAAACAAAATACGTCTCAAGAAAAAGTACTCGGGCACCTGGGTGGCTCAGATGGTTAAGCGTCTGCCTTCGGCTCAGGTCATGATCTCAGGGTCCTGGGATCGAGTCCCGCATCGGGCTTCCTGCTCCTTGGGAGCCTGCTTCTCCCTCTGCCTCTCTCTCTCTCTCTGTCTCTCATGAATAAATAAATAAAATCTTTAAAAAAAAAAAAAAGTACTCTTAGTTGGGAGTGGGGGGAGGTTGCCCAGACAGTGTAGTTTGGTTCTATGTTTTAATGTAGTAAAGTGTAGGATTGAGATACTTTAGTGTAAGATGAAACTAAAGCAGGGCTGCAGGGTATTTCAGATCTCTGAATTGTTGAAATAAAGTTTGAGCCAAGGCATCAGTTTGCAGTATTGTGGCTGTAGATACTTGATTGTTGCAGTAGCAGCCAGCTAATCTTTTTATTAACCACCAAATCTTGACATTCCACTGAAAATACCAATAAGAAACTTGAGACTTGGTCAAACTGAACCCCTTTTACAGTTTTTAATTCTACTTGGAGTAGCATACAGCAGTTATAAGAAAGGTGTGTTTAGCCCAGTGGTGGTCCTCAGGCCAAAAGTTGCTGTTGGAAGGAAAAATACCAGCTTTCACAGAAATGGCCTTGTGCTTGTACTGCAAGGCTCATTTGGGCTTATGTGGGAAGAACAGCTTCAAGGCAAAAGAGGTGAATGTGGGTCAGATGCAGCTTTGGTCCAGTGTTAACCATGTTTTCTTCACAAGATCTAAGCATTGTATTTCATGGCCACAATTTGGTTATAAGAACCCTAAGAAAATTGACATTGAAAAATTGGGTCAACGGCAAGAAGCACCAATCTCAGACCTACACCAGTGAGATTTAGTTGTTGAGAAACAACATAATCTAAAAGTATTCTCTTGTGTCATTTAAGTAGATGTATCAGTACTATTTTTAAATTTGAGAGTGTGTGAGTTGGGGGAGGGACAGAGGTAAAGGGAAAGAATCTCAAGCAGACTCCCCCGCAGAGCTCATAGCTGGATGTGGGGCTCCATCTCACAACCCTGAGACCTTGACCTGAACCAAAATCAAATGCACTGCTTAACGGACTGAGCCACCCAGGTGCCCCAAAGATGTATCAATATATTGGAGTGGTTAGGAATAGAGGAAGAAATGCTTGGGGAGGTATTTCATAGAAATTGACTTTTAGGGGGCGCCTGGGTGGCTCAGTTAAGCATCTGCCTTCGGCTCAGGTCCCAGGGTGCTGGGATCGAGCCCTGCGTCAGACTCTCAGCTCAGTGGGGAGTCTGCTGCTCTCTCTCCCTTTGCCTCTCCCCCTGCTTATGCTCGCTCTCTTGCTCATTCTCTCAAATGAATAAGTAAAATCTTAAAAAGACTTAGGATTTATGTGAAAGCAGAAGGCATCTGAGGAACTCTTCAACTGGGTTATGTAACTGAAACCTAATACTGTGGAAAATAAATAGAAAACTAAGAAATGGCTAGATTATGCCAGGTTTTATGTGCTGTACTAAGGATTAAGAGAATTCAAAGACCAACTGAGGAGTCTTCAAAGTTACATTCCTAGCTTTGGTTGTGGGGTGGGTAATAGTACATTTACAAAGTTGGGGGACCAGAAGATCATTTGGGGGGGGATGTTGAGTTTGAGGAAGCTATAGGATATTCAGTTGTGAACATGTCCAGGAAGGCAGCTGGATGTTCATGTCTGGATTAGGCATATAAAATTTTTTTATTTTAAAGATTTTATTTGAGAGAGAGAAACAGCATGAGAGGGGAGAAGGTCAGAGGGAGAAGCAGGCTCCCCGCTGAGCTGGGAGCCTGATGTGGGACTCGATCTAGGACTCTGGGATCATGACCTGAGCCGAAGGCAGTCGCTTAACCAACTGAGCCACCCAGGCGCCCTGGATTAGGCATATAGAGGAGGAAACCTCATAAAGCCTGTCACCTTTGTAGGAGTTTAACGAATACAGTATTCTGAGAAGGATGATGGTAGAGTAATGGAGGTGGATAAACAAGTGGGCATTTGGGCAAAGAGAAGTCTGAGAATCCCTAGGATGACCTGAGAAAATGCAGTGGCAAAACAACTTTGCACGCAAATTCGTCCTCTTCAACTGATTTAATAATGCAGTACTTGTAAATGAGAGGGTGCTTTATGCATTTCTGTTCCCATAATGAGATTCGGTGAGTACAAAGATAGTCCTCAAGTCAAAGGTACCACTGGAGGAATCCCGTGTTTCAGAGAAATGAGGTTGAATGGCTAGCAGTTTGTTGGCTGGATCACTGAAATAGCCTCTCTCCAGCATGACACAACTGTTAAAATTAGGAACTTGATGTTGACTGGTGCTATTCTCTGTTCACAATTCAGTTTCTTTGTAATCTTGTAGTGGAAAAAGCACATGTCATGAAAGTGATAAATTTGGTTTGGAGTCCCAATTTCCACTAGTTGTGGGATGATAGACCCATTATGTAATGAGCCTTTACTGGTAGAGTGACCCACCCTTGAATTTGAGTACATTATCTTTACCAATGAATGGCACAATCTTGGGGCTATTCTTTCCTTCCTATCTCCAGTTCCTAGTACAGTAATTTACAGTATTCAGTTCTGGTTAAATGACTTCCAGTTCAGTGCTTCCAATTACTTGTTTTAATGTTTAATGGGCCTTGGGGGAAATACCCCAATTTTCAATTTTTTTTTTTACAGTTCCTCATGGCCTAGATTGAAGGTAGAGTTTCCTTAATGGCAAGGATCCACCTGGTCTCTTCCTGGGTTAAATGCAGTTACAATTCTTGCGGTTTTGTTTGTTTTTTGTTGCAGTTTTTGTGTTTTTTCTTTTTTAAGTAGGCTCCACACCCAATGTGGGGCTTGAACTCACTACCCAGAGATCAGGAGTCACATACTGTACTGACTGAGCCAGCCAGGCGCCCCTAATTCTTGTTTTGTTTTATAGAAGTTAAGGGATGGGGTTGAATAGGAACGAATATATTGATTTTCTAAGAAATGACTAGTAAAGAAATGGTCCTAAAATTGGTGACTGAGGATAAAAAGTAAAAATGAAAATTATATTCCATTCATCTTTACACAGAGGGCTAAACCATTAAAGGTTCTGCATCAGATTGTTTAAGCCACCTGGCACCCAGTGTGGATGCCTATCTTTAAGGTGAGTAACTGAATTAAAGAGAAACGACCTCATTCCACCATCGCCTTACAACACCCACGGGGCTTCCTACAGCCCAACTCACGTGGTCCGCTAAACGGCACTTACTGGCAGGCTTTGCGCTTTGAGACGCGATGGCCGCGATGCGGTTCTCCTCCGCGGTGAACTGTAGGGCGATGCTAGCCAATCAAAACTTCCGCCGGCGGCGAGGGGCGGAGCTGGTGCAGGGTGGAGACGTCACGTACTCCATGGTAACGACGCTCGGCCCGAAGATGGCGGCCGAGTGGAAGGGAGTAGCAGGTTCCTCCGGTTCAGGCCCTGGCCCTAGCCAGTGGCGCTGGAGTAGGTCTTTGTGGGTCCGAGGCGTTTTACTCCTGTTGGGCGGCCTCTGGGCAAGGTCCACATCAGTTCCTCTCTCCTTGGACAGTTCCCCTCCCTGCCGGCACCACGTCCCCTCTGAGACTGAGGTAGGGTGACGGAGGGGCGGGAGCGGGCGCTGTGAGGGTAAAGTAACACGGGAGGCGAAGATGTAGAGGGTGGTTGTTGGAACAAGGTGTGTTGGAGAGGAAAGCGAAATTGGACTAGAAACTGAACTCTCAGGGGGCTGGACCTGCTATTGTTGCCAGGTGGACCTTGGCTCCTGAGGCCTTGACCCAGCCACTCCAAAAGATGTCGCTGGAGGCTCTTGGTCGGCCAGGAGAAAGAATTCAAGGACGGACAACACAGTAGATGAGCAGTACAAGCAGGAAAGTTTCTTCAAGTCAGAGTACACTCTAGAGATGTGAGAGCGGGTACGCTCAAGAAGTGCTGAGCCCACTGCGTTTGGATTTCTGTTATTGACAGTTGTTAACAAAGGGGTGGAATATTCATTACTTGAAGTGAGGATTTCTTAGAAGCAGGGTGGTCTCTTCCAGGAATGTTAGGTTATGCCCTTTTTCTTGCCTTATTTGCCCCATAAGGAACTCTCGCGGAGATTTCAGAGGCGGAGCTCCTTCAAAACGCAATGCTAATGATATAACAACTGTATAATGAGCTTAGGTCACTCACGCTGTCAAGATGGGAGTCCCGTGTGGTTTTCTTTTGGAGTGCTGCCAGGGCAGGCCTCTTCCTTATAGTTGGCCATGACTTCCTCTTTGCTGACCTCGCGGCATCTTGTTAGAAGCGAACTAACTGCCTGCTCTAACAGTATTAACTCCCTTTCTGCACCTAGCAAAGTGGCTGAGTTAGGCACTCAGAACATGAAGGCTTTCCTGTACTGAGAGTTGTACTTAGGTAGTTGTAGAGCAGGGTGGTTTTCAACTTGAGAGTGCATCAGAATCACCTAAAGGATTTGTTAAAAACACAGTTTGCTGCCCCACTCCCCCACTTTCTGACTCATTAGGTCTGGGATGGTACCCAGAATTTGCAGTTCAAGTTCCCAGATGGTTGATGATGTTACTTGTCCAAAGACCACACTTTGTGCTCTACTGACCTAAAGGTTTTGGAAGAAGTTGATAGAAGAGCTAAAGGCATTGCAAGGATGTTGGGGGGTTCTCTGAAGACAAAATTCAGGCTTATTTTCAAGTTACTTCACCACATTGCTTGCTTTACGCTATTCTCCTACCCTCCTTCACACTCTTTCTCTTCCTCTCTACATTCTTTTAATCTTAAAGTTCCCTAAGTTCAAGACCGTGAGCTGAAACCGCTCCAGCAGAATGCTTTTTCCATTTCATAGTATGTCTTATCTATAATCTCTTCTGGCACTTAACCAAGTACTGCTGTGTGGGGAAGGTTTATTTCTCAGGCATTTCTTTGTAGTCTTTTGTAGTTAAATTGTAAGGTTCTTTTGGATGAGGTTTATGTCTTTGATTCCTCCACAGTATTTAGAGAGCCCACAATAATCAGTGTTCTTTGAGGAAAGGAGATAGAGTACTTGGCGCAGGGTGGCATGTTATGATTGATTTTATAATTTGTCTTACTACTTTATCAAGAAAGTCTGATCTAGAAATTTTCAGTTCAGCCCAGAAATCTAAGACCACTCATTTTTGTGGTAATTTTCAAAAAGTTCTGTGCATACTGTTCATAACCATATGTGCCAAAATACTAAGTTTGGGGCTTGTAGCTGTATTCCAGCTTTTATCATGACTCTGCATTTTGGCTGAATTTTATTTATTTTTTAGTCTCTTAGCAACTTTTAAGTTTATAATACAGTATTGTTGATCATAGTCACTATGTTATATATTAGATCTCCAGGGCTTATTTATTTACTGGTTGCAAGGTTGTACCCTTAAACAGTATATCCCCAGTTCTCCCACCCCTGATGAATTCTCTCTAAAAAAAAAAAATCCTGTAAAAACCTGTGTTTCTTTCTTAGAATGTAGATTACAGTAGGAGAAAGCTATTCAAAGAACTGCAAAATCTCTCCACTAGAGGGAACCTAAATAGCTGTTTCTTCTAGTGATTATTGCCAGTGTTCAAAACTCCAATTTATATTTGAACATCTCTGTGGATAGGGAGATTATCTCCAGATTATCTCATCTTTAATAAATTTTCCTAGTTCTTCATAGAGTATGTAATAGCAAGTCCTCCTAACCACTATCTTAACTTTAACCTAGACATAAAATATAGGCAAGAATTATTCATTGTACTCCTACTAGTGACTTACAGCTCTGTTAAATGGTATAGGAAATTATATTACATTTTTTGGGTTGTGGTGGGAAGTACAAAACATGTTGGGAAAAAAAAAAAAGCAAGTGGGGAGGTGTGGGGAGGCGCCTGGCTGGCTAAGTTGGTAGAGTGTGAGATTCTTAATCTCTGAGTTCAAGCCCCATGTTGGGTGTAGAACCAACTCAAAAAAAAAATTTTTTTTGGACACATTTAAGTTTTCAACTAAAACCTCTAAGTTTCATTTTTTTAATTATGTAAATTAAACCCCAAAAAAACGGAATAGTATAATGGACTCCCATGGACCCATCACCCAGCTTTAACTCTTACCATATTCTCTCATTCTTTTTTTTTAAGATTTTATTTATTTATTTGAGAGCGAGAATGAGAGAGAGAGAGAGAGAGAGCATGAGAGGGGGAGTGTCAGAGGGAGAAGCAGACTCCCTGCCGAGCAGGGAGCCCGATGCGGGACTCGATCCCGGGACTCCAGGATCATGATCTGAGCCGAAGGCAGTCACTTAACCAACTGAGCCACCCAGGCACCCCTTTATTCTCTCATTCTTGTTTCATATACTTTCACCCATTCCCCATCCTCTCATTTGTTATTGTTACTTTTAAAAGTTTTGCTGTTGGATCACCTGGGAGGCTCAGTCGGTTAAGTGTCTGTCTCTTGATTTCTGCTCAGGTCATGGTCTCAGGGTTGTGAGATCAAGCTCCATGTAGGGCTCTGTGCTGGGAGTGGAGCCTGCTTGGGATTCTCCCTCTCTCTCTCTCTCTCTCTCTGCTCCTCCCCCCCCCAAAAAAATATTATTTTAAACTTTTTTTTTTTTTAAGTAATCTCTATGCCCAGCATGGGGCTTGAACTCACAACCCCAAGATCAAGAATGGCATGCTCTACCAACTGAGCCAGGCAGGTGGCCCTAAAAGTTTTCTTGTAAAATTTACATGTATTAAAATGCAATAAATGCAATCATGTACTTCACGTGAAACTTGTAACCACATGATATAGAACATTTCCATGTCTCCAGAAAGACCCCCGCTCCATTTTGTGCCAGTCAGTCTCCCCCGTCCAGATACCCCAGGCAACAATTGTTCTCATTTTTTTTTTTTTTTAACATTAGTTTTGTCTTGGGACCCCTGGGTGGCTCAGTCAGTTTCAGCTCAGGGCATGATCCCAGGGTCCTGGGATCGAGTCCCCCATCGGGCTCCTTGCTCGGCAGGGAGCCTGCTTCTCCTTCTACCTGCTGCTCTCCCTGCTTGTGCTCTTTCTCTCTCTGACAAATAAATAAATAAAATCTAAAAAAAGAAAAAGAAAGAAAATTAGTTTTGTCTCTTCTAGAGCTTAGTTTACACAAATGAAATTATGTAAAATATTTGTTATCCAATAGTAAATTGTGTAAATAGCAATTGCTTTTTGTGATAGACCCTATTTGGTCTTAACTTAAGGGTATTATCCTTTTTATATACCTCTGAATTCAATTTGCTAATAGTTGTTAAAGATTTTTGTATCTATGTTTATGAGTAATGTTGGTTTATAATTTCTTTTTTTAGTGAAGTTTTTGTTCATTTTTTTTAAAAGATATTGTTTATTTGAGCAGGGGGAACGTCAGGTAGAGGGAGAAGCAGGCTCCCCGCTGAGCAAGGAGCCCGATGGGGGACTTGATCCCAGGACCATGGGATCATGACCTGAGCCAAAGGGAGCCGCTTGACCGACTGAGCCACCCAGGCATACCTTTGTACATTTTTGATACCAGAATTATACTGCCTTCACATAATGAGTTGGGAAATGTTCCATCTTCTTGTATTTTTTAAAAGAGTTTGTATAAAATTGAAATCATTTCTTCCTTAAATGTTTAGTATAATTCATAATTGAGACCACCTGGATGGGCCTGCCCTTTTCTTTGTAGAGAGTTGTTTTTTGTTTTTTATTTTAAGATTTAATTTATTTATTTGACAGAGAGAGACGCAGCGAGAGAGGGAACACAAGCAGGGGGAGTGGGAGAGGGAGAAGCAGGCTTCCCGCTGAGCAGGGAGCCCGATGTGGGGTTTGATCCCAGGACCCCAGGATCATGACCTGAGCTGAAGGCAGATGCTTAACCAACTGAGACACCCAGGCACCCCTGAATTTTATTAAATGTCTTTTCTGCATCAATTAATATAATTGTGTAGCTTTTCTTCTTTACTATGTTGATATTGTGAATTACATTGATTTTTTTTTTAATGATAAACTAGCATTGCATTCCTGAGATTAAAACTCCAGTTGGTTATGATGTATTACCCTTTTTACATTTTGCTGGATTTGACTTGCTAATATTGTTGATAATTTTGCATATATATTCATGAAGGATATTGGTCTGTAGTTTTTTTTTTCGTTCAATAACTGTTGGGGTTGGTATTAGGGTAATGCTGGCCTCATAGAATGGGTTCAGAAATATTCCTTCCTCTTCCATTTTAAGGAAGAGCTTGCATACAGTCACTGTTGTTTCTTCCTTAAATGTTTAGTAGAATTCATGAATGAAGCCATCTCAACCTGGAATTTTCTTTACTGGAGAGTTTTGTTTTGTTTTGTTTTTTTTAAAGATTTTATTTATTTATTTGACAGAGACAGAGACAGCGAGAGCAGGAACACAAGCAGGGGGAGTGGGAGAGGGAGAAGCAGGCTTCCTGCTGAGCCGGGAGCCCGATGTGGGACTCAATCCCAGGACCCTGAGATCATGACCTGAGCCGAAGGCAGTCGCCAAACCGACTGAGCCACCCAGGTGCCCCTTTACTGGAGATAGATAATGGGCTATTCAGGTTATATCTTCTTGATTGTGTTTTGATT